ATATGGTATTCTTCAGGCTGTTATATTATAACTCCCCGTGGTTTGGAAGCGAGAGGTCTGGAGTTCAAATCCCAGTTTAGGCAACTTTTTTTAATTGTTTAAGCAAAATAAACATTGAATTGAATTTAGTCTTATAGCCAATTTACTATAGTTATAACACTCGAAACAGCATTAGTGACACTTTACAAAGAAATTGGTTTATAATCATACAACCTTCACCTTTCTGACATTCTGAGACCCAAACAAATTCAGCACCTTCTGTGCTTTGATTCTACAGGTTGCCATATTTTCCAATCCATGTATGTTAACTGTCGTTAATGTTTATATAATATTTCTGTCGCCACTCGTCATATTTATTGTTGTATGTATGTGTTACCCAAATAGGTAATAGTTTAAAGGCATGGCGGGTGGCGATAAAATTGTTTTATAACGGTTTACAGGGCACTATGAATATGTGTAAATTATATATTTTAAAATCTATTTTAGGCAACTTTAAGCAAATAACTTTATTATATGTTTTTATGATTGTAATTACCTGTTTGTACAGATCAGTATGTGACGGACGAGAAATCATTCAGCTTTTGAAACTTTCAAGGTTGTGATTCTATTTTTGACTTACACTGGCTAAGTTTTATAATTGGCACTATCTTGTTACAATTACTGATAATAAGCGGAGACGTTGAAAGTAATGCCGGTCCTAAAAGTGAATCGCGAATTACCTGTTTATCGATATACAGTCAAAATATTAGAATCGTGCGAAACAAAAATTCATACATTAAAGACAACTGGCTCGACTTCGACATACTTTGTTTTACGGAAACTCATCTTGATAGTTCAGTATCCGATAATAGTTTAAAAATAGACAACTATTCTTTCTATAGAAAAGATGTCTCGTGTCTTTCTGGGGGTTCTGATATATGTCTCCGATGAGGTAAATTCTAAGATTAATCTCGACTCCAATATACGAAACTCTCAGACACTCAACATATTTAAATCTAGACTAAAAATCTGTTTAAAGCACCAACGGTTCCGAAGCATTATTTTTATGGCCAGAGATACTTATCATTATTGAATACACGTTTAAGAAATAATAAGTAATTTAAATAACGATTTATATAATAACCATTTGCGCGAAGTCCCTTTTTGTCAATGTGATATTGTGATTGAAAATGCCGAGCATTTCTTTTTCAAAAGTAATCGTTACGTCGGACAACGAAAAATACTATTTCGAGAAACCCGATCTTATCATCCATTAAACATTGATACATTATTGCTCGGTCGTGAAAACTTAGAATACGAAGATAACGTTGTCATTTTCAATCAGTTCAAACATTTATCAAGACAACCCATCGTTTTGATAATAATTGACTTTTCATCTTGTTTTTATTCAAAAATTTGTCATTTATATTGGCCCATTTGCTCTAATCTAACTTACAAATGTTAATAACCAATCATTACCCAAAACCCAAACTACAGTTCAACTATTTTAACAACTACAGTGAGATCAGGATGGCAACCTGTGGATGGATCGCACATCAAAATCAAAATTGTACATTAAATTTTAATGAATAAATGAACTGTTCAAAAATAAAATACATATTTTAAGGTTTATATGCATGTTAAAAAATAATCATTGTTGCCTTAATAGTATTTTCTTCTGTAATGTTAATTTCTGGGCAGGGCTTAATATAATGTTGTAAGAACTTATTGCCAAATAAATTTGCATTTTTATATATACTCATTATTTGTATGATATGTTTGTAAACATGTATTTAATGCAATAAAATATGTTTAAACTAAGTTTTGGACTATATCAATATATTATGACTTTTATTCCGTTATGTGCGTAGCATGCATTAAAACCATGCCATAGCCAAGCCCAAGCTTTGAAGTGTGGCGTGAGATATCAGCTTTGACTCTTCGCCGGTTGCTTAGAAAAGGAAATAAGTTTTTTTTATATCTTTTTGATATGATTTTTATATACTGTCATTTTTCTACAGCGTTTACTTTTTATGGATTATGATATTTAAATTTGGTTATAAGTATGACAACAGTTATAGTTTTATAGAAGTACCCCACAAGCGTCAAACAGACAGATGACGAGGAAGAACGTAAACATTGTTGTCATCATGATATCCTTGAAACGCCCTCGTGATATAATTCCTCGCATCCGAACTCCAAACTGATTTTATTTAGCGATAAAATATCTGTTTGGGATATATTATTTCCTAAAAAACACATGTGTTTGTGGGTAACAGTAAAAATATCATCCCGAGGAAAATACTGTTACCCTAGGCGTAGCCGAAGGTAACAGTATTTTTACAAGGGATGATATTTTTACTGTTACTCACAAACCCATGCGTTATTCATTTTATTACCCCGAACAAATTCTGTGATGACTAAATCTAACTGTAACAAAAATAAACCAAAAGTAACAATAACTTATCTGTCCTTAAGATTTTAGTGTACTGTAGGCCTACTTGAGAAGTTTTCTTTTCTTTTATTCTTTAAGCAAGTGATAATATCTAGCAGTAAGCTGTGTTTTATTTAGAAAACAAAACACTCAGACATTTATACGGTTATGATCTGTGAAATCTGATCCTTCTGTATCCAGTAACATCACAGTCTCATGATTGTAGTTGCTGATAAAACGAAAATTTCCTTCCATTGACCATTAATGTCGAAAATTTAACTACTATTTAGGATGAGCCACATGCTTAAATTAAATCCCACGGTATGGGAAGGGGACCGCGTGATGATGCTGTATACGAAAAATCAAGAGTCTGTGATAAGTAGTTGCTGAGAAAACTGTTCAGATTTTTTCTCACAAGACATTCACCATACTATAACCCGGTTTTGCACCTGTGCAACCAGGCTAACGTCCCATTGATAACAAAAAAAGTGGGACAGTCTTTTTGTGTCGCCTCGACATATAGGGATCACTTCTCCGTCGTTTGCCAGCCATTTCATCCAAATTTTACAGGAATAATCAGTACCAAGTCTAGTTGTGCATATCGTCGACATTTTCCGTTTCAATTATTTTTTTTCAAGAGTTAGGCCCTTTAATGATTTTTATTTTTAAAGTTTGTCCGGACTATTACTCTTAAACCACTAATGCAATTTCAATGAATCTCTACAGAATTGATCAGTAGCTCATGTCCTTGTGCATATTACACGGTTTTTTGCTTGAATGATGTTTGACCGAGTTATGGCCCTTGAATAAATAGCTTGTTTTTGTGTTGAAGGCTACACAGAAGCTTGTCTGGACTACTTGTCAGAAACTACTGGTGCAATCATCCAAACTTTACAGGAATGAATAGTACCAAGTCTAGTTGTGCATATTATCGGTATTTTAAGGTTCAATGATTTTTGTCACAGTTATGACCCTTTAATGATTTTTTTTAAGTTTGTCCAGGCTAGTCCTCTTACACGACTAATGCAATTTTAACATGATTGGTAGCTCAAGTACTCGCGCATATTACACGGGTTTTCCGCTTGAATGATTTTTGATTGAGTTATGGCCCTGGAAAAACAGGTGTTTTTTGTTGTTGTTTTTTGTGTTGCCAGCTACGCAGAGGCTTGTCATAACTACTTGTAAGAAACTACTAGTGCAATTTCATCCATATTTTACAGGAATTATCAGTATTTAGACTAGTTTTGCATATTTTCAGTATCTTAAGGTTCGTTGATTTTTGTCGAGTTATGGCCCTTTCATGACTTTATTTTTTTTTTTAAAATTTGTTCAGACTACTTCTTTTATACTACTAATGCAATTTAAATGACACTTCACAGGATTGATAGGTACCTCAAGTATTTGCATATTTTAAACAGGTTTTCCGCTTGAAATAAAATATTTTTGGTCGATTTATAGACCTTTGAATAAACAGTGCATTTCGTCCTGATTTTTGTGACATTCAAATGGCTCTGATAAGGAAACACATGCGATCACTGATGGCTCTATATTTTTAGACAGTTTTATTTATTTTTTTCTAAACATTATCATGCGCTCATTACCTTGAGCTAGGATATAAATGGCCCCAACACAATTTAGGTCATGACGCCGAAACAGGAAAGCCAATTTTGGCTTTATACTAATTAAAAGATTTAATAAGCAATCATAGCAAAATAACAATGAATATTCAATATTTCCACCTTCAAGGTCAAGAACAAAGTTAGTTTGATCTTCATAGAGATCTAGTCCTTAAGGATGTTGTTTCTAAATATGAAGATAATCCATTCATGAATAACAAATTTATGGCCAGTTACAGCAAAACAATAAGCAAAATTCATCAATTTGACCTCAAGGGTCAGTCATTTATGACTCAAGGTCAATGTATGCATGATTGTGTTTACTCGCTGACCTATTTCTTCCTACTGACATCATAAAACAGAACGATAAAACTCTAAATTGCCAATCGTTTCTTCGTAGACACCAATCGCAACTACTCGGCCCTTTCCGTCAGTCTTAGGATAAGGACCTCGGAATACACGGAACGGATGCGGTATTTCTGTCTAACCTACGCTAAGCACTAAACGTGTAAACAAATAGTAATTTAATGTTGGGAGTTGTTTACAAGCTCATTTCCAATATATGTAGTAAAATTTCACCTAAAATAAGTGAATTTATAGATTCAAATGAAAAGCAAACAAAACATTATTTGTATATTTATTATTATGGTTGTAGAAACCGAAAGTACAAAAAACCAACCTGTTGACATTCAGTCGGATTTGTTTAAAATTGAACATCAGTGGGCATATTTAAATAACAAATTGTTGTCAGAGATATTTTCAATCATAAGTGTACCGACTTTTCTTTTGGATGTCAAATATATACATTCGTTTTACATTATCTCTGTTTCTGTTTACATCTGAAACCACGTGGTAGAACTACTTTCAATGAGGTTATTATAGATAATAGCCGAGGCAGTTCCGATTGCGTAGACACTAAATAGTAAACCGAAATGAGGCGGAGTTATGACAACCGGACTTTCTTTCTGCGCTGTTATGAGCATAAACGAGTTGCTTTTCAGCCATTCCGGAAAGATTTACATAAAACAAAATGGCTGATAACTCGGAAATTTTTATTCCATCTGTGGTTATTCTGTCTTGTCTGATGGTTGTTGGATTTGTTGGTAATCTGCATGTTATTTCGTATATGCGTTCAGGTTAAAGCCAACAAACCATGCAATTTTTATCAAAGTTCTAAGCATTTACGATATCAGTGCATGTACAGTTCTTATACCTTTGATGATATACAAGTACATCAATCCATGGACATATGGCAGCGTTTTTAGGTGTAGAATCTTCGAGTTCATGGCGAGTTTAATTTTCACTGGATCTATATTCACCCTACTATTAGTAGCTGTTTACAGGCAAGTAATTTTTATCATAGAATACCATTGACGGCAATATAAACATTTATACATAACATATTTTATAGCCAAACCATTCTTGACCGACACTCTGATAATAATCTTCCAAATAATTAATGTCATATGCTTTGGAAAGCAATTTGAACAAGGTAATTTGAGAATATGTGCTTAAATTCGGATCTAAACGTGACTTCTTAACCTTTGACCCCCTTTCAAAATTCCATTTATTTAGTTTCGCCTGTTGTTTCTCGATCGTTTAGGGCACACGCATTTTTTTACCTGGGGACCATATGCCGCTTTTCATGGAATGGCACTAACGAGGCACATTGACGGTTTCATGAAAATCGCAATATGAACAGATCTGCGGATGTTTCAAAATTTTACCAGTTCATGTTTAATTTTGAATCTGCTTTTACCGGTGCTAGGGGGTGTAGACGGTAACTTGCACATTCCAGTACCGTCCATGAACAGGCTCAATCAAACCGAGCCTGCAACATTTTCAATTTCACCGTGTTGGGCTTTCCTTTAATTACTAATATATCAAGTCTTTACTTCTGTTTTCATTTCAGGTATAGAAAGGTATGTCGGCCACATGGATGGCAGATAAAAAATCGAGTTGCTAAACTGCTTTGCTTGATTGCTGCGATATCTGCCTGTGTTTGTTCATGTCCATTTGTTGCATTCACCGAGGTAAGGACACAATCCTTTAAAAATAAAACATTTACATGGTGCGTTAGAGTTGAAGGGACCACACAATATGTCCTATATCATCTTATATTTATTGCACTAATAACGTTTGTGTCTTTATGCGCTTTGGTATCTCTGTATGCGTGTATTTTAAAAGCAGCATCAGGATTACACGCCAAAGAAAGCTTTGGTAATGTTCACAAAAGTGGTGTAACAGGTTTGAAGCATATAAAACTAAATGTTTTGAATAGACATAAAGAACAATCGACTTCATCTACAAAAACAATTGATTCGCAAGAAATCGGATATAATCAAGATAACATTGAGACAAGAGATAACAGCGAGACTTTAGCCACCTGCTCAGCCAACCAAATCAAAACAGAGACAACGAATGACAATCACCAGAAAAAGAACAGAATAAGAAAAATAACACTAGCTTTTATATTAGTGACTGTGTCCTTTTGTATTAGCTATATTCCATTTCTATCTGCGGGCATCTTTAAAATACAGATACAAATGTCCTCCTCATACCTCAGTAAAGATGTTTATATTGCATTACACTTTGTACAGACCTGTGTATTTATCAACAGCATGGTAAACTGTTTTATATACAGCTGCTTTGACATACAATTCAAACAGGAAATAGGGATGCTATATAAAACGTTATGTCGCACACGAAAAGACCGACGATCCAATTAATACATATAAACTTAAGAAACCATCTAGTTGGACTTTCTCCTGACCAATACAAATGATAAAGATTTAATCAATATAGCTGCACGTATGGATTTTTTTAGTATTTTTTCGACTTTCACTATGCAATTTATTTTCAGTCTTGGTACACAATTTTCAAAGTTGATATAATAATATTTAATAATTAAAGAAATAGTTACTTTAGAAAATAACAGGAAAGAAATGGAATGCTTATTGTTTCCGCTTTGTCAGTCCGTCCCTTAATTACCTTAAGTTTACCCGAAATACTTCTCGACAACCATAGATTTGAACCTGTCTGCGATTTTGATATTTCAAAAATAAAAGCGAATAGAATATAACACGGATATATAAGATCATGCAGCGGGAAATAAAATTATTTATTTCCAATTTTTTATCAGTAGTCCAAAATACAAATAGAATATACGTGGTGTATGCTTTGTTCAAGGGATAATTATATATAGATGAAATGTTTTGAGCAAACTTGTACATGGGCTGTGGCTGTTAACTGACTTAGTTAAATTTTCGACAGTAATGGTCAATGGTAGTATATTTTCGTAACATCACAACCTGAAAATTTCCTACCATTAACCATTAATGTTAAAAATTTAACTAAGTCGGCAAACAGGATGTGGATGAGCGACAGACCTGAAATTGAATCCCACAGTATGGGACCATATGTTGGTGCTGTATACCGAAAATCTAAAGGCTGTGATAAGTAGATGCTGAGAAACTGCTACGAAAATGCCCTACTATTAACATTTAACTAAGTCGGCAAACATTCACCATACTATAATCCTTCACCTGTGCAACCTGGCCAAAAATCAACAGATTCAATATTCAAGTAATAATTTACATGTTGTATGCGATTAATGACTGCTTTTACGGTATTTGCAAATGTATCGCGTGACTAAGGCGGTAAGGGTTATATTGCATATTCTGACCGGGTTCTTTAATATAATTTACGTTGATCGTGCGCGTAAATTATTTTCTTTATTAACTGCGTAATATCTTGAGATATGTTACTGTTTTATACGTTTTCAAAATTTTCATGAAAATCAACACGAATCTGGAGCCATCCTGCTTTAAAGAGACTCCACTGAGTTTTTTTGACATGATGGTTTCCCAGATAAATGTAACAATTTGATGTAGGTTTAGACCACTAATCTTTGTGCAAAATTTCAGATCATTCGTGCACTTCGTTTTCAAGAATAATTATTCAAATTGTAAAAAATGACGCAAAATAAAAAGCGTTTAAACACTTTTCACTCAAATCGGGCTAAGAAAAGCATAAAATACGATTTTCAATTTATTTCAAAGTATATTTCTTTGCTATCTTTGCAAATACAGGTCTCGACTTTTTCAGCAGGTGGTATGCCGGACCACTGGATCCAAAATTCAGGTTTCCGTTAATTCTGAACACAGGTGGTCCATTTTTTTTACTCATTTGTTTTATGGAAACTTCATTTAGAAGAACTACACATAAAATTGGTGACTGAGACATATTTTTTATTAGATTTATAACAACTGAAGAAAACATGTATATTTTCTATTTCAATCTTAGATGAGATAGTAAGTCATTGTATTCCTATAGTATTTATTATCTCACTGAAAAATACATGACAGTACTCATACTTCGGTTAAGTGACTTCTTCCGCAACTCAAGTTAAGGAATAGTGAAACCATTTGTGAATGACTTATTTCCTTACTGTTATTCAAATACTCATTGCTGTTTCCTAAATAATAGATTAAAATTTTTAATTAAACTATTAAGTTATTATATTCTTGTCTTTGAAACAATGAAATATTAATGATAAACAGAAAAATCCCTACATTATACATGTGTAATTGAGGTAATCTTCCTCACAGTATTTATAACCTTTTAAAGTACTTTAAATAAGAAAAAAAATGATCTCTGATCGTTTAAAAAAGTAGCCAAAGATTACTAGATATTTAATTTTTCCTTGGCCTTTGTTTGCACCATTTCCTTGGCCTTTGTTTGCACCATTATTCATGTGTTTATCCGATATCACATAGTGATACAATGTTATAAATTCAATGCAGTACTAGAGACATTTGAATGAATTTTATACTTTAATTATTAAAATAATTTTCTACTTTTTAACTACACTGTTAGCGAGTTAATAAAAAGTTATGGATGTCTTAAGATCTTTTGAACTAATGAGACGAATGAACATATACCTGTACATCGGAGAAATGGTTTTAAACAACAATTATAGAACACGTTTTTCGACCAAATAACCATTCTCCCAGATGAGCCCTGCGCCATTTGGAAAATTCAAGTGGTCTAACGGACCAGTTGCCTGTCAAATTAGGTGATCCTTGCCAAAACCAGGTGGTCTCGGACCAATGGACCACCACTAATGTCGTGGGCCGCATATATTTCTGTTTAAAGTGCCCAAGCTCATTTATGTAAGAAATTCAAATTTTTAGGCTTTTAAACCTCAGTGGAGTCCCTTTCAAAGTAATAATTAAAGATGTTAAATCTGCAATCTGCAATTTGTCAATATAAAGGATATTAACTGTTACTATAGCCATGTTTTGGAAAACGTGTTGCATTTTACAAAAAAAAGTAAATTTGATCAATCTTTTTTAAATATTTGGCAATTATATTTTAACCAATTTAATCGTTCTTATGTCGCGGATAAGTTAAAAATGGCGCTAAACCAGTTTTTACACAATTTTGATCGATGCAATGCATTTTCCTGCTGTATTCTCTATAGTTGTTTAGTGAAACAACAAAATATTTAAAGTATTTTCTCATCCATAATGTCATGCACCATGTAAATAAATGTATAAATTCTGTAGTTATACTTTGTAAATATGTTATGTATGTTGTATTTTTATTCATTTACTTTTTTGTAAATACATGTAGGTCGCGTACCTTTAGAAATGTTTAGGGCACTTTTTTCCGTTTTCCCCGGTTTTTATGTATCTTTCCTGAAAACTTAATTAATGGTCCAAGACCCTTTTTGTCAATGTGATATTGTGATTGAAAATGCCGAGCATTTCTTTTTCAAAAGTAATCGTTACGTCGAACAACGAATAATACTCTTTCGAGAAACCCGATCTTATCATCCACTAAACATTGATACATACTAGTAATTGATCGGTCGTGTTCGGTCGTGAAAACTTAGAATACGAAGATAACGTTGTCATTTTCGAATCAGTTCAAAAGTTTATCTAGACGACCCATCGTTTTGATAATATTTGACTTTTCATCTTGTTTTTATTCTAAAATTTGTCATTTATATTGGCCCATTTGCTCTAATCTAACTTACGAATGTTCATTACCAATCATTCCCCAAAAAAACAAACTACAGTTCAACTATTTTAACAACTTCAGTGAGATCAGGATGGCAACCTGTGGATGGATCGCACGTCAAAATCAAAATTGTACATTGAATTGTAATGAATAAATGAACTGTTCAATAATAAAATACATATTTTAAAGTTTATATGCATGTTAAAAGTAATCATTGTTGCCTTAATAGTATTTTCTTCTGAAATATTAATTTCTGGGAAGGGCTTAATATAATGTTGTAAGAACTTGTTGCCCAATCCATTTGCATTTTGATATATACTCATCATTTGTATGATATGTTTGTAAACATGTATTTAATGCAATAAAATTTGGTTAAACTAAGTTTTGGACAATATCAATATATTATGACTTTTATTCCGTTATGTGCGTAGCATGCATTAAAACCATGCCATATCCAAGCCGGCCCAAGCTTTGGAGTGTTGCGTGAGATATCAGCTTCGACTCTTCGCCGGTTGTTTAGAAAAGGAAATAAGTTTTGTTATATCTTTTTGATATGATTTTTTATATACTGTCATTTTTTCTACAGCGTTTATTTTTTACTGATTATGAGATTTAAATTTGGTTATAATTAAGTATGCCAACAGTTATAGTCTTCAAGCGTCCATCAGACAGATGACGGGAAGTACTTAAACATTGTTGTTCGGATGTGCGCATAATGATTTCCTGGATACACTCGTGATATAATTACTCGCATCCGAACTTCAAACTGATTTTATTTAACGATAAAATCACTGTTTAGGATTTATTATTTCCTAAATAATATAACAGTAAAAATATCATCCCGAGGAAAATACTGTTACCCTAGGCGTAGCCGAAGGTAACAGTATTTTTATAAGGGATGATATTTTTACTGTTACACACAAACCCATGTGTTATTTATTTTATTACCACGAACAAATTCTGTGATGATCTAAAATTGTCAACTACTGTCCTAGGATGATAATTTGGTCTTAAAGGGACATGGGAAAGTCCAAAAACGGGATTATCTGGATTATTATCCGATATCGTTAAAGTAAACACTTACATGTACATATACTGTATAGCATTATTCGTATATTACCGTTATGGCTCTGCCGGTAGATCGAAGTGATTGTAACTATTAATATTTTGAACTCATAGGTTCGAACCCAACGAAGTGCCATTTTATAACCACAGTTTTTATTTGTTTAGGTCGTCAGACCAAACAAATAATGGTAGCGAAATTTCAGAGCCTAAAAATGCCTAAAGTAGTCCGCTTTTTTGCAGCGGTTACTTCCCTTTATATGTACACTAACGCCGAAAAATTCAGGGGAGATCAATGCATATATTGTCAAATGACAGGCGCATTAATTTTCAAGCAAAGTGGTTCTCGAATGGTCTAAAAATTCTAATATTGTTTCATTCTTTATAGCAGTAAGCTCCATGATTATTTACATCTGTGTTTAGCGTCGAAATAATAAGTTACAAACCCTAATTTAGAATAATATGGTTTTCTTCAGCTGTTAACATATACTCGTAATCACCGTGGCCGATGGGTTTGCACGCTCGCATATGGATCGAGAGGTCTCGAGTTCAAATCCCAGTTGAGGCAACTTATTTTTTTAAAGTCAAATAAACATTGGATTGACTATCAGTTTGCAATTAGTCTTAGAGCCAATTTACTACAGTTGAAACACTGTAGAAGCATTGGTGGCCAATCAAATTAGTTTACAATCTCACAACCTTCACCTTTCTGACATTCTGAGACCCAAACAAATTCAGCGCCTTCTGTGCTTTGATTTTCTTCTTGCTCTGTTTTTTATCATTATTATTTATTTATTTTTCGTTTTCCTTTTTGATTTCTTCTTATAATATATATTTTATAGTATACATTTTTTTTATTTCTATTCTATTTTCTTTTTGTATTTTTTTGATCGCAGAGTAATAAAATATTCGATCTCATATTCATGTATGTATATGATTTTTTTTAAACAATTTACTGTTCTGAGGTAAAAAAATGTGTTTAACCAGTAGTCGAACTTCTGCCTTTACGGGTAAAACACATTACCGACACGGTTGCTCTACAGTACCTACTGCGCTAACAAGACATACATGTATAATAACATGTAGTTCTATTTTCATTTTTATAGGTTGCGGCATTGATCTGCCTAACCTATCTTTTTGCATTGTTATTGGTCTTTGTTATGTCAATAAAGGCTCAAGTTATCATCCTAGGACAGTAAATCTAACTGTAACAAAAACAAGAGCTGTCACAGGAGACAGCCAAGCTTGACTAATAAAATACTGGACGCAGTAAGGAGGACAAAATTATGAAAGAAAAACCAATTATGTATAATTATGTATTAAGTTAAAGTAAAAAAATATCATTTGTTAACATAAATTCCAAGATCAAAGGGAATAATTCTAGAAATAGTCATGCTAAAGTTATGAACCTTGTCACACAACATGTGTGTAATGATAAGAAATATATGTTTGAAGTAGATACCTTAAAAAGTAAAGAAGTTATAATATTTCTTAAAGAAAATCCTAAGTTCAAATTAAGATAAATCTGTAAATATTGCTTCAAGAGTTACGCACATTGTCACATAAAATGTAATTGATGATAAGGAATAAATATTTGAAGTTTGAGGTAGATACCTTTAAATCTAAAAATGTTATAGTAAAAAATAACATTTTTCTAGTAAAAAATCTAAATTTATGGGGAGAAAATTCTTGCAATATTAGTGCTAGAGTTATGAACCTTGTCATAAGATGTGGATGATGATAAGTTACATATATTTGAAGTATGAAGTTGATCCCTGTAGAAATAAATAAGTAACAGTAAAAAATAAAAAAAATTAAGGAAAATTCTAAGTTCAAGGGGAGATAAATCTGAAAATATTTGTGCTAGAGTTATGAACCTTATCAGATTGGATGGAGATGATGATAAAGAACATATATTTGAAGTATGAAGTTGATCCCTTTAGAAATAAATAAGTAACAGTAAAAAATAATATTTTTTAAGGAAAATTCTAAGTTCAAGGGGAGATAAATCTGAAAATATTTGTGCTAGAGTTATGAACCTTATCACATAATATGGGGATGATGATAAGGTACATTTCTTTGAAGCATGAGGTTGATCCAATAAGAAATAAAGAAATAACAGTGAAAAATAATATTTTTTGAGGAAAATTCTAAGTTAAAGGGGAGATAAATCTGAAAATATTTGTGCTGGAGTTATGAACCTTGTCACATAAGATGGGGATGATGATAAGATACATATATTTGAAGTATGAGGTTGATCCCTTCAGAAATAAAGAAGTAACAGTAAAAAATAGTATTTTTAAGGAAAATTCTAAGTTCAAGGGGAGATAAATCTGAAAATATTGGTGCTAGAGTTATGAACCTTGTCACATAAGATGTGGTTGATGATAAGGAACATCTATTTGAACTTGATAACTTAAGAAATGATAAAGTTATAGTGAAAAATATTTTACTGCACCAAAACTTTAATCTGAAATCTGGACGCGGACGCCAGGGCGAGTAGGACAGCTCTCCATATACTTCGTGTAGTCGAGCTAATAAACCAAATGTAACAATAACTAATATGTCCTTAAGTTTTTAGTGTACTGTAGGCCTACTTGAAAAGTTTTCTTTTCTTTTATTCTTTAAGCAAGTGATAATATCTAGCAGTAAGCTGTGTTTTATTACTAAGCCATTTAAATGGTTATGATCTGTGAAAGTAACATCACAGTCTCATGATTGTAGTTGCTTGATAAAACGAAAATTTCCTTCCATTGACCATTAAGTCGGTAAACAGGAAGCGGATGAGCCACATGCCTGAAATAAAATCCCAAGGTATGGGACGGGACCGTGTGATGATGCTGTATACGAAATATCAAGAGTCTGTGATAAGAATTTGCTGAGAAAACTGTCCAGATTATTTCCCACAAGACATTCACCATACTAACTGTAACCCGGGTTTGCACCTGTGCAACCAGGCTAACGTCCCATTGATAAAAAGAGTGGGACAGTCTTTTTGTGTCGCCTCGACATATAGGGATCACTTCTCCGTCGTCTGTCTGTCCGTCACAAAACTTGTCCGGACTACTCCTCAGAAACTATTGGTGCAATTTCATCCAAACTTTACAGGAATAATCAGTACCAAGTCTAGTTGTGCATATCCTCTACATTTTCCGGTTCAATTATTTTTAAGATTTACATGTAGGCCCTTTAATTATTTTTATTTTTAAAGTTTGTTTGGACTATTCCACTTAAACCACTGAAGCAATTTCAATGAAACGCCACAGGATTGATAAGAAGCTCATGTCCTTGTGCATGTTAGAAGGGTTTACTGCTTGAATGATTTTTGACCGAGTCCTGGCCCTTGAATAAATAGCTTGTTTTTGTGTTGCAGGCTGCACAGATGCTTGACTGGACTACTTGTCAGAAACTACTGGTGCAATCATCCAAACTTTACAGGAATGATTAGTACCAAGTCTAGTTGTGCATATTATCGGTATTTTAAGGTTCAATGACTTTTGTCAGAGTTTTGGCCCTTTAATGATTTTTTATTTAAAGTTTGTCCAGACTAGTCCTCTTACAAGACTAATGCAATTTTAACTACTAATGCAATTTTAACCAAAATTTACAGGACTGATTGGTAGCTAAAGTACTAGCGCATATTACACAGGTTTTCCGCTTGAATGATTTTTGATTGAGTTATGGCCCTTGAATAAACAGGTGTTTTTGTGTTCCAGCAACGCAGAGGCTTGTCTTAACTACTTCTAAAAGACTCCTGATGCAATTTCCTCCATATTTTACAGGAATTAATGATCAGTATTAAGTCTAGTTGTGCATATTTTCAGTATTTTAAGGTTCATTGATTTTTGTCGAGTTATACTACTAATGCAATTTAAATGAAACTTCACAGGTACCTAAAGTACTGGCATATTTAATACGGGTTTTCCGGTTGAAAAAAAATATTTTTGGTAGAGTTGTAGCTTTTGAATAAACATTGCATTTAGTTCTGTTGATGACTTTTGTGAAATTCAAATGGCCATGATAAGGCGACACATGCGATCACTGATGGCACTTTATATTTTAGAGTTTTATTTATTTTTATCTAAACGTTACAGTGCGTTCATTAGCTTGAGCTGGGATATAAAATGTTTGTGGCACCAACACAATTGAGGTCATATGGCGCCGAAACAGGCAAGCAAATTTTGGCAATATTCTTATTAAATGGTTTAATCACCAATCATAGCAAAATAACAATAAACATACAATATTTCCAACTTCAAGATCAAAGTAAGTTTGATCTTCAAAGAGATCTTGTCCTTAAGGATGCTGTTTCTAAATATGAAGATAATCCATTCATAAATAACAAATTTATGGCCAGTTACAGCAAAACAATAAGCAAAATTCAACAATTTGACCTCAAAGGTCAGTCATTTCTGACTCAAGGTCAGATTGGTCAAACTTAAGGTATTGTTGGTTCAAAGTATGGAGAAAATTCATGTATTTACAATAAAACTGGCCACTTTGGTACATTTTTGTGATACTCTTTTAGTTAACAAAGGCAACATTGTCGCAATATACGCCCGTAACAGAAGCTTTTGACAGAAATGTGGGCATAAACAATAAGCACATAGGAGATATTCTCTAAGCAATATCCAGAAAATATCTGGATATATAATCATCTCTTTTTTTATCTGAATTTTGACCCCTATGTGTGACCTTGACCTTGCTTGCAGGGAACTTAAACTTTGAATGCGACACTCAACCTCACAATAGTGAACATTTGTGCAAAGTTATATTGAAATCCGTCTATGCATGTAGAAATCTTTCTCTGACAAGTGTTTTTCTATGACTTTTATGTGTGACTTTGACCTAAAAGCCTGGTTCATGTGTGCGGCACAGCTTCTTATAGTGGTGAACATTTGTATGAAGTTTCATTGGAATCCATTCATAAGAGAGAAGTTCTGGACAAAATCTTTATATTTTATTATCTTTAGTGACCTTGACAATCATCTTTAGTGATCTTGACCTTGCATATATTAATCTAAATGTTTCACATCAGTAGTCATGAATATGACCATTTGTGTTTCAATCCCTCAATAAATGATGACTAAATAGTCCCAATACATATTTTTGTCTGAACTTTGACCCCTATGTGTCTGTCACCTTTACCGCAGGGACCAAAATTTTGCACACAACACTCCGCCTTACAATAGTGAACATTTGTGTCAAGTTACATTGATATCCCTCTATGCATGTAGAAGTTTTGCCCCGGAAAATTGTTTTTCAATGACCTCTAAGTGTGACATTGACCTTTGACCTGGTTCATGTGCGCGACACAGCTTCTCAAAGTGGTTAACATTTCTATGAAGCTTAATTAAAATTCCTCCATGGGTGTAGGAGATATGCTCTGGACAAAAATCAAATGCTGCCCGTCAGGGGGAAACTATAATACGACCAGTTTTTCAAACGGGCATATAAAAAGGGGTATAAATGTGTCAAATTATATCAGAGTTATGAAACTTAACATAGACAGTTGCATTGTGATATTGAAATAATTTTCAAGTTTACCCATTACTTCATGAGCATTTTGTGAAAAATGGCTGTTTTCATTGAAAAGTCTCCCGTTACAAGTTCAAATTGCTATAATACTATAAAAACTGCTTCAACACTAATCAAACATGGCACAAATGTTGACTGGACCATTGCCCTTGCACAACATGCTCAGGCTTAAATTTTCTGTTACCATGGGAACATCTCAAAATTGCCAAAAATCACTATTTTGCGTTGATGTTTTCCATCAAATTTGATTTCAAAGTGCTGCAACTTCTCAATGGATTGAGATAGAGTCAAATGCTTTTCAGCGTTGGTTACACGTTACCTTATAATCAATCTGGGGTCATTTATAGCCTCTCACAAGTCCAAAATTTTCTTGGCGATGAGGGGGACTCCAACCCCATTCAAACCCCCCAAACAGAAGGGGGCACATCCCCCTTGTGGCAACCCCCTGATGTATCTTTTGGTTAAGGGGCTGTGCCGAAAAAGAGGTCACTATTTTAAACAACATTTCTCAAACAAAAACAAGTGCTGGGGGCCTAAATAAGGCATTTTTTTGCCATTTGACACAACAAAAAAAGGGGGGGGGGTGAAAAAGGCGTGTATATATAATGTAGTGGGTTAATACCTCTACCAGTTCCTGATATGGGATGAGAGGGACAAAATGACTCCTACATATACGAATGGGGTATATTTAATAAAGTCATATTCAGAATTCTTTTCACTCAAATTTAATTAATCAAAAAACAAGACTGACAAAAAGTTGATGTTTACATTTCATAAAATTTTGAAACATGAAACAAAAGAAATTTAAATTTAGAGAAATTCAGGTTTATTATTGTCAAAAGAAACCCTACTTTACTATATTAAGTCTAAATTGTACAGAATATTGTTTACAATCGCAAATCACATTTTAAGGCAAATCACATTTTAAGCAGATACCATAAACATTGTACACATAATCATCATTTTTTTAATTATTTTTCAAAATAAAAAATCTGGTTTCAATTAAATCATTATTAACACTGAAAACATATTACATTATCATAAACAATAACATGATTAATCACTATAAACTTTTAACATAAATTAATGTAACATTTCACATATTCTTCTTAATACAAAACATTCTCATATTCATACTAATTTATATGAAGCATTTTTTTTATCGACCATTGTAATGTGTAAATATACTCTTTGCCTCATATCAGATGTAAACCTCTATAATTGAGCCACATCACGACAAAACCAACAAACCCTATTACATTTAGAGAAACTGATTGCGAACAGCATGGATCCTGATCAGACTGCGCGGATAGGCCGGCTGGTCTTGATCCATGCTGGTGCAAACCCATTATGTTGGTTTTGTCGTGTTGCAGCTTATATATGAAAACTTATGTCTAAATTTAAGTAACTTTTCTACCTATATGACTGATACAAACAACTATAAGTCAGCACACCCATGCTGTCTGATCATGGTCTGCACTGTTTACTTTTCAGTCAGACAATATTTTGTAATTTCCTTAAAAAAAAATGATGGTTTTTGTCCATTTCAAAAGATGGACAAGTCCAGTTAAGATATCTAGCACGACAAAATGGTGGAGAAAAAAAAAAGTAAATCTATCTTGCATAAAACATGTGTAGAATCACATCATTGGTAAATACATGTGCATTTGTTAAAGGGACTCCATTGAGGTTTTATAATCATTTCTATTATACAAAATGATCCAAAAATCAGGCTAAGAATAACATACAAAAATCAATGTTCAATTTAATTCAAAGTATATTTTATTAAATCCCCCTGCAGATCTTTCCATTTTAAGAGCTTCAATTGATTGATGTAAAAATTTCAAATTTTGTTTTTTCCCACCTCTTTATTGAAAACTCCTACACACATCTGAGTGCATGCAATTTTAAGCCATCAATTGATACTTGATTAATATATACTTGTATAAAGATTTTATGACCTACTCAAATACATGTAACTTATTTTATTAACAAGGAAACAACTATGAAACATAAAATATACAACAAAACATAACCATCAACATTTGTTCTTTCTTTTATTCATCTGAACACCAAACAATGTAGCTGTAAATGCTCTTTAATGTACTTTCCTTTATGATTTTGTTTCAAGTCGCTCCAAAATCATCAGTCACATGGTGACATTCCAGCTTTACTTGTGGCTGAAGACCTCAGATACCCTTCAGTGAATTATTTCAGGCGTGAGTATACACTACAGCAGTACCATGTTCTATAAGCTAGTTGGATTTCATCCTCACATGACTCCAAAATCCCTGGCGTGATTCTTATTGAGCTTCTTGGTAAAGAATTCCTCACTGTTATCATTAACATAAACAAGAGCTATCCTCAACTAAACAGTAACAAATTGAACTTTTAATAGGTTTCAACTGTTACAATTAAAAGTACACAAGTACCAATTACATTTGTTAGTGTATCAATTGGCAAGAGAAATAATTTACAAGACTTGGTAGATCTGTACCCAACAATTGTTCATATAATCTGAGTATCTTGCCATGTGACTATCTTATATTCAACTTTCATGTTTCATTTATTCATTTGCTATCATCGGTAATCACAGGGGCTTTATCTTTCATCTCTTGTTCAGATCCATCTTGTATAACCTCTGGTACGACCTCTTGTATAACCTCTGGTGCAACCTCTTGTATAACCTCTGGTGCAGCCTCTTGTATAACCTCTGGTGCAGCCTCTTGTATAACCTCTGGTGCAGCCTCTTGTATAACCTCTGGTGCAGCCTCTTGTATAACCTCAGGTGCAGCCTCTTGTATAACCTCTGGTGCAAGCTCTAGTACATTCTCTTGTTCAACCACTGATACATCCTCTGGTGATTTATTTGATTGTTCACTCACAAAATCTATTGCTTCCTTATAAGTCCAGGTGTTAAGTGGTGCCTAAATAGAATAAATGAGCCGTGTCACGACAAAACCAACATAATGGGTTTGCGACCAGCATGGATCCAGACCAGCCTGCGCATCCGCACAGTCTGATCAGGATCCATGCTGTTCGCTATCAGTTTCATTACTTGCTATGGGGTTTGTAAGCGAACAGCATGGATCCTGATCAGACTGCGCTGATGCACAGGCTGGTCTGGATCCATGCTGGTCGCAAACCCATTATGTTGGTTTTGTCGCGACGCGGCTCAAATATGTAATTACAGTAAAAACTCTGAAAACCGGACCCTCTCCGGACTTGACCAAAAGTCCGGTTTTCAGAGGATTCCGGTTTTCAGAGGTTTTATACATTTATTGATAATTATAATGTGTTTGAACAATGACTTTGTTAAAACATTTTGTATTTACTTTTTTAACATTTTTGACTTAGTCATATTTTAATTTCTTTTAGCAATAAATGTCTTAAGTAATTTTATTATGTAAATCCATGAATATAATTCAGAAAATCAGAAATTAAAACAACACATTGTCTGAAATATATCTTTTTAATTGGCTTTTGAAATATGTAATTAATGGAATTTAGTATTACTATTTTTGCATGTAATAAATATCCAAAAAAAGATCAAAATATTTAGCAAAACAGGAGTTATTTTACAAAAGTTTCCTATTCTTTTAGACATTTTATATTTAACGAAGAAAAAAACACAACACATTAAAAATATTTAGAAAAATCATACCTATACAGGGAAAGGCACAATTATAATGAAAGAGGTCAATTTAATTGCCAATAAGAAATTAACCATCAACTGGTAATTGAACATGTCACCTGTTGAGATTATGTTTTAAAATTCTTTAAAATACACAGAAAGTTGACACTTGAAATAGCTGTCCGGTTTTCAGAGGATTTTTTATGCATGTTTAGCATTAGAAGCCACAGAAAAGCGTCCGGTTTTCGGAATTCAGAGGTTCCGGTATTCAGAGGAAATTTTTTTAATGAACATATAAGAAGAAAATACGGAACTTTTGAAATGGTCCGGTTTTCAGAGGATTCCGGTTTTCAGAGGGTCTGGTTTTCAGAGTTTTTACTGTACAAGTAGTGATAACTAGTTAGATTATCACTGTTACACAAGACTAGTACTTGCCTTGAAGTGGTGGACATAAACAAGAATACAAAGTTTTAAAGCAAACCGCAAAGGGTATAGGAAAGAAGTGGAGTGGTACCAAAAATTTAACCAAAAATATGACACCTGGTCGTCTGCTATCAACAAAAAAAACAATAACCTTTTAACTATTCATTTTATGACCGAAACTTTCTTACCCAGGGTATTGGCTTATCTTGTTTCTCAAACTCTTTTTCAAGACCTTGAACAATTTCCATGAATATTTTCTTTGCAACAATCTGTTCCGCTATTGACTCAAATGTAAGTCCAGATGACTGAGCCTTTTGTACAAGCAATTCTACTCCTTCTGTATCACTTTCTGAAAAACAACAACAAACTAGAAATGTGTCATCATGCCACGGATGCCCCCGCATGCAGCCAAAATTTCAGATGGTGCTTTAATTATTTTTTTCATTTTAAGTTCAAAGCCCTTTAAACTTTTCAATGTTAACACAAACGATTTTCATACAATGTTCAAGGCACTGAAATTATTCAGTCTAAACCTTTTAAAAATAGCATATTGCATATTTGTAGCCAAAATAATGGCTAAAAGTAAGAGTGCTGAAAGAGAAAGTTCAAAATTTTTCCAACATTCAGGAAAGATAAGCTTGTTTTAAACATTGAACTACAACCAAATTCTAACTTAAACTGCTTATTCCTAAGATGTATCTATATTATTTTCAAAGTGAAAGGGACAAAACTCTGCCAAAAAATCATCAAACCATGACCAAATTCCAACTTGACCTGCCCATTCCTTTGACATATCCATATGTCAAATTTAAGTTTAATATGTAACACTGTTGGGTAGATAATGAACAGAAACTGTAAATTTCATATTATTTTCAAAGTGAAAGGGGCATTGCTCTGCCAAAAATCATTGATCCAAAAGCAAACTCCAAGTTGGCCTGGGCATTCCAAAAACATATCCATATGTCAAATTTGAGTTGAATGTGTTGTACCATTGGGGAGATAATAAACGGAAACTGAAAATTTCATATTACTTTCAAAGTGAAAGGGGCATAACTCTGCCAAAATCATTGAACCATGTCCAAATTTGAACTTGACCTGCACATTCCTTTGACACATCCATATGTCAAGTTTGAGTTGAATGTGTTGTACCTTTGGGGAGACAATGAACGGAAACTGAAAATTTCATATTATTTTCAAAGTAAAAGGGGCAGAACTCTGCCAAAAACCATCGAACCACAACCAAATTCGAACTTGACCTGTATTTTCTCATGACATATCCATGTCAAGTTTGAGTTGAATATGTTGTACCGTTTGGGAGATAATGAATGGAAACTGAAAATTTCATTTTATTTTCAAAGTAAAAGGGGCAGAACTCTGCCAAAAATCATCGAACCATGACCAAATTCGAACTTGTCCTGTATTTTCTCAGGACATATCCATATGTCAAGTTTGAGTTGAATGTGTTGTACCGTTGGGGAGATAATGAACGGAAACAGAAATTTCATATTATTTTCAAAGTAAAAGGGGCATAACTCTTCCAAAAATCATCGAACCATGACCAAATTCGAAATTGACCTGTATTTTCTCATGACATATCCATATGTCAAATTTGAGTTGAATGTGTGCAACCGTTCTTAAGATAATGAACGGAAACTGATGATGACGGAATGACGGAACAGGGTAACACTATATGCCCCGGCCATTACATGGCGGGGGCATAAAAAACAAAAAACAACAAGATGTATTCAGTCAAACGTTTGTGTTTTAATATTCAAAATAACAGTATCTTGTTGTTTTTTTTCAACAACATCTGTTTCTTTTCATATCCCTTTAATTAAATATTTAAACCAAACTTTTTTGAATATTTTAACTATTTAAATTTTTGGGCCCAATGGAAAAAAGGGTTTTGAAAGAAATTATCTGAAAATCGCTTGGGGCCCTTTGGGTTAAAACCCCCAGAAAGAGAAAATACCATTTTTTTTCCTTTGGGAGTTTTAAATTTTCCACCCTCATTGATCAATTCGGGTTTTGGTTATTTTGAAAAGTTTTTGACAGTATGCATATAATTTTTATTTTTTCCCTTACACAAACTTTAAAAATTGAATTTTGAAAAAAAACTAAAACCTTTTCCCCCTTTTTTGTTGAATGTTAAAACACTGTTTTTGGGCATAAGATTTTGCTTTTTATCCCATTTTTCCGCGTCCAAGAAGAATTTAAAAAATAATTTTCTCGTACCTCAGGCCAATTCCAGCTGAAATAAAACAAGAGCTGTCGGTAGGACAGTGTACTTGACTATTGTCAGTGCTTGACAAAATCCTACATATTGTAAAATTTTCTAAGTTCAAAATGGGCCATAAATCTGTCAAAATTTATGTCAGAGTTTTACGTTGGATAGTGACCTCCTATAATGCTCTTAAATAAGTGTGTGAAGTTTGAACTCATTTCCCTTGGTCTTTTTTGAGAAACCAACAGGCACACAAAAACATAATCAAAGTATGATGCAAACACCGATTCCTGGGTGAGTACAATAGCTCTTCGAATAGCTGAGCAAAACAAAAATACCTTACCATATAAAAACACATGGGGAAAAGCTGGTTCCTCTATACTGCATTCAAACTTTGTTTATAGGGGAACAAAACAAATTTGGAGCAATCCATGTGCATATTTCTAATGAAAATCGATCAGAGTTAAACTAAAAAGGTTTCTCATACTCAGAATTGTGGATTTCATAAACTTAAAAAAAAAGTATCAAAACATAATGAAGGAAGGCTAAAATTACCTTATTTGTTGATATGGGAACATTGTCATAGTCTGTTCACAAGAAAATAAATGACTTAAGAATATGAGCAACACTGTTGTTGATTTGAAACAGCCAAGAAATGACAATGATCATCAGAACAAGAGGGTCATGATGGCCCTGAGGTCGCTCACCTGTATATAGCCCAACCCCCCAAACGTTGCAGGGCCAATTTAACCCAAGGGCTTTTATTTTGCACAAACCACAAAGGGTAGATACCCATAAGATGTTTCATGCTAAACATCTAAGCTATAGCTCATTGGGCTTTTTATAAGAAGATTTTTTTTAAGTTTTTACTATACACATATAGTTAAAAAAAATGATACCCCTGGGGCAGGGCCAATTTTGACCCCAGGGCTTTTATTTGAACAAACTTTGTAGACACTCACTAAAAAGATGTTTCATGCTTAATATCTTAACTCTAGCTTTTTGGGTTTTTTTTAAAAGATTTTTTAAGTTTTTTGCTATACAACATATAAGGAAAATCAATGACCCCTGGGACGGTGGCCAATTTTGACCCCAGGGCTTTTATTTGCACAAACTTGGTAGACACCTATTAGAACATGGTTTGATGCTAAAATATCTTAGCCATAGCTCTTTGAGTTCTTTAAAAGAAGATTTTTTAAGTTTTTTACTATATGCATATAGGGAAAATCAATGACCCCCCGGGGCGGGGCCAATTTTAACCCCAGGGCTTTTATTTGAACAAACTTTGTAGACACTCACTAGAAGATGTTTCATGCCAAATATCTAAAGCTTCTAGCTCTTATGGTTTTTTTAAAAGAAGATATTTCAAGTTTTTTCTTTCGGTTGCCATGGCAAACAGAGTTCTGCATGGAATTAAATTCTTTGAACAATTTTTAAAGGTAACCACCAAAGGAACATTCCTGTGAAGTTTGGATGAAATTGGCTTGGGGGTTTATGAGGAGATGTCATTTAAAGTAAAAGTTTACGGACGGACGCCGGACGAAAAGCGATCACAAAAGCTCACCCTGTCACTTTGTGACAGGTGAGCTAAAAACACAAAGCTCAATTTTGTGCCTAAGTGAACTGATTTACAAAAGAAATTATTATTTTTTTTACTTTTTCATATTGAAGATAAAGGAATAGTTTAAAATATTGATATACCTCCTCTGCCCATTCATAGACTTTATCTAAAGCTGATCTCATAAAGTTATTTGGTGGGTACCTTATCTGCAATTAAAATATATATACACATTGTATACATGTATATCATGCAAAATGAACACAAACAATAGCTTCTTATTTTTAACATGAAAAAGCCATAGTGACTGTGTAGTAGAAAACTTGTTAAATTACCTGGACAATAACATAGGGCAGTGCCAGTGGTTATGTATTGTTTGAATGGTATTTCTGACACCTAAAAATTTCATGGTATGCATTCATTAAGTTGCTGCTCACCATACATATATCATGTAATGCTGAATCTGTGCAATTTATGACTGTAACAAGCAATTTTGAAAGTACACAGACCAATATATTGTATAGCAAATCAAATTGAAAGAAATGAATTAGATATCATATTTCAACACCCATTGCAAATATTTCCAGGATTTTTTTTACTTTTCTAGATCATTCCTGATAATGACAATCTGGTTACACTTAACACTAAATACTGAGTGCATGAAAAATTTAAACAACTTTGGTAGAGGACCTATAGATGATATTATTTAGCATCAAAGCTCTATGCCTTGTACCTTCAGACAAAAATATTTTTTTTATTTTTTTACAATATGTACATAATGAAAATCAATGACCCCCGAGGTGGAACCAATTTTGACCCCAGGGCTATAATTTTAACAATCTTGGTAGAGGTTCACTTCGCAAAGCCTCATGCCATATATTTAACCTCTAGCCTTTGTCAATTCAGACAAGAAGATATTTCAAGTTTTTACTTTATACATATAAGGAAAACTATCGCCTCTGGGGGCAGGGCAATTTTAACACTTTGGGCATAATTAAAAAAAAAAACTTTAGTAGAGGACCTATAGATGATATTTTATACCAAATATCAAAGCTCTAAGCCTTGTACCTTCAGACAATAAGATTTTTTGGTTTTTTACTATATGTATATATTGAAAATCAATGACCCCCGGGGCGGCCAGGGCTATAATTTTAACAATCTTGCTAGAGGTTCACTACACAATGTTTCATGCAAAATATCTAACCTCTAGCATTTGTCAATAGCTAGAAGAAATTTTTTTAAAGTTTTTACTATAAGTTTTTACGATATACATATAAAGAAAACCAATGACCCCTGGGGCGGGGCCGATTTTGACCCCAGGGCTACAATTTGAACAATCTGGGTAGAGGTCTACCAGACAATGCCTTACAAAATATCTAAGCTCTAGGCCTTTTGGGTCTTAACAAAATATCTAAGCTCTAGGCCTTTTGGGTCTTAACAAAATATCTAAGCTCTAGGCCTTTTGGGTCTTAACAAAATATCTAAGCTCTAGGCCTTTTGGGTCTTAACAAAAAGGTAAATTAAGTCTGATGAGTTTTTGTCAATCTTCCAAGGACAAAAACCCCTTCAACCCAAAATGTTGAAATGACCAAGACTTGCAATAAAAAAGATTTAATCTTTTGCATTACTGCTTAAGGCTGAGTCAGTGACTAAGCATTTGACATTTTTTGTTTGTTAACTCTTTTAATATTTGTAGCCTGGAACCCCGTTGTATCGATCTAGTTACTCATAAATCACATCTTATTTTAAAGAAATAAAACTTCCCTAAATCTATAATGTGAATAATTTACTTTGATCCTTTTGTCATTGCATTTACATGGCAAACTTCAATGAAATACAGTCTTTAACTTTGAATATACAGATACTGGCAGCCATGTCAAACAGGTTTATAAAATTAGGTCACGCCATTAGATCGATGCATTGTAAGAATTGCTTAGAAAGTCCAAATATGGAAAGCCTGAACCATCTTTATGAAAGATTTTTAATCATTTAGAAACAAATCTGTCTTTTTTCAATGTATAAAGGGTACTGGAAACATGTTTTTGATATTTTTTAAAGAAAAAAACACACCAAAAAACAAAAGCTAAAGTTTGATGTGACAATGTTGTAAATGTAAACAATCAGTAGATGGCACATTTTGCAAAATTATTACAAGTTTTGTAAACAGATCAAATACAATGAATAGGACAATACAATGGGGTTCTACTATGTAAACAAATGAAATTGAACCGTCCCTCCATCAATATTCCCCTCAATTATTAATTTTTTGGAAAAAGGTAATTTCCCCTTACAAAAAAACTTTTTTTAAAATTTTGAAAAACAATTTTCATGTTTTCCTTTTTAACCCAATTTAAACCCAAAAAAATTTTTTTAATATTTTTGAAAAAATTGTTTTTTTTTTTAAATTTTTCTTTTAAAAAATTTAAAAAACCCCATTTTTTTTTAGATGTATTTTTTTTGTTTAACTATTTTAAAAAGCAAAAAAAGTGGGTACAAAATTTTGTGGGCATTAATTTTTTTGGTAAACCTGAAAAGAATTTAAAACAAAATTTGGGTTAAAAATTTTACCTTTTGGCTTAAAGGGCCCTTTTTTAAGCTACCCCTATCATTTAAAAAAGGAAAAACAAACTGCAGGGAAACCAAAAAAAAAGGATTAAAGAAACTATTTAAAAACTATTAAAATCCAAAAATTTACAAAAAAAACCAAATTTGGGTTGGGAAATGGGGATTCTGGGCCATTTTAAATTTAAAAGTGAAACTTCCTAAGAAGTTTAAATGATTGGATGTAAAACTCAAATAAAAGCTGTTTAATTTCAGTCAGTGTTTGCCCAGAAATATTCCTGACAAAATTTAGGGACAGATAAAACTAGAACGAGCTTTTGTCACAAAAACATATGTCTCCTAAAACTAGGTATGGTACTGATCAACCCTATGAAAGCTGGACAAGATTTTTTTTCAAGTTATAGCTTTCGTGGCCAAAGCAAAAATTTACATGCCGGCAATATGGACAACTAGGGATGGTACTGATCACTCCTGTAAAGTATGGACAAAGTCCAACCAGTAGTTTGACCTGTGAAAGCCTGACAAAATTTTTCTATTTACAGCTATGGTTGCTATTTTGTGCAGCAAAGCTGAGTGTGCCAGCAACATGCACAAATAAGTATGGTACTGATCACTCCTGTGAAATTTCAAGAAATCCCCCCAGCAGTTCTACGTGTGAAAGCCTGACAATATTTTTAGCTCTGGTGGCCATTTTGTGCAACAAAGAGTGATGTGCCAGGGATATCTTCAGATCTATCAGTTTAACCTTTTAAGCTGGACAAGATTTTTCTATTTATAGCTCTGGGGGCCATTTTTTGCAGTGAAGTGGAATGCCTGCGATATGCACAACTAAGTATGGTACTGATCACTCCTGTAAAGTTCCAGTGATATCCCCCCCAGCAGTTCAACCTGTGATAGCTGGACAAGATGTTTCTATTTTAAGCACTGGTGGCCATTTTGTGCAGCCAAGTGGAAATCCGAATGTGCCAGGGATATGCACAACTAGGGGTGGTATGAATTTAAATTGGGTAATTTAAGTTTTTCAAATTAAAAAAAACCCACTAACATTTAACTTTTTAAGGCTGGACAAGAAAAAATTTTTCTTTAAAATTTTAGTCTTGGGGGGCCATTTTGGGTGCAATTTAAAACGGAAAAAATGCCCGCATATCAAAAACTAAATTTTGGGTAAAATGGATAATTCCCTTTGAAGTTCCAGTAAACCCCCCCCCCCAAAAAATTCAAACCTGTGGGTAGCTGGAAAAACGATTTTTCTTTTTAAAAAGCTTGGTGGCCTTTTGGTCACCAAAAAAAAAATTTTGCCAGAGAAAATGCCAAAAAATTTTGGGAATTTGGGAAATAAATCATTTTTAGAAGGTTTTTAAATTTAAAAAAATTTCCCAAAAGTTTTTCCCCGTGAAGGGGGGGGACAGAAAGAAGGAACAGAACAGAAGGAAAACAGACCCGACAGGGGGCAGAGGGGGGAAAAAACAATGTCTTCAAAAATTTTGGGAGACAAAATGAAAGACAGAGGTACTTAAGAAATTTGTTTAAAATATTGAAATTGGTTTTCACGAAAAAGGTAATGAATGTTTAACCATCTATCAAGTATACTCATAAAATAACCAGAGACCTTACCTCTGTTCATTGCATTTTCTAACACATGGTGTTATTTTGTTTTCTTTCAATAGATGGGCTTTTATTTCCTATTTTGTGTTAAGATTTTTTAAGTTTATTTTTGACTCTTATGACTTACTAATGCATTATACTCAAACAATTTATAAAACATTGCCTTTTTTGAGGCAACCTAAGAATCAATCCTGTGAAGTTTGGTCAAAATCCACATTGTGAATTAACTAAAGGAGAGGATGTTATCTAGAGATTTTGTGGGCAACAACAGACAACGACATATTGACTTCATAAAAGCTCACCTTTGACCTCTCAGGTGAGCTAACAAGAGCACCGCTAGGCGGAGCATTATATGCCCGAAAGTGTTTTTTTTTTTTTTTTTTAGTAAAGATGAAGCATTTGTAAGACATTGGAAATAAAGTATTACCTCCTTAAAATAACAATCCTCCTATGAAGTTTGAATACTGTGGTCCAAATGGAACTTAAGTTATGCCCCTGAAATTGTTTTCAGTTTTCAAGTAATAAAGACCATGACCTTTGACCTTGTGACCCTAAAAATCACTACGGGTCTTCTACCCGATATAAACAATCATCCTATGAAGTTTGAACACTATGGGCCAAATGAAACTTAAGTTATATTCCAAAAACTGTTTTCAGTTTTAAGGTAATAGTGACCTTGACCTTGTGACCCCAAAATCAATAGGGGTCTTCTGCCCAATATGGACAATCATCCTATGAAGTTTGAATATTGTGAGCCAAATGGAACTTAAGTTATACTTAAGAAACTGTTTTCAATTTCAAGTAATAGTTACTTTGACCTTGTGATCCCAAAATCAATAGGGGTCTTCTACCCAATATAGACAATCATCCTATGAAGTTTGAACATTGTGGGTGAAATAGGACTTAAGTTATGTTCCGGAAACTGTTTTTAGTTTTAAGGTAATAGTGACCTTGACCTTGTGACCCCGGAATCAATAGGGGTCTTTTACCAGGATATGGACAATCATCCTTTGAAGTTTGAACACTGTGGGCCAAATGGAACTTACAGGCTGTCCAGCACCTTCTGACAAAAAATTAGGGCAAATTATAGGGCAATTTTAAAGAAATTTTAGGGCTAAAATTAGGAAAATTAGGGTAAATAAAAGAAATTTTAGGGCTAAAATTAAATAAAGGAAATTTTAGGGCTAAAATTTGGAATTTTATAACTAAATTATGGCCTCAAAAGACCATGACATGGGTTGGTACATTTTCAACAAGTCTTGATCTTAAAAAACAATAAAAATGATATGACCCACTCAAGTCATTCCAACTTAAATTCAAACAGCAGGGTATATACCTATGATGAATTTGTTCAAGATAAATCAGGCTACTAAAAATTGTAGAAAATTTCACAACAGTGTCAGTTTTTTCAATCATTTTCAACAGTTTTTTTCCAGATTTTAAAAAACTTACACTATATGTTATAACATAAGTTCAGTACATGTTAATGCGTACAAAAAGGGCAGCTGAAGGTGTCACTTCTTAGTAAGCTAATTGGGTAGCAAAATTGTAAAAGCATCCAATCACTACTGCCAGTTTACATTACCCACTTTATAATTAGCAAATATGGAAACTTGTCTAGATCTGCCAGCTGGTATCACTTACAAAAGATCTGTTCTAGTCATCACTTGAAAATAACTTGTTTTATTAATAAGGACCCCTACATAGAAATTGATGAAATTTAGTGGTTCATCATGTAAATAGTTGCTTTAAATACACCTAAGACTGAGGTAAATGGTAAAAACTCTATAGCCAATAAAAACTTACTTCCTTGGAAATTTTTTTATCACAATTTGAAACAGGTGACTATTTTGATATAGTCAATGTCAGCCAGTTTTCATTTTTCCATTTAAAACAAAGTTAACAGTTTCCTATTATTTTTCTGATAACATCTGACAATCAAGTATAGCATTTCTGTATGAGTTGAAGTAAATACAACATGTGACTTCATGTAATTTAGTCAGACATGACATCAGCTCCACTGACTGTGTTCCAATTAAGGTTGAGATTGAAACATGGTTGTTTCACGATATATTTATCACAAAAGATAAAAAAATAGGAATTAAGTGAAAAAATAGGGCTTTTTTAGGAATTCCCTTTGAATTTTTCATTTTTTTAAGGAAATTTAGCCAAGCTGAAAAAAATTAGGATTTTTTAGGAATTTTAGGGATGCTGGACAGCCTGATTACTTAAGTTATGCTCAAGAAATTGTTTTCAGTTTAAAATAGTGACCTTGACCTTTGACCTCAAAATCAATAGGGGTCTTCTACCCAATATAGACAATCATCCTATGAAGTTTGAACACTGTAGGCCAAATGGGACTTAAGTTATGCTCCGTAAACTGTTTTCAGTTTTAAGGTCAGTGACCTTGACCTTGTGACCCCAAAATCAATAGGGGTCTTCTACCAAATATGGACAATCATCCTATGAAGTTTGAATATTGTGGGCCAAATGGAACTTAAGTTATGATCCGGAAACCAAATTGCTAACGGACGGACAGACGCCAGGGGGTATAACATAATATGCCCGAAATTCTTTTGAGCATATAAAAAGGAATTAATTTTTTTTTTCAAAATCTTACCTTGTAAAACTTTATCATGATGTCTCTCATACAATAATTGCATCATGTCAATGGATGCAGTTTTTCTCCTTAATGCGTTAGATGCACTGTTAATAAAAAGGTAACATTTAAATAGTCAATTTTAACAATATACGAGTACATGCACAAAACACAAAGAACATGTTTATGAATGCTACAGGAACTTTTATATTTGTTGATGCATTCCAGTACAAAATATATAGGAATTTTGATTTATTTTTAGCATTTTTGACCTTGCCCTTAACCCTACTAACCAATAAATCCAAACAAAGTTAAAGGTCCACCAAAGATATGCTCTTATCAAATATGAAAGTCATCCTTCAATGATTGTACAAGTTAAAGTGTAACTAGAAATGCATTACATAGATTGACCCAAATTAGGCTTAAACTCAAAATGTTTACATAATTAATGTTTATTTATTAATTACTCAACTTTCAAAAAGTTCTACAAATAAGGTTTCTGGAAGGACTGGAAAAAAAATTTAGCTAGAAAAACATATTTTAAACTAAGGACAAAAAAAACCTCCACTTACAATATTTTCTGAGTTAAATCATCTGGGAGTCTCTTCATCAAATCTATATCACGTTTCCTATTTAGAAACTTTACAAATCCTGAAATGAGATATATAAACACTGTATAAACAAGATATGTTTGTAAAACATGTATGCCCCCTATCAGCAGCCAATTAGTCATGTGATAAGGTTATTATGACTTCTGACCCAGTGATCAAACAATTAATAAGGGTTATCAAGTATCTACTGGTCATGACCTTAACCTTTGACCCCTTGACCCAAAACTCAATAGGGGTCATCTGCTGGTCACGACCAATCATCATACAAAGTTTGAAGTTCCTAGGCCTAAGCGTTTTTAGTTAATTGATCGGAAACCGTTTTAACATACAAGGTCAATGTGACCTTGACCTTTGACCCCTTGACCCCAAAATCAATAGGTCATCTGCTGGTCATGACCAATCACCATACCATGTTTGAAGTTCCTAGGCCAAAGGGTTCTTAAGTTATTGATTTGAAAGCATTTTTACCTACAAGGTCAATGTGACCTTGCCCTTTGACCCCTTAACCCCAATATCAATAGGGGTCATCTACTGGTCATGACCAATAATCATACCAAGTTTGAAGTTCCTAGGCCTAAGGGTTCTTTCGTTATTGATCGGAAACCGTTTTTACCTAAGAGGTCAATGTGACCTTGACCTTTGACCCATTGACCCCAAAGTCAATAGGGGTCATCTACTGATCATGACCAATCACCATATCAAGTTTAAAGTCCCTAGGCCTAAGGGTTCTTTCGTTATTGATCGGAAACCGTTTTTACCTACAAGGTCAATGTGACCTTGACCTTTGACCCCTTAACCCCAAAATAAATAGGGGTCATCTGCTGGTCATGACCAATCACCATACCAAGTTTGAAGTTCCTAGGCATAAGGGTTCTTAAGTTATTGATCGGAAACCATTTTTACCTACAAAGTCAATGTGACCTTGACCTTTGACCCCTTGACCCCAAAATCAATAGGGGTCATCTGCTGGTCATGACCAATCACAATACCACGTTTGAAGTTCCTAGGCCTAAGGGTTCTTTCGTTATTGATCGGAAATCGTTTTTACCTACAAGGTCAATGTGACCTTGACATTTGACCCATTAACCCCAAAATCAATAGGGGTTATCTGCTGGTCATGCCAATCACCATACCAAGTTTGAAGTTCCTAGGCCTAAGGGTTCTTTTGTTATTGATCAGAAACCGTTTTTACCCAAGAGGTCAATGTGACCTTGACCTTTGACCCCTTGACCCTAAAATCAATAGGGGTCATCTACTGATCATGACCAATCACCATACCAAGTTTGAAGTTCCTAGGCCTTAAAGTTCTTAAGTTATTGATCGGAAACCATTATTGCTTACAAGGTCAATGTGACCTTGACCTTTGACCCCTTGACCCCAAAATCAATAGGGGTCATCTACTGATCATGACCAATCACCATACCAAGTTTGAAGTTCCTAAGCCTTAAAGTTCTTTAGTTATTGATCGGAAACCGTTTTTGCTTACAAGGTCAATGTGACCTTGACCTTTGACCCCTTGACCCCAAAATCAATAGGGATCATCTACTGATCATGACCAATCACCATATCAAGTTTGAAGTTCCTAGGCCTTAAGGTTCTTTAGTTATTGATCGGAAACCGTTTTTGCTTACAAGGTCAATGTGACCTTGACCTTTGACCCCTTGACCCCAAAATCAATAGGGGTCATCTACTGGTCATGACCAATCACCATACCAAGTTTGAAGTTCCTAGGCCTAAGGGTTCTTTAATTATCACTCGGAAACCACTTGGTCTACGGACCGACGGACTGACAAGTGCAAAGCAATATACCCCCTTTTCTTCGAAATGGGGGCATAATAACACAAATGTTATTCAGGACTCACAATGAAAACTGTCCATATCTAATTATAAGACACATTTTTTTAAACTCAAATATACACATGTACAGTGGTTAGTGTATCTTATTATTGAATATTGCAGAAAAACTGATCAATTTTTGTTTTCTTAAATTTCTTCTTACTAGCCATAATTACACATTATCAACCTTCACTGTTGCTTTCGTCGGCAGCCATTTTTTAATATCCGGCTAAAATATGATGGTCAATGTCTATATTAAGTAATGGTAAATTGGGAAGGTTTATTGCTTTTACTGGTATCATCACAGAGTTATATCTGTGTAAGAAGTTTCTTATATCATAGCTTATCTGCAAATTGAAACTTGTGTTTAAATTTTTTGTTGTCTATAATTTTCAAAAATAAAGACTAGTGGTGGCATGGCTGAGTGGTTAATGCTTCGGACTAGTAATCTTATGATCGCTAGCCACATGGGTTCAAACCCTGACAGGGGCAAGTCGTTGTTTCCTTGAGCAAGAAACTTTACACTCATTGCTCAGTACTGATTGGTTCCAGGAATGAATTTGAAAGTGCGTTTATAAGCTAATAGCTTCCTACACAATCAAACTAAAATAAATTTCTGTATATAAAAATAAAGACATATAAATTCATTTATAATATGGCAGGTTTACATGTCCTAAAACAAGCCACCAATGGGCAGGGGCAATGCTCCACTTTTATTTACTTTTTCTAAAAGCAAACAAACTGTTTAAACTAATCTTTATAAGGAAATTTAAAGATTAAATATTTAAGGTTTTCCTTTTTTTATTTACATAGGTCTGTCTAGTCTTACTTGTTGGTTTGTCCAAGTTTGAATCATTTCCATAAATAAATGGCAAAATTAAGAAAATACAAGCAAAATTTAACTAGAACTATCAGTAAGTGTGATTAATACCCCCGCAAGACTGCTTCGGAAATGAGGATGTTGCTAGTAACAGAATACCTTGTAAAACAATTGAAATACAGTTATGGTTGTGGGCAATTAAAGATAGTTGCGGTTCTTGTATGTTGCATTTCCTTTCAATGTGGTTGGCCATTGATGAAGTTTTATTGAATTACTCTGCAATAAGTCCAGAAAGACAAGGAAAAGGAACAAAGGGCAATAACTCTATAAATACTGAAGATGGAGTTATGGTTATTGTACACTGCACTTCCTCTCATTGCACTTGACCATTATATGAAGTTGTATTGAATTCCATCTACAAGTTTTCAAGATATGCACAGGACAAAAAAACACAGGGCAATAACTGTAATTAGTCCAAATGGAGTTATCGTTCTTGAGCAATGCACTTCATCTCACTGCCCTTGACCATTGTATAAAGTTTCATTGAATTTCAACCATTAATTTTCAAGTTATGCACTGGACAATAAAAAGTGACAAAGGGCAAAAACTTTAAATGAGTCCAGAAAGAGTTATGATTTCTGTACACTGTGCTTCCTCTCAATATACTTGACCATTGTATGAAATTGAATTGAATTCCAACAACTAGTAGTTTTCAAGTTATGCTCTGGACAAGAAAAAAAGCAATGAAAAAGTAACAAAGGGCAATAACTCTATAATTACTCTAGACAGAGTTATAGTTTTTGTGCACTGCACTTCCTCCTTTTGTGCTTGATCATTGTATAAAAGTTTTTTTTAATTCCAAACCAGTAACGTTTTAAGTTATGCTCTGGACAAAGGATAAGTAATCAAAGGGCAATAACTTTGTAAATTTGGTCAAAATGATGTTATTGTTCTTGTGCACTGCACTTCCTCTTATTGTGCTTGACAACTGTATGAAGTTGTATTGAATTCCAACCAGTAGTTTTCAAGTAATGGTCCGGACAAGGAAAAGTAACAAAGGGCGATAACTCTGTAATTAGTCAAGATGGAGTTTATGGTTCTTGTGCACGCAACTTCCTCTAACTGTGCCTTGACCATTGTATGATGTTATATTGAATTCAACCATTTGTCTTCAAGTTATGCTCCGGACAAAAAAAGCAATGGAAAAGTAACAAAGGGCAATAACTCTGTAATTAGTCAACATGAAGTTATGGTTCTTGTGCACTGCACTTCCCCTTATTGTGCTTGACAATTGTATGAAGTTGTTTTGAAACAAGGAAAAGTAACAAAGGGCAGTAACTCTGTCATTAGTCAAGTTGGAGTTATGGTTCTTGTGCACTGCACTTCCTCTAACTGTGCTTGACAACTGTATGATGTTATATTGAATTCCAACCATTAGTCTTCAAGTTATGGTCCGGACAAAAGAAAGCAATGGAAAAGTAACAAAGGGCAATAACTCTGTAATTAGTCAAGATGAAGTTATGGTTCTTGTGCACTGCACTTCCTCTTACTGTGCTTGGCCATTGTATGATGTTATATTGAATTCCAACCATTAGTCTTCATGTTATGGTCCGGACAGAAGAAAGCAATGGAAAAGTAACAAAGGGCAATAACTCTGTAATTACTTTAGATAAAGTTATGGTTCTTGTGCACTGCACTTCCCCTTATTGTGCTTGACAATTGTATGAAATTGTTTTGAATTCCAAACAGTAGTTTTCAAGTTATGCTCTGGACAAGGGAAAGTAACAAAGGGCAGTAACTCTGTAATTTGTCAAGATAGAGTTATGGTTCTTGTGCACTGCACTTCCTCTCAATGTGCTTGACCATTGTATAAAATTATATTGAATTCCAACCATTAGTCTTCAAGTTATAGTCCAGACAAAAGAAAGCAATGGAAAAGTAACAAAGGGCAATAACTCTGTAATTACTTTAGATAGAGTTATGGTTCTTGTGCACTGCACTTCCCCTTATTGTGCTTGACAATTGTATGAAATTGTTTTGAATTCCAAACAGTAGTTTTCAAGTTATGCTCTGGACAAGGGAAAGTAACAAAGGGCAGTAACTCTGTAATTTGTCAAGATAGTCTAGAGTTATGGTTCTTGTGCACTGCACTTCCTCTCAATGTGCTTGACCATTGTATGAAATTATATTGAATTCAAACCATTAGTCTTCAAGTTATGGTCCGGACAAAAGAAAGCAATGGAAAAGTAACAAAGGGCAATAACTCTGTAATTACTTTAGATAGAGTTATGGTTCCTGTGCACTGCACTTCCTCTCAATGTGCTTGACCATTGTATGAAGTTATATTGACTTCCAACCATTAGTTTTCAAGTTATGCTCCGGACAAGGAAAATGCAACGGACCGTTTGACCGACCGACCACCGGGTGACTCCAAAATATACCCCCCCAAACTTTGTTTTTGGGGGTATAATGATCTGACCTTGACAGTCAGTCATTAAAAGATCAGGGTCATATCTAAATTATTCAACATGTCGTTTGGTCACAAGTGTTGTTTTGTCCATGTATGAATCAAATCCGTACATAAATAACTATGACAACTTAATCAAAGTTCAATCATTTGACCTTGAAAGTCAATGTCATTTAAAGCTCAAGGTCATAATAAGTTGATCTGGGGTAAAAAATCTGGTGAGTGGTCCCTGGGCAAGGTATGGCAATTACATCAAAATATCAAAGTGTCGGCTAAAGTGCTAAAACTGAATATGATTTCCCAGTAATGCTGCCAATTCTAAAATACAAACAGCAGAAGAACTGTATTGCTTCCTAGGCCATTGCCATTTTTAAAAAAAACAAGGGTGCCATAGTCACAAAATACGCCCGTTTACGAAAGCTTTAGATGGAGATGGGGGCATTATGGATAAGTGTTATCTAGCAAGCAAGTTTTTATTCTTGGCACTGTGTTGTTAAATGAACCTTAAAACAAATCAGTAGGGAAGATATGCACAGGATGTGTGACCTTGACCTTGGTCGCAGGGACCTGAATTTTATGCATGGCACTCAGCTTCACAATGATGAACATTTGTGCCAAATTATATTGAAATCCCTCTATGCATGTAGAAGTTTTGCTCCAGACAAGCGTTTTTCTATGAGCTCTAACTGTGACCTTCACCTTTGACCTGAGACTTGGTTCATGTGCAGGGCACTACGTCTCATGGTGGTGAACCATTCTATAAAGTAACATTAAAATTTCTCCATGCATGTAGAAAATATGCTCCGGACAACATCTGGATATTTAATCATCTCCAGTGACCTTGACCTTGCAAATATTAACCTAAATTAAATGTGTCACACCTGTAGTCATGATAGTTACAATTTGTGCTACAATCCATCAATAAATGATGACTAAATGGTCCCTATACACATCTTCAAATTTTTATCTGAACTTTGACCTCTATGTGTAACCTTGACTTTGGTCGCAGGGATCTAAATTTTGCGTGCGACACTCAGCCTCACAATGGTGAACATTTGTGCCAAGTTATATTGAAATCCCCCTATGAATGTAGAAGTTTTGCTCCGGACAAGCGTTTTTCAATGAGCTCTAAGTGTGACCTTGACCTTTGACCTGGATCATGCATGGAGCAATACATATCATGGTGGTGAAACATTTCCATAAAGTATTATAAAAATTCTTCCCTGCATGTAGGTGATATGCTCCAGACAAAATCTGGATATTTCATCATCTTTTTGGACCTTGACCTTGCATATATTGACCTAAAGTACATGTGTCACAGCCGTAGTCATGATAATGACCATTTGTGTTACAATCCCTCAATAAATGATGATTAAATCGTCCCTATACACATCTTCATATTTTTATCTAAACTTTGACCTCTATGTGTGACCTTGACCTTGGCTGCAGGGACCTGAATTTTGTGCGCGACACTCCGCCTCACAATGGTGAACATTTGTGCCAAGTTATATTGAAATCCCTCTATGCACGTGGAAGTTTTGCTCCGGACAAGCGTTTTTCAATGAGCTCTAAGTGTGACCTTGACCTTTGACCTAGAGACCTAGTTCATGTGCGTGACATGGCTTCTCATAATGGTGAACATTTCTATGAAATTTCATTAAAATCCCTCCATGCGTGTAGGAGATATGCTCCAGACAAAATCTGGATATTTCATCATCTTTAGTGACCTTGACCTTGTATATATTGACCTAAATTATATGTATCACAGCCATAGTCTTGATAATAACCATTTGTGTTACAATCCCTCAATAAATGATGACTGAATGGTCCATATACACATCTTCATATTTTTATCTGAACTTTGACCTCTATGTGTGACCTTGACCTTGGCCGCAAGGACCTGAATCTTGCGCGCGACACTCTGCCTCACAATGGTAAACATTTGTGCCAAGTAATATTGAAATCCCTCTATACCCATGTGGAAGTTTTGCTCCGGACAAGCATTTTTCAATGAGCTCTAAGTGTGACCTTGACCTTTGACCTAGAGACCTGGTTCATGTGCGCAACACTGCTCCTCATAGTGGTGAACATTTCTATGAAGTTTCATTTAAATCCCTCCATACATGTAGGAGATATGCTCCGGACAAAATTGGACGCCGCCCACCCGCCCGGGGCGTTCCCATAATACGTCCCGTTTTTCAAACGGGCGTATAAAAATAGGTAACATGTACATTAAAACATTTTTGTTTAAGTATAGATTAAAGTTTATTAGTCCGTATTTACAAAATTAAATTGGTCAGGTGCGGCATAGCCATGCAACCGATTCCATTTTGTTAATATGTACTAATACATTTTAACCAGCTTAGTGTTTAAAATTATTTTTTAAAACAGTCCATTTACTAGACTGATTAACAGTTTGCTGTTTTTACCGTGATAAATGTGTTACGATTCAATTGAAAAACTGCAATCCTATTGGACAAAAACAAATTTCACACACTAAACATTATTTAGGTCCAGCCCAAAAAATAAGATGTTGCATCCTTAAAGTGGCTATATATAGTAATGCAAAGCAGCTAAAAAAATTCAATCTCGCTGAATAGCCTAACTGCCCTTATATATATATCCTTGAATAAAAATTAAATTCTTTACTAGATTTTGGGCAATAAGAACTTTGTTTGAAATGACAATTTACAAATTTGGGCTAATAAGACACGTGGTAGAACATGTTAAATCTTGCTTTAGATACTTACTAGTCCCCATATCTCCACTAGGAAGATTCTCGTGTAATTCTTCATCAGTCATATCATGGAACCTATAGTGTTAATTCAATTATAGGTCATAAAAGTCTGTATACAGTGTATGATAGTATTATTTTCATGAACAATGATCTAATTCACTATAAACCTGTTTTCACCCAAAAAGCAACATTAAGATCGTAAAAATTTATTTTTTTACACCAGTTACCTTGATCTAGTGACCCTAACTCAACTGAAAGTAAGAGGACCATTAAAGGTATCCACCTACCAAATATGGAATATTTCATCAAATAAATGAAGTAACTAAGATAAATTTTATAGTAAAATAAATTCATCTTGCCAGAATAGGTTAACCATATGAGCCGCATCACGACAAAACCAACAGTGCGTTTGCGACCAGCATGGATCCAGACCAGCCTGCGCATCTGCGCAGTCTGATCAGGATCTATGCTGTTCGCTATCAGTTTCTCTACTTGTAATAGGGTTGGTTAGCGAACAGCATGGATCCTGATCAGACTGCGCGGATGTGCAGGCTGGTCTGGATCCATGCTGGTCGCAAACGCACTATATTGGTTTTGCCGTGACGCGGCTCATATTTTCTAACTAACTGGAAACAAGAGGGCCATCATAATGATGGCCCTGAAGTCGCTCACCTGTATATAGGCCCCTGGAGCTGGGCCAGTTTAAACCCAAGGGCTTTTGTTTGAACAAACTTGGTAGACACCCATTAGAAGATGTTCCATGCTAAACATCTAAGGTCTAGCTGGTCAAGTTTTTTCTTTACACATACAGTGTTTCTGCCAGCTCTGATTTTCTGAGGGTCTTTTATGACCCCCTGTATGATATTTTAGGGGTCATTTCAAATTCATAAGGGTCATGCAAATAAATTTAACAAAAATGTAAAAAACAACAGGTAACACTTTATAAGTTTTATTTTCTAAGGCACTTTACTTCTTGCCTGAGAACATTTATGTACCATCATGTAGTTCAACTATATGTGAATAAAAATATTGTTAACTTAAATACTTGTTTTTGTATTATATTTTTAAATAGTTCTTTTAATTTTTTTTGTCAATTTATTCACCTGTATATATCATCAACAAAATTACACCATTTATAATGGATTGTTTTTCTTTCGGGGAATTGGGGTCCATGTCAACATTTTTTTATATGATACTTCTTTTTGTTCATGAACAACAATATTTTGTGTATTTTTCGTAAAGAAATTGGTCAATCTCCGCTATTTTGGAGCGGACGGCATTTTCCAGCAGACAGTTAATTCGTTCGCGGAATATGACAACAAAATAAATAATTTTGTCTGGGCGCTTTTAATATATGCAGTATCGTATAAATGAAAGCGTTTATTAACTAGTTGAAATTGGCTAAATGCCGGACCACGGACCCGGTAAATTTCATTTCTCATTAAAATTATAGTGGAGCCCACGGTAAACATTCCGTACATTTTTATACTGAATTGACTGTTTATAGTCTGTATATCTGACTCGTGTTGAAATCAGCGACGGTGAAATTCTTGCGTCACAAAATACGCACTAACTAAATTTCATTGCGTCATGGCTGAAAATAGTGCGCCAAAAACGCAAAAACGCGCTCTGGCAGAAACACTGCACATATAGTTAAAAACAATGACACACCTAGGGTAGGGCCAGTTTTGACCCAAGGGCTTTTATTTGAACAAACTTGGTAGAAACCCATTAGAAGATGTTTCATGCTAAACATCTAAGGTCTAGCTGGTCAAGTTTTTTCTTTACACATATAGTTAAAAACAATGACACACATAGGGCAGGGCCAGTTTTGACCCAAGGGCTTTTATTTGAACAAACTTGGTAGAAACCCATTAGAAGATGTTTCATGCTAAATATCTAAGCTCTAGCTCTTTGGGTTCTTTAAAAGAAGATTTTTTAAGTTTTTACTATATGCATATAGGGAAAATCAATGACCCCCTGGGGCTGGGCCAATTTTGACCCAAGGGCTTTTATTTGAACAAACTTGGTAGACACTCACTAGAAGATGTTTCTTGCCAAATATCTAAGCTCTTGCTCTTTGGGTTTTATAGAAGAAGATATTTAAAGTTTTTCTTTTGGTTGCCATGGCAACCAGAGTTCTGCATGTAATTAAATTCTTTGAACAATTTTCAAAGGTGACCACCAAAGGAACATTCCTGTGAAGTTTGGATGAAATTGGCTAAGTGGTTTATGACGAGATGTCATTTAAAGTAAAAGTTTACAGACGACGGACGACGGACGGACGGACGACGGACGAAAAGCGATCACAAAAGCTCACCCTGTCACTTTGTGACAGGTGAGCTAAAAATGGATAGGACAGTCATATAACTTGGCAATATCATGTACTTTGCATTGATAAGTGTGGAAATTATTATGTCATTTGTACACAAAGGGCTTCAAGATAGATTCTATATCCAACTTGCCAATTTATGTTAACCATATCAATTTTCAAAGTGCTGAAAAGGGCAATAACTTGGAAAAAATGGAATCCATAGTTATGTAACTTGCCCAAATTGATTAGTAGCTGTGTAAATTATGAAGTCAATCGTACTTGGCAGGTAGAACTTAAGATAAATCCAAATCGCCATTTTAAGTTAACCTGGTATAGACAGAAGAAATTGGATATTTACATGTACAATAGGGATGACAATGAAAGTTCATCTTGCAAAAGTCTGACATAGTTAAATATATTAAATAAAAACCTCACCTTTCCTGTACTTCATCAAAAGTCAGTCTTTCTCCTCCAATCAAAAGTTTGGACTGAAGTAAAAAAAATAATGTTAAACTGGGTTTTTGTCAAACAAAAAAATTAAAACTGGCGAAGATCTGGCAAGGATACAACTAAATGCCAAATACCTTAATTCTCAGCTTTGTAGCTTCACACAATAAGAATTTAATGTGTTTTCCTATATAAGTCTATATAAAGTGACTGTGTAGCAGGGCAATATTGACTCAAGGGGCATGATAAGTATCAATTTTGCAAAGGTCAACAAGCTTATGCTACATGCTAAATATATTAGCTCTTGGTATTTTAATTTCACACAATAAGACTTAAATGTTGTGTTTTATCTATAGAAGTCTATATAATTTTAGTGTCTACAAGGGTGGGGGGCTTACATTGACCCAAAAGATGTTATTTTAGTTCTTATTTGAAATAACTATAACTACTAATGCCTTATTGAACATAAGGTTTTTTTAACAAAATTTTTAATTTACAAGTTAGGGGGCCAATTGATGCCACTCGCTCGAATGAGGATCTGCAAACTATATCATGGTCCTCTAAAATTTCAAAGTTAACAGGAAATTGGCATTGATTGTACCACAAATACAACAGCAAGATAGGGTATAATTTATCTAACACAACGCGCTGTGACATGAATATTTTATGCTCCATTACCTGATCTTCCTTATCTTTATCCACAACAGGTTCTGCTTTTTCCTGTAAATATACATGTCCAACAAACATTCATTAATTTCTTTGCAAAAAAAAAAAAAAAAAATTCCAACAAGAGGGCAAGAATGGCCATAGATCACTCACCTGAGATCCATTGTAAGTAAAGTTTACAATTCTTCAATACACAAGTAATTAGGTCACATTGGGTGTGTCATTTTTGATGGGCATGATTTATCAAATATTTGTAGATGTCTGCAAGTAGGAAATGCTACAAGAAAAATACCTTATCTCTTACATTGTAGTTTTAAACAATATTTTAATGTGTTTTCTATACATGTCTGTACAAACTTAAAGACCACTTAGGCAAAGACAGTTTTGCTTTTGACACTACAGATCCAGATAAGAAAAATTTTAAAGCTAATTTTACTAAATAAGAATATGCATACTAAATGACCCCCTGGATGGAAAAATTTTTTTTACCCTACGAGCATGATTTACATATTTTCAATGGTCATTGCTATATGTTAAGTATGTATACTGTGGTTGGGCTAGTAAATTTCTACTGGAAGTTTTATATATGTATCCCTATAGATAAATCTCTATATATACTAAGTGACCCAGGGCAGAGATGATTTCAACACCAAGGGTTTACTAAAATGCTAAATATCAGTTCTTATGCACTGCACTTCTTTTTAATGAGATCTATCATCCTATGAAGTTTCAAGTCCATAATTGTGAACAATGTAGTTTAGGGGAAATGGCCAGGACAAAAATGAAATATGAAAAATAACAAAGGGCAATAACTAAAAAAATAATAAGTGCAGAGCAGCAGTTTCTGTACACTGCACTTCTTATCAATAAGATCTATCATTCTATGATGTTTCAAGTCCATAGCTTTCATACTTGAGGAAAAATGACCAGGACAAAAATAAATTAAGAAAAGCAACAAAGGGCAATAACTCAAAAATAAGAAATGCTGAGTATCAGTTCTTATGCACTGCACTTCTTCTTAATGAGACCTATCATCCTATGAAGTTTCAAGTCCATGGCTTTTATACATTAGGAGAAATGGCCCAGACAAAAATAAAGTATGAAAATTAACAAAGGGCAATAACTCAAAAATTAGGAAGTGCAGAGTACTGGTTCTTGTGCACTGCACTTCGGGTTATTGAAAGAAGCATGCATACCAAGTTTGAAGTCAATCAGAATTATAGTGACTGAGTTATGCTCCGGACAAGCTTTAGCGGACGCCGACGCCGCCACCGACAAAAGTAACCCCTATATGTCACCTTTTCAAGGCGACACAATAAAAGTATACCAAAGGTAAAGAAATTATTTGCACATTTGTCATCAATCTATTTAAATTCAACATATAATTATACAAATGTATTAAATTTCAAAACACTGACCTTGACCCCTAGGATTAACTTTAAGTATGACTGAACTCATAACTACTGAAGAACAAAACAACAACTACACGACTCTTTTTTTTTTCTTCAGAAAACATAAAAACCTTACTCAGAGCAGTCATACCAATATGGTTTAAGTCTGTTGGAGTTATTTATTATAATAGACAAATATTACTCAATTATTTATTATAATAGACAAACAGATGATCAATTAATGTGGTAACTGTTGCTAAATTACCTGTTTGGGTTTTTCTTCATTTGACGATGATGCCACAACCTTTTTAACCTTTGGAAGTTCTGTTTTCTCCTGTAAATATACATTTCACTAATTTCTTAAAATATTTAATCTACAGTTATGAACCTTGTCTTAGATGTTGAGTAGTGAGAAAGAGAACAAACTCTGAAGTCTTCCAATATTAAAAAGTTATACAGGAGGTATAAGAAATTATTCAGTGTTGTATTCAGCGTCTAGGCCACGCCATTGAGCAATTTACAATTATTTTTTGCAGATCGTGCATTTTAATGAAGTCAATGCATGCCTAGTCCTGCATCTGAAGATGTTTTTAACTCGCTCCATATGAATGAAAGAACAAGTATTGAATAAAATCAGAGACATAGATGTTATCTACCTCTCTGATAAAATGAAAACTTTGTGTTAAAATGAGCAATTTCTCCTGCATCAGAAAGGATAAATTAGTATGAGCGAAAGAATTAATTTTGCAAAGTCTACATTAATACGAGTAGTTCTATGTTGTTTTGAAATTATGCCAATTTAAAATGTTGTAAGTAAACAAATTTGTACATTAATTAACCACAGTAAACAAATTTGTACATTAATTAAACAACTATTTCTATTTAATTAAGGTTGTATTACAACAGCTTCATAATGATCATTTTCAAATATGGTATGATATGAAGTGGTAACTGTTGCTAAATTACCTGTTTTGGTTTTTCTTCATTTGATAATGATCGCTGAACCTTTCGATACCTTGAACGTTCTGTAAATCTCTCTCTCTCCTGTAACTAAACATTTTAACATTTCACATCATTTTTTTTCTTGCAGCAAAATATCTAAAAATTGGTGCTAAATAAAACTCACTACATCACACAATTTTTGTTGTTAAGAGTCTTTTTTAAATGAAATAATGCTTCTTAAAAACAACAGTCCCAAATTAATGAATTTCTTATATAGACATGTCCCTCTATTCTTCAATCTATTATCCATTATAAACTGAGATCAAGAAAAAAACAAGAGCTGTCGGTGTAGAATTCTTTTAACTTCAAAAATGGTCAAAGCTCCATCAAAATGCGTGTTAGAAGTATTGGGCTTCGAGATTTTGGCCTTTAATGCTCTCATAAAACAAGAGGGCCATGATGGCCCTGGATCACTCACCTGGCACAACCGCATCCAAGCAATGTCTTAAACAAGCATCATGGCCAAGTTTGATGACAACTGAGTCAAACATGTGACCTCTAGTGTGTTATAAAGATTTTTCCATATTTGGGCAATGTGACCTAATTTTTGACCAGACACGACCCATATTCAAACTTTACCTAGAAATCATCAAAACAACCTTCCTGACCAATTTTAAGGAAATTTGGATCAAAACTGCAGCCACTAGAGTGTTTGCAGCCACTAGAGTGTAAAAAAGCTTTTTCTTGTTTTAGCTCCTGTGACCTATCTTCAAACTTGACCTAGATATCATCAAAACAACCTTCCTGACAAATTTCCAGAATATTTGGATGAAAACTGCAGCCTCAAGAGTGTAAACAAGTGTAACAAGCTTTTTCTATTTTTAGCTCCTGTGACCTAGTTTTTGACCGGAGATGACCCATCTTCCAAAGTTTGATGATGATCCAATCAAAACTGTGACTGTAAACAACCCAATTGTTACAGTGTTAACAAGCTTTTTCTATTTTTAGCTCCTGTGACCTAGTTTTTGACCGGAGATGACCCATCTTCCAACTTGACTTAGATATCATCAAAACAACCTTCCTGACAAATTTCCAGAATATTTGGATGAAAACTGCAGCCACTAGAGTGTTAATAAGCTTTTTCTATTTTTAGCTCCTGTGACCTAGTTTTTGGCTGGAGATGACCCATCTTCGAAATTGACCTAGAAATCATCAAAACAACCTTCCTGACAAATTTCCAGAATATTTGGATGAAAACTGCAGCCTCTAGAGTGTTAACAAGCTTTTTCTATTTTTAGCTCCTGTGACCTAGTTTTTAACCCGAGATAACCCATCTTCAAACTCGATCTGTATTTCATTGAGACAAACATTCTGACAAAGTTTGATGATGATCCAATCAAAACTGTGACTGTTAACAACCCAATTGTTACAGTGTTAACAAGCTTTTTCTATTTTTAGCTCCTGTGACCTAGTTTATGCCAGGAGTTGACCCATCTTCGAACTTGACCTAGATATCATTAAAACAACCTTCCTGACAAATTTTCAGAATATCTGGATGAAAACTGCAGCCTCTAGAGTGTTAACAAGCTTTTTCTATTTTTAGCTCCTGTGACATAGTTTTTGACCCATCTTCAAACTCGATCTGTATTTCATTGAGACAAACATTCTGACAAAGTCTGATGATGATCCAATCAAAACTTTGACTGCTAGACTGTTAACAACCCAATTGTTGACGACGCACGACGACGGACATAGCCCCATCACTATACATGTACCTCACCTTGACCACTTCGTGGTCAGGTGAGCTAAAAATTGTAAAGTTTCAATACATTCCTTTCAGTAGTTTTTAAGATGCAGGCAAAAACCTTTACAAAGTGACACGCAAAAACTTTAACAAATTGTGACAGCGATACCAACGCCTGGGTAAGAACAAAATCTCTACCACTTTTCTTCAGATAGTATCTATTTATATTTAACTTGGCCAGCAAAAAGTTGACAGCCCGGTGTGATAGCATTATTGTGTTCAATACTGGTGACCAGGCTGGTTACTTTTAGTTCCAGCAGACAAACAATAATTTTGTGGAACAACTTAAATATCTTAAATGATCACAATGCAATGGTATATGCAAAATGATTCATATGATTTGTTTAGAATACTACTTGCCATATTACCAAATAATTTATCTCTAGGCCATGAAGTTTCACACAAAAACAAAAGCATTTTTCCAATGTATTCTATGTAAAAAATGACAACACCCTACATTAAGTAACAAGAGCTGTCGGTAGGACAGCACGCTCGACTATTCTAAGTGCTTGATAGTAAAAGAGCCTTGATAATGTTAAATCTTTTAAGTTCACAAAAGGGCTAATATTTTTTTATAAATTCATGTTATAGGCCTTAGAGAGAGTCTAATTATACAGTATTGGCTTGACTATTCGGAAGGTAATGTCACAAGGGTGTTTAATTGAGTATAATAATACTAATTACCTATGAATACATAAATTTGACAGAAAAGGTACAAACGCTTGTTTTATGATCAAGTAAATCACTGCTTTATTATGAATGCATAAAATTGTCCCCAATTTCGGGTTATTGAAAGAAGCATGCATACCAAGTTTGAAGTCAATCAGACTTATAGTGACTGAGTTATGCTCCGGACAAGCTTTAGGGGACGCCGACAACGACGCCGCCGACAAAGTAACCCCTATATGTCACCTTTTCAAGGCGACACAAAAACTTTAACCAACGCAGACCCCGACGCCACTACAATAGCTCTCATATTCTTCGAATAGTCGAGCTAAAAATTAACAGATGGAGCATGACTTTTTTAACTTACAAAGATTATGTTAAGGTTATACATGTATTACAAATCAATTATCTAAGCTTTAAAAGTCTGACAGTCTTCAAAAACAAGGAAAATCCTTAAAATAAAATAAATAGGATAAAAAAAAAATATCTTCATTTTTCGTAAATGGCAGAGATTACCAAGATTCTTGTTCATATTCGAGGTTTAAAATATTTACATAAGGCAGTATGAAAGTGTTGTAAAACATCTCCTTCTGTCCAGTTACAAAGAAAATCCTGCCCCAAAAAAGTTACCTTATCACTTTCTATCATGTTTAAAAAGAAAGTATCCAATTTCTTCTCAGGCCTGTGTTTCCTTAGAAAATTAGCATAGAATTTCAAGGTATTCACATCAACCTCTATATCATCATCATACTCAAAGTATCTCTCAAAGAACGAGATGCAAGCATCTACATCAGGATTTTTCTGGTTACCTAAAATAAATATATTAAATTCAATCATTGGTTATTCTGATATCAAACTTTATTACATTTTTTTTTTTTAATTTTGACTACATTCATTCAGTTACAATTTACTAATAATACTATCGTCCAATTTAATTGACCAGTTATTGCACTTATCTTAATATTTCATACAACTTAAGCAATGTATATTTATTTTATGAGAACTGAAGAAAGCTAAACTAACATTTTAATTACATGAAGTTAAAATATTTTAAACTATCAATCACAATTATAATAGTAGTATAGTGGATAAAGCATTGGCCACAATGTGGGTGCAATGGTACACAGTCAACATATTTCATAGCTCTGTACAATAGGTACTGAGACTACATTAGAGTTGTTGTAGACTACATTATAGTAGAAATTGACTACATTATAGTAGAAATTGACTACATTATAGGAGACTACATTATCGCAGAGACGGCAACAATATAGTGGAGTTATTGACTACATTATAACAGAGACATGCCAACATTATAGCCGACACTCACAATATCAAAACAAAGCCACTGACTACAAGATAGCAGAAACATTGACTTCATGATTACAGAGACATTGATTGCATTATTACAGAGACATTGACAATATGATTGCAGACAAATTGAGTGACTACATTATAAGAGACATTGACTACATGTAGCAGAGACTAATCTATCAACTTACAAAAAGCTTGCAGTTGCAATGACCTCATTTGCACGATATCTACATCACCTGGATGTGAACTGCACAGACTTCCAAATGTTTCAATATGTTTCGGCTATGGGATAAAAAAGTTTCCACGTTAATACATAATTGATTTATGGCAAATTTTTATTTAATATATCAAAATGTAAACGTTTTTACAATACTTACTGAATTTTACAAAAATGATTTTGTTTTCAAGAATTATGTGCCGGAAGTAAATTACATATTTAGAGATATGAGGAACAGACTGCAACATGGTTCCAATGAAATAGACATTCATTTGGCTATTAGAAAATATGTACTGGACATGAAGTATGTGGACACATTTTTATGCTACCCCCATCTTTCCAAAATTTGTGGTGGGAGCAGTAATTAACTGTATATAGATGGACATACATACAGTTAAATTACTACTACACTTGCTGGCCTATTTACTTTTTATTTTATAATAAATACTTTCAAGTCATTTTTACCATAAACTGAAATGAATCTTATATCATCCCAATTCATAAATGACTGTTACTTTACCTGTCCATTTCTGGCCCATCGTTCAACAATATGTCTTGCAGAATCACCTCTGATTCTCAAACCTGGAGTCTGGAAAATACATCACAAACATAATATGTCAGGTTTTGGATCATTTCAACCTGAATGTCATCAACATCTACCCATTTGATGATGAAAAATCTTTCAAAACTTATTTCTATTTTTAGTATTTTTAGCTCGCTCATTAAGTTACAGTTTTATGTTGTTGTTTTTTTGTGTGTGTGTGTGGGGGGGGGGGGTTCTTTTGTAGGAGTGAGACTAAAAAAAGGATTGGAGCACCACACTAAATACCGTATTCTGGTATATACCGGACACAACGCTTGAATGATAAAATGCTAAAATCTTGCTTTTAAACCCAACGGAATGAACTTTAAAAGGTGTAATTCATCTTTTCACACAGATTTATGTATGATAATGAATGAAAAATTTGAAAATCTGTATTGAGTTAAATCCCTTTTGTAGAGCATGAGCTAAGAATCACTCATATAGAGTTAAATCAAAATCAATCACAGCTGTTGGAATGCTCTTTAAAGCTGATTTCTATTGTCATCTTGAAAGCAGAGAAAAAATAATTTTAACTATTTTTGTCGGGGATCAACCACAGATCAATTCTATGAAATTTCTTTAAAATCTATCTAGTACAAGAGGATAGTTAGAATTTACTATATAAATATATACACCCCTACCATTAATACTTTTTTGGCTTTTGAAATCTCTTCATTCTCTATAAAAGCAGCAGCTAAGTTAACTAACACTTTCTGTTCAGGAACATAATCTGTTAACTTGTCAAATGCTGGAAAAAAAGAACAGATGTAGAATATAACTAAGACAAATGATGTTTACCATGCTAAATACTTTAAAGGGACTTGTCCTTCTGTATAATTTGGACAAAAGCATTCATCATTTACAGCAAAAATTTCAAGTACTGACTGAATACTGAACAATGCAGACAATGATGAAATGAACACCCATGATATCTTATCTTGGTTTACACTAGTTGCATTGGTAATATCTGTCAGCAAAAGGTTAAAATATCAGGAGTATTATAGGAAGAAATATAACTCAACATAACATATATGATGCCACTCAATATAACTTATATGTCAGCACTCAATATAACATATATGCAGCCACTCAATATAAGTTACATATAAGTTGTCACTCAATTTAACATATACAATGTATGCTTTCAATCAATATAACATGTGATGCCACTCAAAATAACATATAAGCTGTCACTCAATTTAACATATATGCTGCCACTCAATATTATGACATATATGCAGTCACTCAATATAACATATCTGTTGTTACTCAATATAACACATATACGATGACACTCAATATAACATAAATGCTGACACTCAATATAACATACATGTATATATGCTGCCATTCAATATAACATATATGTTGTCACTCAATGTAACATATATTCTGCCACTTCATCCAACATATATGCTATGCTGCCACTCAATAAAACATGCTGCCACTCAATATAACATAAATGCTGACACTCAATATAACATACATGTATATACTGCCATTCAATATAACATATATGTTGTCACTCAATGTAACATACAATCTGCCACTTCATCCAACATATGCTATGCTGCCACTCAATAAAACATATGCTGCCACTCAATATAACATATACTGCCACTCAATATAACATATATCCTGTCACTCCATATAACATATATCCTGTCACTCCATATAACATATATTCTGTCACTCCATATAACATATATCCTGTCACTCCATATAACATATATGCTGCAACTAGATATGACATATATGCTCCCACTCAACATGACATATATTCTAAAGATAAAAATGCTTCTTTAAAACAGAAATCAAAAGGATGAAATTGACCCCACTTAGGTTTTTTGACATGAGGGGACTGGAAATAATTTTTCAAGATTTGTTCCTTTTGATCAATAACTTGTGTGCAAAATCTCAGATCATATGCAAGCTCTGTTTTTCCAGAACAACCATTTTTATTGTGAAAATAGATAAGTTAATCTGATAAAATCAATAATGCTAAAACTTACCAGCTTGAAGACTAGTTTTGTCACCTTTCTTGATGTAACTGGAAAACACTTGCACAAATTGATTTGGTTGATATTCATAAGTTTTGCTCAAATAATCATAGTGGTGCGTCACTTCACTGAAATCCTCACTGAAAACAAAATAAAAAATAATTTTGTTTAGATTGTTCTATACATAAAAAATCTTTAGATTATTCTATAGAAGAATAATTTCATTTAGATTATTCAATACAACAAAAAATCTCATTTAGATTCTTCTATACAACAAAAAATCTTTAGATTCTTCTACACAACAAAAAAATCTCCTTTAGATTCTTCTATACAACAAAAAAAATCTAATTTAGATTAATATTATTCTATTCAAATCATTTGCAAGCTCTATTTTTCCAGAATAACCATTTTTATTGTAAAAATTGAGCCAAAATTTTCAAGCTTTGCAATGCTTTCACTCATATCAGGCTAACAATTGCACAAAGATATGTTTTCAATTTATTTCTGAGTAAAGGTGCGCAATTCCATGCGGAAATCTGACGATATTACCGCCCGGTGGAAAATTTTGACACCAAGAACAGACATACCCATAATTATCATGCTCGGATGTTGCATACCTTGTCTATAACAATATAACAAAAATAAAATAAATATATATATTTTTTTATTTTTTTAATATATTGATATTTTGTTACATGAATAACAAGATAAAACATATTGAAGGTCAAATCAATGCGACTAGCACCTTCTGCATAATTAGGCTTGGTATCACTCATTTGAATTTTTGTGAAAATCCAACCAGCAGTTTGGCCTTTAAAAGCTGGAAGAGGATGATCTACCTTAATCTCTGGCAGTCATTTTGTGAAGAAAAGTGGAACATGCCAGCAATGTGCAAAACAAGGGTTGGTACCAATCACTCCTGTAAAATTTTGCCAAAAATCCTGTCAGCAGTTTGACTCGTAAACGGCAGACAAGGATTTTCTATTTTTAGCGTTGGCCGACAGATACCCCTGGGGCTATTAATTTGAACAATCTTGGTAGAGGTCCACAAGACAATGCCTCATGCACAATATCTATGCTCTAGGCCTTTTAGTTCTGACAGTATTTTTAAATTTCTTTCTATTATTCTTTCGGTTACCAAGGCAACCAGATTTTTGCATGAAATCAAATTTTTATTAATGTTTTTGGAAGCCTTTCATCAAAGGAACAATACTGGCATGTTCGGTTGAAATTAGACTTGCGCTTTTGAAGGATAAGATTTTTTAAGTTCAATATATAATCTATGTAACAGACAAACTTGCACGTGCACACAAACAGAGGTAAATCGCTTTATGAATCGCAATCTATGATGAGATGGCATAAAAAGCATTAAATTTTATCTCACCTGCCACAAATGAAATCCCAGTAATTCTTTAAACAGTTATTTTTAAAGATCCTGTTCTTGAAGTATCCTTTATCAGATAATGTAGTCATCAGTTTCTTTACCTGTTAGAACAAAAAAGAGAAATGAGCCGTGCCATGACAAAACTAACATAATGGGTTTGCGATCAGCATGGATCTGGGCAGTCTGATCAGGATCAATGCTGTTCGCTATCAGTTTCTCTACTTGTTATAGGGTCTGTAAGCGAACAGCATGGATCCTGATCAGACTCCATAATATTGTAAACTATAAACAAAAGCAGATATAAAATTAAAATTTTAAACTGATATCACAAAGTTCATATTTCTTTCTGAAATAGTGAATGTGTAAAAACATTACTGGTAGCTATTGCTAAGGGAAAACAACACCCAAAGAATGTGTACACAGGAGGAAAATCAATGACCCCCTGGGCAGGCCAATTTTGAGTCCCAGGGCTTTTATTTGGACAAACTTGGTAGAAACTCACAAAAAGATGTTTCATGCTAAATTTCTAAGCTCTAGATCTTTGAGTTTTTTAAAAGAATATTTTTAAGTTTTTCAAATGTAAATAAATATAAGGAAAATCAATAACTCCCTTGGGCAGGGCCAATTTTGACTTTGAAAAACTTGGTGCACAACCATTTAAAGAGTTTTCATGATTAATATCTAAGCTTTTGCTCTTTGGGTTTTTAAAAAAGATTTTTTAATTTTTTTACATAAAAGGAAAATCAATGACTGCCTGGGACAGAACCAATTCTGACTGTCATCAATTGGACTTCATGATAAGCATTATATATCAAAGCAGTTTTATATAACCTTGGACGCCACTATGAGTGTAACAAAATTGCAGAGCATTGGATGTCTCTAATAAGCTCATTGATAAAAAAAATGTATGAAGGAATCATTTTGAAAATTATTTCACATTTAAAGTTATTTTCCTATGTTTTTACTTGCACTCTTGCTCTGTATTTTAAATTATTACTCCGATTTTACATATAATTTGTTCTATTTTTTTTTGCTCATGAGTTTGACTCATAAAACTGTCTTTGGCTGTTTGTTGTAATTAAACTTCAATGTGAACGCTTTCAACATAACATGTGTGCTTTATATGATTAACTCATATACTACATGTATTTGTTATTTGGTTGGGGCCATCTACATTATCAGTTGTTCTCAAAGTCCATCTGTAGTCAATGCTTAGCTCCATCAAAATAAATAAAACTAGAACTATCACTAAATGTGATTAATATCCCTGCAAGACTGCTTTGGAAATGAGGATGCTACTAGTACAGAATATCTTGTAAAAGAATTGAAATAGAGTTATGGTTGTGGGCAATTAAAGATAGTTGTTGTTCTTGTATGTTGCATTTCCTTTCAATGTGGTTGGCCATTGATGAAGTTTTATTGAATTAATAAGTCCAGAAAGACAAGGAAAAGGAACAAAGGGCAATAACTCTATAAATACTGAAGATGGGGTTTTGGTTATTGTACACTGCACTTCCTCTCATTGCACTTGACCATTGTATGAAGTTGTATTGAATTCCAACTACAAGTTTTCAAGTTATGCACAGGACAAAAAAGTAACAAAGGGCAATAACTGTAATAAGTCCAAATAGAATTATGGTTCTTGTGCACTGCACTTCATCTCACTGCCCTTGACCATTGTATAAAAATTCATTGAATTCCAACCATTAATTTTCAAGTTATGCACTGGACAATAAAAAGTAACAAAGGGCAAAAGCTTTGAAATGAGTCAAGAAAGGGCCAATTTTAACCCAAGGGCTTTTATTTGAACAAACTTGGTAGACACCCACAAGAAGACGTTTCATGTTAAACATCTTACCTCTAGCTCATTGGGTTTTTTTAAAGAAGATTTTTTAAGTTTTTACTATACACATATAATTAAAAACAATGCCACCTCTGGGGCGGGGCCAGTTTTGACCCCAGGGCTTTTATTTGAACACATTTGTAGACACTTTGGGTTTTTTCAAAGAAGATTTTTAAGTTTTTGCCATACACATATAAGGAAAATCAATGACCCTCGGGGCGGGGCCAATTTTGACCCCAGGGCTTTTATTTGAACAAACTTTGTAGACACTCACTAGAAGATGTTTCATGCTTAATATCTAAACTCTAGCTATTTGGGTTTTTTCAAAGAAGATTTTTTTAAGTTTTTGCTACAAACATATAAGGAAAATCAATGACCCCCGGGGCGGGGCCAATTTTGACCCCAGGGCTTTTATTTGAACAAACTTGGTAGACACTCATTAGAACATGTTTCATGCTAAATATCTTAGCTCTAGCTCTTTGGGTTCTTTAAAAGAAGATTTTTTAAGTTTTTACTATAAGCATATAGGGAAAATCAATGACCCCCTGGGACGGGGCCAATTTTGACCCCAGGGCTTTTATTTGAACAAACTTGGTAGACACTCACTAGAAGATGTTTCATGCCAAATATCTAAGCTCTAGCTCTTTGGGTTTTTTAAAAGAAGATATTTAAAGTTTTTTCTTTTGGTTGCCATGGTAACCAGAGTTCTGCATGGAATTAAATTCTTTGAACAATTTTTAAAGGTGACCACCAAAGGAACATTCCTTTGAAGTTTGGATGAAATTGGCTTAGTGGTTTATGAGGAGATGTCATTTAAAGTAAAAGTTTACGGACGGACGGACACCGGACGAAAAGCGATCACAAAAGCTCACCCTGTCACTGTGTGACAGGTGAGCTAAAAAGCAATGGAAAAGTAACATTAGGGCAATAACTCTATAATTACTCTGGACAGAGTTATTGTTCTTGTGTACTGCATTTCCTCTCACTGTTCTTGATCATTGTATGAAACTGTTTTGAATTCCAACCAGTACGTTTAAGTTATGCTCCGAACAAGGAAAAGTAACAAAGGGCAATAACTCTGTAATTTTCAAAATGGAGTTATGGTTCTTGTGCACTGCACTTCCTCTCAATGTGCTTGACCATTGTATGAAATTATATTAAATTTCAACCATTTGTCTTCAAGTTATGCTCCAGACAAAACAAGCAATGGAAAAGTAACAAAGGGCAATAACTCTGTAATTAGTCGAGATGGAGTTTAGTTCTTGTGCACTGCACTTCCCCTTATTGTGCTTGACAATTGTATGAAGTTGTTTTGAATTCCAACCAGTAGTTTTCAAGTTATGCTCCAGACAAGGAAAAGTAACAAAGTGCAATAACTCTGTAATTAGTCAAGATGGAGTTATGGTTCTTGTGCACTGCACTTCCTCTCAATGTGCTTGACCATTGTATGAAGTTATATTGAATTCTTCAAGTTATGCTCCGGACAAGGAAAATGCAACGGACCGATATACCCCCCCCCCCCCCCCACCCAAACTTCGTTTCGGGGCTATAATTAGAGTTATCACTGAAGGTGATTAATACCCCTACAGCAACATTGACTTTGAAGAAAGTAAATGAAGTATCAAAAGTGTACAAAGAATTATTTCAATGAATTCATTATTGCAATACCAACCAGGGTCTGTTTGTTTTATTGTTTCATTTTACACCTTTTCCCAACAGTATTTCAGTCATATAGGCGGGTACTTTCTTAACCATCGTTCCTGGAAAGTTACACCAGTACTAAACTACCTTCCACCGTGCTAAACTTCCAAAGCATCTCCCGGGGATCGAACCCACGCCAGAGACATAACTAGATTAGAAGTCATCGATTCTAACCCCTCAACCACGGAGGCGGTTTCAACCAGGGTCTTCATATAAGCTTGCTATACACCTAGTTTGATTACAATACCTCATTCCTAATTTAGTTATTGTCTGGAAACCATTTTCTATTTTTAGTAACAGTGACCTTGACCCCATGAGGTCCAAATGCAATACCAACCGAGGTCTTCATATAAGCTCGCTATTGTCACCAAGTTTGATTGCAATATCTCATTCATAACTCTAGTTATTGTCCGAAAACCATTTTTCTATATTTAGTAATGGTGACCTTGACCCTAGAAGGTCCAAATGCAATACCAGCTGGGGTCTTCGTATAAGCTTGCTGTACACCAAGTTTTATTACAATATCTCATTATTGTCCGGAAACCTTTTTTTCTATTCTAAGTAACAGTGACCTTTAACCCAGGGGATCCAATTGCAATATCAATAGGGATCTTCATATAAGCTTGCTATACCCCAAGTTTGATTACAATATCTCATTCCTAACATTAGTTATTGTCCAGAAACCATTTTTCTATTTTTAGTACCAGTGATCTAGACCTTGAACCTTGGGATCAAAATGCAATACCACCTGGGGTCTTCATATAAGCTTGCTATACACCAAGTTTGATAACAATATCTCATTCCTAACTGTAGTTATAGTCTAAAAACCATTTTTCTATTTTCTATAACAGTGACGTTGACCCCAGTGGGTCCAAATGCAATACCAACCGGGGTCTCCAAAATAAGGTTGCTATATACCAAGTATGATTGCAATGCCTCATTCCAAACTCTAATTATTGTCCGTAAACCATGATGTGGACCGACCGACCAACAAGCTGACTCCTATAAACCCCCCTTAACTTCCTTTGTGGGGGTATAATTACAACACAACCAGAGTGGTTGGAAGGTCCGAGTGTTACACTATAAAAATTCACTAATGATCAAACTTGGCCAAACAAATGTGGCAGTTTCTATTGTTCCCATTTCAAGATGATTTAACCTGAAAATAATAGCTAAAGAAAGAAAGCCTTTATTAAAAACCAACCTTAATTCATATTTTAATTTATAAAGGTTGATTTACTTACTTTCTTTATATTTTGTGGTGTTGGTTCCAGGTTGAGCCATGCTTTTTTTCCAGATTCTCCATCTTGAAGAAAGGGAAAGTTGAATGTCATCCCTTTTATCAGCTTTGTAGCATCTAAAACAAACAAGAATATGGTTGGAAATGACTGATCCTCCCAAAAGTAGCATATAACTAGAACTGCCACTATCTTGGCGTGAATACCCCCGCATACCACTTTGTCAGAATCAACAGTGGCCATTTAGAGCTCAAGGACAACCTCCCTGCCAAATGATGCAATCTGAGGTTAGTAAGCCAGTGCATTGCTTAGTTATGTATTCTACATGCTTCAAATGTGAAAATGTCAAAATCGATACACTGAGGACCTTAAGCATTTGAGCAGACAAGCTTATTGAAGTAAAAACCCCTGTGACCTTGATCTTTGACACAGTCACCTAAAAATCAATAGGGGTCATCTACTAGTCATAAACAATCTCAATACCAAATATTTAGACTGTTGACCAAAGCCTTCTTAAGCAATTGAGCCAACAAGCTTTGTTAGGTCAAGGTCCCTGTCACATTTGACCCAGTGACCTCAAAGTCAATAGGGGTCATCTAACAATCATAAACAAACTCAATACCAAATATGAAAACTGGGTCAGAGGATTCTTAAGTTAATGGGCGGACAAGCTTTTTTTTAAGTGAAGGCCCATGTGACCTTGACCTTTGACCTCAAAATCAATAGGGGTCATCTAATAATCATGACTAACCTCCATGCCATATATGAAGACAGTGGGTCAAAGGAATATTAAGTTATTAGGCGGACAAGCTTTATTAGTAAAGGCCTGTCTGACCTTGACCTTTGACCCGGTGACCTCAAAATCAATAGGGGTCATTTACTCATCAAGACCAACCTCCATACAAAATATTAAGACTGTGGGTCAAAGGAAACTTAAGTTATTAGGCGGACAAGCTTTTTCATTCAAGGCCTGTCTGACCTTGACCTGTAACCCGGTGACCTCAAAATCAATAGGGGTCATCTTCTCATAGTGACTAACCTCCATGCCAAATATGAAAACTGTGGGTCAAAGGAATCTTGTCAAAGGAATCTTAAGTTATTTGGCGACAGGCTTTTTTCAGTCAAGACCCATGTGACCTCGACCTTTGACCCAGTGACCTCAAAATCAAAAGGGGTCATCTACTCATTGTGACTAACCTCCATGCCAAATATGAAGACTGTGGGTCAAAGGAATCTTAAGTTATTAGGAGGACAAGCTTTTTTCAGTCAAGACCCCTGTGACCTTGACCTTTTACCCAGTGACCTCAAAGTCAATAGGGGTCATCTACTCATCATGACTAACCTCCATGCCAAATATGAAGACTGTGGGCCAAAGGAATCTTAAGTTATTGAGCTTTTTTTCAGTAAAGGCCCCCGTGACCTTGACCTTTGACCTCAAAATCAATAGGGGTCATCTACTCATCATGACTAACCTCCATGCCAAATATGAAGACTGTGGGTCAAAGGAATCTTAAGTTATTAAGAGGACAAGCTTTTTTCAGTAAAGGTCCCTGTGACCTTGACCTTTGACCCAGTGACCTCAAAATCAATAATGGTCATCTACTTATCATGACTAACCTCCATGCTAAATATGAAGACTGTGGGTCAAAGGGATCTTAAGTTATTGGGCGGACAAGCTTTTTCTAGTCAAGGCCCCTGTGACCTTGACCTTCCCCCAGTGACCTAAAATCAATAGGGGTCATCTACTAATCATGATTAACGCTCATGCCAAATATAAAGAATGTGGGTCAAGGGGTCTTAAGTTAATGGGTGGACAAGGAAAAACCGATGGACGGCCGGACGGGGAGACGGACGGACGAGGATACGGACGGACGGACCGACGGACAAGCTGATTCCAGTATACCCCCCTTACAACTTCGTTGTGTGGGTGTATAATAAGGGAGAATGTGAGGGAAAAACAAGAGGTGAAGAAGCAAATTAAAGATAACTAGAACTGTGTCCAAAGGACACGGATGCCGCCACTGACAACATATATATATGGTATATAGTGAAAAAATCAACAAAGGGCCATAATTCTGTTAAATTTGGTTGCAGCAAAAATTCCTTCCTTTACTACCATCTACACATTAAGGTTGTTCATCCCTGGAAGTTTAAGCAAAATCTGCCATCCGGTTTAAGAGGAGTTGCGTTCACAAAATTTCCATATGGTATATAGTGAAAAAATAAACAAAGGGCAATAATTCTCTTAATTTTGGTCGCAGCAAAAATTCCTTCCTTTACTACCATCTACACATTAAGGTTGTTCATCCCTGGAAGTTTAAGCAAAATCTGCCCCCTGGTTTAAGAGGAGTTGCGTTTACAAAATTTCTACATAGTATATAGTGAAAAAATCAACAAAGGGCCATAATTCTGTTAAATTTGGTCGCAGCGAAAATTCCTTCCTTTACTACCATCTACACATTAAGGTTGTTCATCCCTGGAAGTTTAAGCAAAACCTGCAATCCAGTTCAAGAGGAATTGCGTTCACAAGATTTCGGGACGTACAGACAGACAGACGGACAAGTGCAACGCTATATGCTCCCCACTTTGTGGGGGCATAATCATTGAGATTGGTTATAAACTTACAAAAGCCAAAATAAATACAAACATACATAAACCATACCTTCCAATCTTCCATTTTCACAAAGTGTTTGAAAAAGTTTCACTGTGATATCAAAATTAGGGATTGCGAATGGACCTCTGAAAAATGAAAAAATAAAACAATATTCTAAGTCAGTTTGAATCCTTAGAAGTGAAACAACATTTAGTTCTTTTATAGGTATATTGATTTATCAAAGTTTCTTGTTTGTTTCATGGATCTTTGTCACACACTATGGCCACTTTGCAGTTTTACTGGTATTTGCCATGTAATATCACTCTCCTTCCGGACAAAAAAGCAGAAATTGGTTCCAGTACTTTTCACTATAACATTTCTCCGAGGATTTTAGTTATTTAATATGTTTTCATCTGCATTCATATATATTTTAGCTACTGTAAAATTATACATTATAATTCCACAAGAAAACATCATATCATAATTGGCTGTTTTATTTCAATTAACAACTGATATGTAAAACAAGAACGTGTTTGTAAAACACAAATGCCCCCGGCTCAGATTCTTGTCAGTAGCAATATTTCAAAAAATGTTTACCCATTCACTCAGTTATGGACAGAAAAATTGCCAAAATATTGTAAACACAAGTTATATAGCTTGACCAAAAGTCATGGCATTTTGTAATTGTGAAAAATATAAGTTGCCAACTCATTGCTCTGACTTGTGAAATTGAAAAATATTCAACTTCATGTAAGTTATCTTCCTACCAAATATGAAATACATCTGTCAATAAATAAAGGCTGTATGGGCAAAAGTGTAAACATCTATTTTTAGCATTGGTGACCTTGACCAAACTGACCCCTTACTCCATCCAAAGGAAGAATACCATGCAAGTTATCTTCCTACCAAATATGAAATACATCTGTCAATAAATAAAAGCTGTATGGGCAAAAGTGTAAAAATCTATTTTTAGCACAAGTGACCTTGACCCACTGATCCCTACCCCAATCAAAAGGATGAATACCATGCAAGTTATCTTCCTACCAAATATAAAATATATCTGTCACTTAATAAAGGCTGTATGAGCAAATGTGTAAAAATCTATTTTTAGCACTGGTGACCTTGACCCAACTGACCACTTACTCCATCAAAGTTTATGTTTCTATCAATTATAAATAACATCTGTCTATAGAATAAGGTCAATATACCTGTAAAAATGTAAAAATCTATTTTTAACATTGGTGACTTTGACATAGGTAACATTGACCTTGACCCAAATGACCCCTTACTACACCCAAAGAAGGAGGACCTCCCTTGGCATGTTTGTATTAAACTAAGACATCAACTAAACAAGAGGGCCATGATGGCCCTGAGGTCAATCACCTGTATACAGGCCCCCCCCACCCACGGGCCAATTTTTACCCAAGGGCTTTTATTTGTTTATTTGAACAGACTTGGTAGACACCCATAAGAAGATGTTTCATGCTAAACATCTAAGTTCTAGCTCATTGGGTTTTTTAAAAGAAGATTTTTAAAGTTTTTACTATACACATATAGTTAAAAACAATGACATCCCTGGGGCAGTGCCAGTTTTGACCCCCGGGCTTTTATTTAAACAAACTTTGTAGATATTTACTTAAAGATGTTTCATGCTTAATGTCTAAACTCTAGCTATTTGGGTTTTTTCAAAGAAGATTTTTAAGTTTTTGCTATACACATATAAGGAAAATCAATGACCCCCCGACCCCCCCCCCCCCCCGGGCGGGGCCAGTTTTGACCCCAGGGCTTTTATTTGAACAAACTTGGTAGACACTCATTAGAACATGTTTCATGCTAAATATCTTAGCTCTAGCTTTTTGGGTTCTTTAAAAGAAGGTTTTTTAAGTTTTTACTATATGCATATAGGGAAAATCTATGACCCCCTGGGGCGGGGTCAATTTTGACCCCAGGGCTTTTATTTGAACAAACTTGGTAGACATTTACTAGAAGATGTTTCATGCCAAATATCTTAGCTCTAGCTCTTTGGGTTCTTTAAAAGAAGATTTTTTAAGTTTTTACTATATGCATACAGGGAAAATCAATGACCCCCTGGGGCGGGGCCAATTTTGACCCCAGGGCTTTTATTTGAACAAACTTGGTAGACACTCACAAGAAAATGTTTCATGCCAAATATCTTAGCTCTAGCTCTTTGGGTTCTTTAAAAGAAGATTTTTTAAGTTTTTACTATATGCATATAGGGAAAATCTATTACCCCCTGGGGCGGGGTCAATTTTGACCCCAGGGCTTTTATTTGAACAAACTTGGTAGACATTTACTAGAAGATGTTTCATGCCAAATATCTTAGCTCTAGCTCTTTGGGTTCTTTAAAAGAAGATTTTTTAAGTTTTTACTATATGCATACAGGGAAAATCAATGACCCCCTGGGGCGGGGCCAATTTTGACCCTAGGGCTTTTATTTGAACAAACTTGGTAGACACTCACAAGAAAATGTTTCATGCCAAATATCTTAGCTCTAGCTCTTTGGGTTCTTTAAAAGAAGATTTTTTAAGTTTTTACTATATGCATATAGGGAAAATCTATTACCCCCTGGGGCGGGGTCAATTTTGACCCCAGGGCTTTTATTTGAACAAACTTAGTAGACACTCACTAGAAGATGTTTCATGCCAAATATCTTAGCTCTAGCTCTTAGGGTTGTTTAAAAGAAGATATTTAAAGATTTTTCTTTTGGTTGCCATGGCAACCACAGTTCTGCATGGAATTAAATTCTTTGAACAATTTTTAAAGGTGACCACCAAAGGAACATTCCTGTGAAGTTTGGATGAAATTGGCTCAGTGGTTTATGAGGAGATGTCATTTAAAGCAAAAGTTTACGGACGGACGATGGACGGACGGACACCGGACGGACGCCGTACGAAAAGCGATCACAAAAGCTCACCCTGTCACTTTGTGACAGGTGAGCTAAAAATAAAGGCTGTATGAGCAAAAATGTTTATATTTCATTATTTAAACTAGTGACCTTGACCCTAGAGACCGCTTACTCCACAAAAAATAAGAGGACCATCAAAGGTATCCATCTACTAAATCTGAAAGATATCATTAAAGAAATTAAGCAAGTAGGAGAAATTTAAGATAAATCCAACTTGCCGAAATAGGTTAACCAGACAAGGCCCTATTTTCAAAGTGAAAAAAGGGAAATAACTGGGAAATATGGATGACACAGTTATATAACTTGGCAATATCATGTACTTTGTATTGATAAGTAAGTGTGGAAATTATAAATCCATTAGTATAGATAGAACTTAAGATATTTCCAACTTGCCGTTTAAGGTTAACCATTATTCATTTTCTAAGTGCTGAAAAGGGCAATAACTTGGTAAATATGAAAGCCAGAGTTATGTAACTTGCCCAGATCATGTACTTTGTATTGATTAGTACGTGTGTAAACTTAGAAGCCATTGGTACAGGTAGAACTTGCCGTACTAGGTTAACCTCGTACGGACAGACGGACGGACGGTTCAATTTCTATATGCCCGGGGGCATAAAAATGCATATGAAAGCAGCATACATGTACTTGATACATGTATAACCCCAATACTGTGCTGATTTAATCCAATTTAATTATTTTCCTCCCCATTAATCAAGCATATTGTTGCCTAATCAGGGCTCATCCTGGGGGGAAATTTTAGGGAGAAGTGACTTCCTCGCGAAAAATAGGGAGAAGGGAAACAACCCAATGTGTATGCATTAACATGCATGGCTATACATCCTTTAACTATAATATAAACACAATTAATCTATTTATCAGCTATTTATAAGCTTTCTCTAAATATTTGTTTATATAATTTCATGTAGATTTATTGATAATAATGTGTAAGAAAAAGTATGATGAATAAATTAATTTTATATTATTACTTTCCTCACTTTTAGTAGAAGATAAAGTTACATTGGATATTGCTTAACAATATCTATCTATTCTGTCAGAATGATTACAGAAATTCTTTTAAGATCTTGTTTGTTGTAATGTCACATTTATGTGCATATAATTATGCTTATAAAACAATTTTCAAACATCGAAGAAAATGTAAAATGTGTACTGCAAACATTTGTGCACATTATATTTGATCACTAAAATTATATACATTCATTTCTTATTGAAAAATTTGACTGAGAAATTATAGAAAATAAATTTCTAATTACCTCCCTTTATTTTCATGAAATGTTTAACTGGTAATATCTTTATAAATAATGCTTTTTAAAATTTACAATATTGATAAATCTTAATCTGAGCGTCATATTTATGACATTAGAACAAATATATATACTGAAACTATAAGAACACTTCTTTCCTGACAAATTTTGTTGTTATATACATGTACACATGATATACGACCGATATGTAGCATGCCGATCATGATTCTGCCGATCATGATTCGTAGTTTTTCCGGGATGTCGTGCCCATGTGCGTAAGCTGTGTCAAATTTGGCATTTCTACAAAGATAACAATGTCAAACACTCTCACTGTTTACAACATATAAATCGTAAGATTTTTGCGAATTGGCTTTCTTAAATTTTCGCGTAGGTGTATCAGAATCAGCAACTTTCTTTCACTGCTTCGCCCTGTACTTGTAGCCATGATGTTAGCGACATAACAATTTTTAATTCATGTTAACGGACTGAAATCATTCAAAACTATAATTAAGTTTTTAATCCGGTCGCTGATCATTAATGAAATTGATTATTTTTAATTGACTAACAGTTTTGTGATAGCCGTGAAAAACCCATTGCACATCTCCATTACTCGAGTTAAACACCGCGTGTATATCAATTAGGGAAGATATGCACGTGTTTAGATGATCGGGGAAAAAAACAATCTATAATTATCGCCTAATCCCGTATTAAACTCGCAAAACTGTCACACAATTATACCCGTCTCGGGCCGATGCTCTCATTATAGGCGGTCTATCGCTTTGCATACAGGTAGAAGGGTAGTATAAAGCGACGCTCTGATTGGATAATGATAATTAGCAGTCGTCATATGGGCGGATACAATCTCCGCTCTTTACATCGCCAAGTAATTAGTCTTTGGGAATTAAGATTTTATCGGCGATGTTGACTTCTCTTTAATCAATTGGGAGAGCGAAATGGAAATATACACGGCGAAGTTTTCGCCTGAATCGCCCTTCCGGATGAGCCCTGCCTAATTATATAAGCACAAAGAAGACATCGATAATCTGGTAAAACACAATGAACATATTTTTGAGCTAATGTTACATGTATGTTAATATTTTTGTAACAGACAGAAACCTACTGTTCTGTACTTGGTCTACTCACTATACGTGTGCACCAGTATTCAGTTTACATTGATCAGACAAACCTAACAACATCTTATCAATATCCTCATCCAACTTTATCACATTTGAGGCAAATAATTAACAAGAGGGCCATGATGGCCCTGAAATCGCTCACCTGTATATAGGCCCCCAGGGGCGGGCCAATTTTAACCCAGGGGCTTTTATTTGATCAAACTTGGTAGATACCCATTTGAAGGTGTTTCATGATAAATATTTAAGCTCTAGCTCTAAGAAGACTTTTTAAGTTTTTACTACACACATAGGGAAAAACAATGACACCCCCCCCCCCCTCCGGGCGGGACCAATTTTGTCTCAAGGGCTTTTATTTGAACAAACTTGGTAGACACTCACTAGAAGATAATTCATGCTTAATATCTAAACTCTAGCTCTTTGGGTTTTTTAACAGAAGATTTTTTAAGTTTTTACTATATACATAAAAGGTAATTCAATTTTGACCCCGGGGCAATTATTTGAACAATCTTGGTAGTTACTGACTAGATGATGTTTCATGCCAAATATTTAAGCTCTAGCTCTCTCGGTTTTCTAAAAGAATATATTTTAAGTTTTTTCTTTCTGTTGCAATGGCAACCAGAGTTCTGATTGGAATTTAATTCTTTGAGCAATTTTTAAAGTTGACTACCAAAGGAACATTCCTGTGAAATTTGGATGAAATTAGCTTAGCGGTTTATGAGGAGATGTCGTTTAAAGTAAAAGTTTACGGACGGACAGACGCCGGATAAAAAGCGATCACAAAAGCTCACCATGTCACTTTGTGATAATAAAAAAATCAAAATAGCAAAAGCATTACTTGTCCATCATTGCAATAGTCTCGCAGCTTTTAAGAATGTCACCTTCAACTACTGCATAGTAGTAAGCAACTTCTGTAAATATATTCATATCTGTTTTCGATGGATCAAATTGTATTGAGTTTAATACATTCTTGTATGTCTTCCAGTCCTAAACAAAAACAAATATAGAAGTTAATAATATTTTTCTTTTGCTTATATTACTCATACTTATAAGTTTCATTTAAAACAAACAGTTATGCAGGGCTGTCAGTATAGACTATATATCTAGAAACAATGACTTTGTTACCAAAATTTTCTGGACCCCTAACTCAATCCAATGCAAGTTATCATCCATTTAAATATTGAAAAACAGCAGGCAAAAACATGAGAGCTGTAAAAACAAATGTGTAGAAATCCATTATTGGCACACTTGACCTTGACCCACTAACCCCTAACTCGATTCAAAAGAAGAATACCCTGCAAGTAGTCTTCCTGACAAATATTAAAGACTTCGTCAATAAATAAAGGCTGTGTCTAATTCTAATTCTATCAAAAGGAAGGAGATTCCTTAATTTTTTTTTCCCTACCAAACATCAGTCAATAGAAAAAAAGTAAAAGTGTTAAAATCTTTTAGAAATTGGTGACCTTGACCCAAATGACCCCTAACTGATCCCAAATGAAGAGGACCTCCTTAGGCTTGTCCGTATTAAACATAAAAGACACCAATTTAAAAATCAAGGCTGTATGTGCAAAAATTCAAATTTATTTTTAACAACATAGACCTTGACCTCAGTGACCCCTCACACCACAAAAGGAGCACTGAGGGTATCTATCTACCAAATATGGAATATATCATTCAATAAATGAAGTTCTTAGGAGAAATGTAAGATAAATCCAACCATACAAGGCCCCGTTTTCAATTGATAAAAGGGAAATAACTAGGACAATTTGATGGCACAGTTATATAACTTAATTGGCAATTTTATGTACTTTGTATTGATATGTAAGTGCCGAAATTATGTAGCCATTAATAGAGATAGAACTTTAGATATATCCAACTTTTAGTTTAACCATATCCATTTTCAAAGTGCTGAAAAAGGCAATAACTTGGGGAAAAACGGAAGCAATAGTTATGTAGCTTGCCCAGATCATGTACTTTGAATTGATTAGGAAGTGTGTAAATTATGAAGCCATTGGTACAGGTAGAATTAAGAAAAATCTAACTTGACGTTTTGGGTTTACCTCGTACAGATAGACGAACATATGGTTTAATTACATAAACAAAATTTATTTTATCCTTTTTTGTCCAGGCATGAATCATTATCAATAATCAATTTTACATCTGACACTGCATATATGGACTAAATTTCATAGCTGTACATCAAAGGACAAGAAAGTAGGTTACTTCATCAAATTCCTCTAGGTCAGCTATCAAAGTTCAATTTTAAATCTTAATTCCTCTAGGTCAGCTATCAAAGTTCAATTTTAAATCTTAAACTGTGAACATGGCCCAAATTTGATAGCTGTAAATCAAAGGGCAAGAAGGTATGTCACTTCATCAAATTATAGACTGAAAACTAAAACTGCACATTGTCCATATTTCACAGCTGTACATCAAATAGATATGCACAACTAATTGGTATTGTTCATTCCTAATTGTGTGCAAAAGTTTGTGACAGACGGACAGGTGGATGGACAGACAACATAAGTTATCCCTAACATAAGTTATCCCTATAGTCTCCGCTACTCAGTAGCAGGCAACACAAAATAAACTTTTCTGTGCTGATATAGCAGTATCAATCTTATTCATTTAAATACTGTACCTCGCTTTGAAAGCTTGTCCTCATTAATATTATCTTGTACACAAAGGAGTCTTTCATTAATTCATAAACCTCCAAAAGTTCAGAAAGATTCATTGCCCTAAGCTCATCCTGTAAAAAAACAAGCAATTATCATAGTATTGCAAGCAATCCATAAGTCCCCTACCGGTTGGAACCCCATCAACATTCTGAAGGGCCATTGGCCATTCACTAATGTTTCAATTTTTCTATATTTTAAGTAAATTTGTTGGAAAAGTTCTTTAAAAGTGATCACAGGAAACAGTTTTTATGAACAGACAGACAGACGGACTGAAGGACACTCTAAAGTTAATATTTGAAACATCCCTGTTACCAAAATATAACATTTTTAAAAGCAAAATTCTTAGAGGAGATAACTCTTGAATTAAAGATGCAATTTCATAAAAAAATTTCAGCTCTTTTTGACTAATCACAAATAAAGTTATATTTGCCATGTTTTAAGCCTATTTGTTGCCAAGGCAACCAATATTTTTTCAAAATAGGGAGAACAGATAAGACATGCATAATCTCAAGACTGCCATCTACCCATATGTCAAGTTTCATAAAAATATTTCCAGTACTTTTTGAGTTATCACTGGATTCAGTGTATGTGTAAAATTTGCCATATTTTCAGTCTATGTGTTGCCATAGCAACCAGAATTTTCAAGATAGGAAGAAAAGAAAAAGACGTGCATAATCTCCAGACTGCCATCTACCCATATTACAAGTTTCATAAAAATATTTCTATTACTTTTTGCGTTAACACAGGATCCAGTTTATGTGTAAAATTTGCCATATTTTCAGTCTATTTGTTGCCATAGCAACCAGAATTTTCAACATAGGAAGAAAAGAAAAAGACGTGCATAATCTCCAGACTGCCATCTACCCATATTTCAAGTTTCATAAAAATATTTCCAGTACTTTTTGCGTTATCACTGGATCCAGTTTATGTGTAAAATTTGCCATATTTTAAGCCTATTTGTTGCCATAGCAACCAGAATTTTCAACATAGGAAGAAAAGAAAAAGACGTGCATAATCTCCATACTGCCATCTATCCATATATCAAGTTTCATAAAAATATTTTCAGTACTTTTCAAGTTATCGCGGGATCCAGTTTTGTGGACGGACGGACTGACGGACGGACTGACAGACAGACAGACTGACAGACAGACGGACGGACGTCCGGCCGAAATGGAATAAGGGGCCATTTCTTTTGTTATTTTCTATTGTTTAATAGAGGGCCAATGGCCCCTTACTCTATTGTTACGGAATGAACTCTATTGTTCTCTTTTGTTCTGTTTACAGTTAGATGGCCCTCTATCCCTATTCGGTAGTGCGGACGGACAGACAGACGGACGGACGGAGGGTAAACCTAAAGTCACCTCCGGTAAACCGGTAGGGGACTAAAAAAACAACAAAAAGCTGAGATTTCATATTAAACATTCCAATAATCAAAACTTGCATGACATGTTCTGTCTACCCATTAGATGAAGATAACCACTACACTATGAGGGGTGTTCAAATATGAATTCAACTAGGCCAATATCTCATTTTAACCACATTTTGCATTAACTATGTACATGTATCACATAGATGGCTCTGTAAGCTCTCAGTTGATACAATACATGAGAAAATCAGTTCAGTCTAGCTCTGACAATAGCTCGATTAACGCTATTTCCTCGTGTATACTTAGCTAAAATGGTTGGGAAAAGGTCTCCTTACATTGGCCAAATACGGTCCTATATCAAGAACCGTTGTATTCTTGGTCTACAGGTGAAAGACATGAAAAATTTAATGAAATATGTTGTATTTATGGGAACAATGAACATTCTTTTAAATCTGTCACACGATGGTGTAATTTGTGTTGGTTTTTGATCCAGTTGTCCTATACATGATGGTGTAAGAAATTTAACTGATCTGGATTCAGTTAAAGATGCACCTCATGCCCACTGTCCGATTACTGCAACTTCACCAACAATGGTTGAAAAAGAACAGGATTTGATTGCTACTGATGCAAGATTTACAATTAGGTATATTGCTAAATGGGTTGGTATCTCCATAGGAGCCACTCATACAATTCTCAGATGTGATTTAAAAATAACAAGATTGCATTTGTAAAAAATGCCATGCCACCGCATAAATACAACACTAAATAGTAATGGAGGAACACAATTTTTTTTGTTTCTATACAGATTGCCATAATGCATAGATCACTTACCTATCTGTTATTATCAGATTAGTACCTTCAGACAATAAGATTTTTAATTTTTTACTTTATGACATAGTGACTGAAAATCAATGATCCCCAGGGGCGGGGCCAATTTTGACCCCAGGGCTTTAATTTGAATAATCTTGCTAGAGGTTCACTACACAATGTTTAAAGCAAAATGTCTCACCTCTAGCCTTTGTCAATTCAAGAAGATGATTTTTTAAAGTTTTTACTATATACATGTAAGGAAAACCTATGACCCCCGGGGCGGGGCTAGTTTTGACAGTAGAGGCAAAATTTGAACAACTTTGGTGGAGTACCTATAGATGATATCATATACCAAATATCAAAGCTCTAAGCCTTGTACCTTCAGACAATAAGATTTTTTAATTTTTAACTATATGTACATAGTGAAAATCAATGACCCCCGGGGTGGAGCCAATTTTGACCCCAGGGCTATAATTTGTACAACCTGCTAGAGGTTCACTACACAATGTTTCATGCAAAATATCTAACCTCTAGCCTTTGTCAATTTAGAGAAGATGATTTCTTAAAGTTTTTACTATATACATATGAGGAAAACCTATGACCCCAAGGGCGGGGCTAGTTTTGACACTAGAGGCAAAATTTGAACAACTTTGGTAGACTACCTATAGATGATATCATATAACAAATATTAAAGCTCTAAGGCTTGTACCTTCAGACAATAAGATTTTTTGATTTTTTACTATATGTACATATTGAAAATCAATGACCCCCAGGGTGGAGCCAATTTTGACCCCAGGACTATAATTTGTACAATCTTGCTAAAGGTTCACTACACAATGTTCCATGCAAAATATCTAACCTCTAGCCTTTGTGAATTTAGAGAAGATGACTTTTTAAGTTTTTACAATATACACATATAAGAAAAACCTATGACCCCCCAGTGTTGGGCTGACTTTGACACTAGAGGCAAAATTTGAATAACTTTGGTAGAGTACCTATAGATAATAACACATACCAAATATCAAACCTCTAAGCCTGGTACCTTCAGACAAAAAGGTATTTTAAGTTTTTACTATATGTACATATAGTGAAAATCAATGACCCCGGGGTGGGGCCAATTTTCACCCCAGGGCTATAATTTGAACAATCTTGGTAGAGGTCTACCAGACAATGCCTTATGCAAAATATCTAAACTATAGGCCTTTTGGGTCTTTACAAGAAGATTTTTTTAATTTATTCTTATACTTACTTTTGGTTGCCATGGCAACCAGATTTCTGCATGGAATGAAATTCTTTGAACAACTTTGGAAGCCCTTCACCCAAGGATCAATCTGGCCAAGTTTGGTTTAAATTGGACTAGTGGTTTTTCACAAGAAGATTTTTTTAAGTTCACTATATAATCTATATAACACACAAACAAACAAACACACACACACAGGTGAATCGCTATATGCCACCGCATCGCAGATGCTGCGGTGGCATAAAAAGGATAAGCGCCAGATGGATACCCTATTACCTTACAAAAGAGGGTGAGAATCTCCAAACAAGGACCTTGACTTTGAAAAACTATGCATTTAAAGATTTACCCTTTGGTACGGCAATTTGAATAGCAGGTGCATATGTGTTTAACAGTAAGAAAAGGGGCGTAACTCTGTAAAAAAGTAACTCAGAGTTACAGGATATGTGTGCCCATATGTTACATGAGTTTTTATTTCTTAGACCATTTTTACTTGTTGTGTCTTATTACAATTTCCAGAAAGCTATTCACTAGCCATTTAGCTTAACCAAAAGGCCTATTGGATGACCATGAATGCATCTGTCTCAAGAACAAGATAAATATATATAAATATTACACACTAGGCTATAAACTTTTCAAAATTACTTACATGTGTGTATCTCCTTTTTGCAACTGTTTCCAATTCCTAAAATATAAAGTAAGTTTATAAGCATTAACTAGAAGTATAAGAGTAATACTAATCCCCATACATAAATCAATAAAAAATTTATACATATCATTTTTTCTCAAAATAATTATTTTCATTGTGAAAATTTAATGGTTTGTTCTAGTCACATTTTTTATCTTACCAACATCGTGTAAACATACAAATATATTCCATTATCTTAAAACATGCAATACGCTAAATTTCTGTATTTAGTGTATGAATTTTACAATTTCATTCATAAAAGTTAAATGGTGTAATCCAAGGCATGCAGTTTCATTCTATCATGATCTGACATGATGTCATTTTAACGCAGTTCATATTCATATTATGTGTTAAAGTGACATGATTTTAGGGTATGAGTAAAACTACTGGAAAAACCAGTTTGACATGCCTGAAAGATTTTTACACTAAAGAGAACTTTTAAAATAACCTAGAACTGAACAGTAAATTTAATTGACATGCCCGACAGAGTATTGTAAATAATAACTGTCTTTCACTGGACTTAAGCTGATCAGTCTTATTTATATATCTAAAGTCTTAATGTGTAAAGACAAATGATTTTACATTTGGATTTTGCAAAAAAAATAACAAGAAAAAGAAGCAACTAAATATTCATTTAAGGAATCTGTTTAGCACTCAAGTCTATATATATATATAACTTTTATATACATACAAGTTTAGTGGAAAAAATGAACATAGCCATATGTTTTATCGATTTACATGACAATTATTTATTAACTCAACTACAATTATAACAAGAATTTGTAACAGAGTTACCAACGTCCCCCGCCTCGGGGAAGTTTTTATATGAAGCATAAAATTGTGCTATTTCAAAAGATTTAGTTATGGATTTCAGGACTTTCAGTCCAAAATTATGATCAATGCTAGATCTGCAAATGCAACAGTAAATTTATTAAAGAAATACTAGTAAAATGAAACACGGAATTTAAAATTCTATCATGTTAACCTTTGACCTCTAAGTGTGACCTTGACCTTGGAGGTAGGGGTGCAGGTGTTGTGCATGACATATCTTCTTATATATATTACTATTTGTGCCAAGTATTTTCAAAATCCCTTGAACTATGTAGAAGTTATAGATCAGACACAAAATATACCCTATAAATCACTATGTCAATCTTTGACCTCTAAGTGTGACCTTGAAGGTAGGGACCCATGCTATTGTGATTATTTGTGCAAAGTATTTTTAAAATCCCAGGTTATGGACTGGACACAAAATATAACCTATAACAGACTATGTAAATCTTTGACCTCTACGTGTGACCTTCACCTTGGAGGTAGGGACACATGTGTTACGCATGACATATCATCTTATCATTGTGACTATTTGTGCCAAGTATTTTCAAAATCCCTTGATCTACGAAGAAGTTATAGACGGGACACAAAATAAACCATATAACAGACTCTGTTAACCTTTGACCTCTAAGTGTGACCTTGACCTTGGAGGTAGGGGTGCAGGTGTTGTACCTGACATATTGTCTTATTATTGTGACTATTTGTGCCAAGTTATTTCAAAATCCTGAAGAAGTACAAAATATACCCTAAAACAGACTATGTTAACTTTTGACCTCTAAGTGTGACCTTGAACTTGGAGGTAGGGATGCAGGTGTTGCGCATGACACATTGTCTTATTATAGTGACTATTTGTGGCAAGTATTTACAAAATCCTTTCATCTATAAAAAAGATATGGACCGAACACAAAATAAACCCTGTAATAGACTATGTTAATTTTTGACCTCCAAGTGTGACCTTGATCCTGGAGGTAGGTGACCGGTTGTTGCGCATGACACATCGTCTCATTATTGTGAACAATTGTGGCAAGTATTTATAAAGTCCCTTCAAAGATAAGAAAGTTATTGACCGGACACGACATATACCATCAAATAGACAATGTTGACCTTGAATGAGCAAATGCGACCTTGACCCTGGAGGTAGGGGTGTGGTTGTTGCGCATGACACAATGTCTTATTATAACAAACATTTGTGCCAAGTTATTTCAGATTCCTTTGATAAATAAAAAAGTTATGGACCGGACACAAAATATACCCTGTAATAGACTATGTTAATCTTTGACCTCCAAGTGTGACCTTGACCTTGCAGGTAGGTGACCGGTTGTTGCGCATGACACATCGTCTCATTATTGTGACTAATTGTGGCAAGTATTTACAAAATCCTTTGATCTATAAAAAAGTTATGGACCGGACACAAAATATACCCTTCGAAAAGGCGGGGGACAAAAAGAAATCTACCAATTTCACTAGACAACAAGGGTGCCATAGTCACAAAATACGCCCGTTTACGAAAGCTTTAGATGGAGATGGGGGCATTATGGATAAGTGTTATCTAGCAAGCAAGTTTTTATCCTTGGCACTGTGTTGTTAAATGAACCTTAAAACAAATCAGTAGGGAAGATAAAAAGTACATGTAATTGTAATTTAGGCCATTATTTTTTTATATTTCGGTTTACTGACCCGCCGACTCCGTATTTTGGGAAAATGAAAAAAAAAAAAAAAAATCTGCCCCCAAAAAACTTCAATGTTATCTTGAATTACGCCGCTAATAAAGTTAAGATGTTAATATTCTATTGGGATTTATATATCTCACCTATACGACTTTTCAAAGAAACATCAAGAAAATTTTTCACGGTAATAATTATGAAAGAATGTCTGTTAAATGGGTCAAGCCATTCTCACAGAATTATAATGAGGCTTTGATCATATTTCATCAATACAATTAAGGTGTCCAAATGCATAAAAATGTCAAAGAAAACAACTACAAAAAAACAAAAACAAACAAAAAAAAACACGCCAAATTACGTGTGCAATTTCATTCAAGGACAGAGCGATAGAAATCTGATGCAATTGACAAGATCAGTATTTTCAGATTTAACAAAAAAAAATTAGTCTTTAAAAGCTGATTGAATACAGGTTTTCAAACAAACAAAATAAAAAAATGCACTTACTATTTATAGATTTTTATGTCAATAATTGACCCGCTAATTATCCGATAAAAATATTTTCACAATGGGCAATAATTGAACATGTGTAATCTTCTATTGACAGTTTTTTTTTTAACTTCTGATCTATAAAGAAATGAGTGCAAGTCAGCTGAGTTTCGGCACCTTTGATGATTCAGATTACACAGCAGTGTGTAAACATCAAAGACCGACAGATTCTTTTGAAGGGCTGTTGGCTGGCTTGCCACTTGTCATAGGTCATCGTGTGTAGATTTCATGTGTGTTTTTAAACAATGGCAATGTGAGCAAAAGTTTTTTTTGTGTATTTAGACAATCTTTGGAAAAGACAATCGGCGATGTATTTAATTTCAATGCTCTAGTAAGTACTAGCTATGTATATGTATGCACCACATTTATAGTAATGAAAACCTTTTTTTTTTTTTTCCGGCCGCCGACCCTACCTTTTTTTGGAAAAAATCAGTAAACCAAAATATAAAAAACAAGAGCTGTCCGTAAGACAGCGCGCTCGACTTTTTTATTGCTTGCCAATAAAAAAAGTTTTTGCAGTAAAAGGCAATACAAGAATCTCTGTATTTTTAAAGTGAACTAGTTGTTTGATACCCTTGAATATTACAGCAATGTTTATATGACATAATTTATGGTAAAGTGAACAAGTGGATAGGAATGAATTTTTTTAGATTTTTTAAGTTTTTTAGTGCTTGCCTATAATACAAAACATTGACAGTTAAGGGCCATAATTCAAATAAAATCTTTGACAGAATTACCTTCTCCTGGACATGTTTGGGAATCATGATTGTAAACAAGTATTCCAACTTTCAAATTAATATCTCAAACAGTTCAGTCAAAAAGTGGACTGGTACTAAAAAACTTAACCAAGATTCTAAGTCGATAAAAGGCCTTAATTTTTAAAACAAATCCTTGACAGAGTTACCTTCTCTTGCGTACAGATGGGGGTAATGATGTGAAATAGCATTAAAAGTTTCAAAGCAATATCTCAAAGGGTTAAGGCAATAAGTGGATTTTACCCATATTCAATGTATTTTCTAAGTCAAAAAGGGGCATAATTCTGTCAAAAACCTTGACAGAGTTATGTCCTCTTGTCTGTTGATGAAGGTCGTGATGGTAAACAAGTATGGTCAGTTTCAAAGCAATACCTCCAATGGTTTTGAAATAAAGTGAGGTGGTACAAAAAACTTAACCAAGCTCAATACACTTTCTAAGTCAAAAAAGGGCCATAATTCTGTCAAAAACCTTGACAGAGTTATGTACTCTTGTCTGTAGATGGAGGTTATGATGGTGAACAAGTATGGTAAGTTTCAAAGCCATACTTGTAATACTTCTGAAATAAAGTGGGGTGGTACGAAAAACTTAACCAAGGTGTGACGCCGACGCCGACGCCGGGGCGAGTAGGATAGCTCCCCTTTTCATAGAAAAGTCGAGCTAAAAATTGGCCTTAATAACTAAAAAATTCTGATTTAAGATTTTATTCTAGGGAAATACATTTCATTACAATTCTTAATCTTTGAATGAGCTGAACTGATATTTACTTGAAAATTAAAATATAATTAAATTTCTATGGGAAAGTATTTACATTTGATAAGGTAATTACTGTATGATCTTTATGAACAAATACCAAGTCTACAGAACACCATAGTTATCACAGTTAAGAATCTTGACCAATGAATGAAACATGTGTAAATAAATGTTACATTCTATAGAACATACTCAAGTCCAAGAAAGAGGATTATTTTATGCCCTTTGATTAAATTCTATTTTTAGAATTGAAAGTGAAAGTAGATCAAGGGGAGTAATTGTGTAAGTCATTTATGAACAAAGTAATAACTTTGTTGTCGCCCTTTGATTAAATTCTATTTACAAAATCTGGATATTTCATCATCTTTAGTGACCTTGACCTTGTATATATTGATGTAAATTATATGTATCACAGCCATAGTCTTGATAATGACCATTTTGTGTTACAATCCCTCAATAAATGATGACTAAATGGTCCATATACACATCTTCATATTTTTATCTGAACTTTGACCTCTATGTGTGACCTTGACCTTGGCCGCAAGGACCTGAATCTTGCACGCGACACTCCGCCTCACAATGTGTGAACATTTGTGCCAAGTAATATTGAAATCCCTCTATACATGTGGAAGTTTGCTCCGGACAAGCATTTTTCAATGACCTCTGAGTGCGACCTTGACCTTTGACCTAGAGACCTGGTTCATGTGCGCGACACTGCTCCTCATAGTGGGTGAACATTTCTATTGAAAGTTTCATTAAAATCCCTCCATACATGTAGGAGATATGCTCCGGACAAAATTGGACGCCGCCCGCCCGACCGCCCGCCCGTCAGGGGCGTTCCCATAATACGTCCCGTTTTTCAAACGGGCGTATAAAAATCAAATAAAAAATAGCCCAAAAGAAATATTCCCTTAAGCAAATAAGTCGTTTGTTAACTTTCAAAAAGGGCACTACTATAGATGCTCTTGCAGATTTGACAGCTAGTAATTTAAATGAAACTGCCTACGTTTCCAAGAAATCACTATGAAGTTGACGAGCTGTCTATCATCAGGTTATCAGTAACTATACACAAGTAACCAAAACCTTTCTTTTTTCTTCCCCCCCCCCCCGCCTCAAAATAATCAATATTTTAAAAAAGTCTTCATTATTTATTCACATTTGCCATAAAACTTTAGTGTCTGTCTAATTAGGTTTTAATCTGAATTACAGTGCATTACTTAGAATCAATTGTTTCTAGCAAGGTTGCATATGCAATTCATAATAATAAAATTTATTAATTCCAACTAGACCAGGATTTTTATCTTACCAACATCATTTAAACATACAAATATATTCCATTATCTTAAAACATGCAATACGCTAAACTTCAATTTGGATTTTGCAAAAAAATAAAAAGAAATACTTCTTAAGATGCCTTTAGTACAACCTTATAGAAATACATAAATATACTAACAAGCACATATGTTTTTACATGCCTATCAGTTTATGTTGTTTTGACTTTATCTATAATGCAAAAAACAATTGAGCCGCGTCATGACAAAACCAACATAGTCCTTTTGCGACGAGCATGGATCCAGACCAGCCTGCGCATCCGCGCAGTCTGATCAGGATCCATGCTGTTCGCTTACCAACCCTATTACAAGTAGAGAAACTGATAGCGAACAGCATGGATCCTCATCAGACTGCGCGAATGCGCAGGCTGGTCTTGATCCATGCTTGTCGCAAACTCACTATGTTGGATTTGTCGTAACCCGGCTCAATTTATTACCTCTGGGCTAAACAGTTCTTTGAAATCCCGTGAGAACGCCCTCTCTGGACCAGATATTACCCTGAAAGTAGAATAATATCAGTGATTATTTCAGTGTTTCTTTCCCTGTATTTTACAGCCCAATAAAGGCTGTTTCCCCTAGCACAAAAAACGTTTATTTTCCCCTAAAAACCTGTAAAAAAACAAACAGTAAAAATTCATAGATTAATTAATCAGTGGGTGAACACAAACCCACAAAAAAACATTAGACTTAATGTCTAAGATCATCATTAGGAAACTTCCTTAGCCCAAGTATCAAACCCAGCGACCCCTAGACTACAAATGCCTTCCTCTCACCATTGGGCTATGTGGGCAGACAACTTATAAAGATAGCAACTTAATGATCATCAGGGTTTACATTTTTATCTGAGGCAACAGATGCTCCAAAGAAAACAACCAATTTTGCCAAGGGTCAAGGCTGACACTTTAATATACAGGATGAAAATACAACCGATTTGAGCAGCATTTTAACCAATGGTTTGGATCGCCAATCGGTTAATAATGAAAACCCTGGATCATACCTGTGAAGTTTGGTTGAAATTTGTCATGTGAAAGAAAATAAGGTAAGAAATGGTTTGCTTAATAAATTACTAACACTGCTGAAATGTCTAAACAATTCATCATTTTGGAATACCCCTTAGGCCACAGAAAATTAATTTTTAGACTCTCATCCTCGCCCGCCCGTATCAAAATCTTTCCGCTCAAAAATAATTTATTTTCATAAAAAAAAATTGTTAATTTCGCAGACGTCTGTGAACGAAAATTCGTCCGAAAATCGTGGTCCAATATTCGCGTGACGAACGCATAAAAATCAGACTGAGGTTTACAGCGTCTAGTGATCAAGATTTTAAATACATTCGTTTTCGATCAGTAAAATTGTCAAAATGTTCGTCATATGTGAAATATATGATGCAGTAAACAAAAAAACATAGCTACAAAAATGTAAAAGATGATTGTAAGTAACAAATCTTACAACATTTAGTATTATTCTCATTAAAATATAGATTTAAACACTTTTGTTTATTCATACATTTCTGTTTTTTCAGGTCTTTAAAGTGATGGATAAAATAAATTATAAATTATAAATTCCACCCACCCGCCCCAATTATTTCTTGAAACCTGGATGAGAGTCTAAAGATTAATTTTCTATGGCCTTAATTTGCTATTTTCAGTGGAATATGAAAGTGAGATTATGCCCATGCAAGGGTATAAATGAGTGAAGAAGTGAATGTCAAAATAAATTTTCATCTTGTCATAATTCTTTTTAATACAAAAATTTATTTCACATTAACAATATACAATGCATGGATTCAAACAAAATTTTCGTAAATATCCATTAGAATTTACCTGTAACGTTCATTTCATGAAAAGAATGGGGCAGTTTTTTTTTTATATTTTTGGCAGATTTAATTTTTATTCTAAACATATTAACAGTCAATCTTTTGAAATATATTGTCAGTTCAGCTCAACTTGACTATGAAAATATCAACATAATGTCACTTTAACATACTTATTGCTTATTGATAAGTTTCAAAAACCTGTGACTGTGGAAACTTTGGAAATTAAGAACAATTTCAACCCAGCATCACAGTGACTTTGATTTTATAACCACAAAATCAATAGGTGTCATTTGGCCTTGGGTAATGTCACTACCGATTTAAACACGCATCTTTTTTTTTCAAGTTAACGATCAAATAAGAATTCAACACAAGTATCACCGTTACCTTGACCTTTGACCTCAAAATCAACTGTGATCATCTACTGGCCATGGGTTATGTCCCCATCAAGTTACATAAACCATGGCTTACCATCTCACTCACAAACATAAAGATGGACAACCCAATAGCAGTTTACTCCTCACTTTTTAAAAGGGTGCATTAAACTTATGATGAAAACACTTTCAAATTAAAAATAGAAAATAGATTTTTATTATTTATTATTTATTTATGTACTCTGAAAAAGGCTGTTCAGCCGAAACGTTGCTATATTTAAGAGAATTTTAAGAATTTGCAGTTGACTGCTTATTATTCTCTATTTAGTCTTATACATTTGTAAGGACTGATGTTTATTCCTTTACATCGTTCTTTTCTAACTTATTTTTTTTTCATTTTAGAAATAAAATGTATTTTATATTTACCTTTTCCAGAACATAATCTTTCAGTTCCTTAAGATCTGCAACTTTTTGTACATTCCAAAGAAAGCCGGCCGTGTCGTTCTTCTTCATACGACAGGCGACCTAAAATTGAAAAAAGTTCTGAAAATTCTGTAATTAAAACATAGCAAACCAGTGGATCATTGACCCTAAAGTTGCTCACCTGAGGACCTGTTGTACTTGCCATAACTAAATCTATTCAGCAGCAAAAAAAAATATTTTTTTTTTTTTTTTATAAATCATGGTTCTAGGAGTCTATTAGTTGTCATAGCTAGGGCTGTGTATTGTCAGGGTAGAGGCGATACGATACGATTCAGAGGAGCAATATGCAAACTAGTTTGTGATACACCACTGAATGAGTAAATAGTTAAAATGTTTCATGTCAAACTATCATCTTACATAAGACTTTATCATCCAGCCATTCAAATATATAGCAGAACTTATTTACAAGGGAAACTTTGATATCATACTTCTTTAAAAGTGAACATTTAAGTAGTACTCAAAAAAATATTCCTAGAATACGAACAATTAGATTTTTATTTTAGTTTTATTTTAAATATATATTAACATGTTGTACAAAAAGATCAGGTTAAATAGAACAGGTAAAAATGTCTCGCTGAACTCAAACAAGAACAGTTTTAAAATAATAACTAACTAGACAATATCTAAGACATTACATTTTTAAAGTTTAAGTTTATGTCATCGTATCAATACATGTACTTTTTTAAATTCAGTTCAATAAGTAGAATTAAATATTCATTGCATTTATTAATGTAACCCTACAAATAAACTTTACAATTGATTAATTTTTCGGTAATTTCCTTGTGTTGAAGTTAATGAGAGCGAAACTTCTTGTTGCTAGCTTTAACATAGATGTTTATTTACGGATATGTAACATTTTTCGGATACGCTATGAAAATACGCTTATTATTTTAACAAGAGCTGTCGGAAGGACAGCACGCTCGACTATTCTAAGTGCTTGATAGTGAAAGAGCCTTGATAATGTAAAATTTTTTAAGTTCACAAAAGGGCTAATTTTTATTTATAAATTCATTTTATGGGCCTTAAAGAGAGTCTAATTATACAGTATTGGCTTGACTATTCGGAAGGTAATGTCACAAGGGTGTTTTATTGAGTATAATAATACTAATTACCTATGAATACATAAATTTGACAGAAAAGGTACAAAGGCTTGTTATTAAGATGTTTTATCAAGTAAATCACTGCTTTATTATTATGAATGCATAAAATTGTCCCCAAAAAGGCACAAACCCTTCAGTAGTTATTGAGATAACAGCTAACCATGAATTTCTAAGTTGAAAAAGGGGAGAAAAATCAGCCTAAATGCAAGACAGAATTATGGATCTTTGTCAGTGACCTACAATTATGATCCTAAATGCATATGTGAAGTTTTAAATAAATATCTTTTATAGTTATTAAGATATGTAAAACTTGCATGTAAACATTAACCAAGAGACTAAGTAGAAAAGGGGATATGAATCAGCCTTAATGCAAGATAGAGTTATGGAACTTGGTCAGTGACATACAATAATGACCCTTCAATTATGACCCTAAGTGCATGTGTAAAGTTTCAAGTAAATATCTTTGAAGACCTTTAACCTTTAACAAAAATTTCTAAGTTTCAAAGGGGCAAATAATTCTGCAAATATTGCAGGCAGAGTTATGCAATTTTTCAAACTGATGTACATTTGTTACTACAAAAAAGTATTTTAAATTTCGATTGAATATCTCAAGCATTAATTGAGATATTTGACTTTACAAAAAAACTTTAACCAAAATTTTGTAAGTTCCAAAGGGGCATAATTCTGTCAATAGTGTAGGCAGAGTTATCCAACTTGTCAATCTGATGTACCTTGTTACTATAAATAAGTATTGTAAGTTTCAGTTGAATATCTCAAGCAATAATTGAGATATTTGACTTTACAAAAAACTTTAACCAAAATTTCTAAGTTAAAAAGGGGCATAATTCTGTCAATATTGTAGACAGAGTTATCCAACTTGTCAACCTGATGTACCTTGTTACTATAAATAAGTATTGTAAGTTTCAATTGAATATCTCAAGTAATAATTGAGATATTTGTCTTTACAAAAAACTTTAACCAACGCAGACGCCGACGCGGACGCTGACGCCGACGCCGACGCTGGGGCGACTACAATAGCTCTCATATTCTTCGAATAGTCGAGCTAAAAAGGTATGTTTTATAAGCTAAATAATATAGGATTTAAGGCAAAACATATATCAGAATTTCTCTTTTAGTTACGATAACAAAAAAAATGTGAATCTGGCGATACAAAGGCATGCGAATATTCGAGTCCGAAATTCATGACAGATTTGTGATGTACAGACAGTTTAGACATTCGTTACAGCCCTAGTCATAGCGACAAAATTTTTCAACATAGGAAGAAAATAAAGGGATGTGCATAATCTCCAGACTGTCATCTACCCATATTTCAAGTTTCATAAAAATATTTTCAATACTTTTATGACATCACAGCATCCAGTTTTGTGGACGGACAGATGGACAGAATTGAAAGCCAAGGTCATTTATGAAATGTCAGTCTCATCAACTTGAATGTCTATCCTCAAGGATTGTTGTGTCCAAGTATACAGACAATTCACTACTTAATAACTAAGCTTTATCCATTTTTGGTACACATTTTGTGATATTTTCTAAGTTAAAAATCAGGCACAAAATATGTCAAACTTAACTGTCAGAAACTTTTTTATTTTGCATTGATATGTCATGTTTGTCCAGGAATTAATAATTTCCATATACAAATAAATTTTACTGCCAATCATAGCCAAAAAAAAAATAGTGAAAATTTAATAATTTCACCTTTAATGTCAAGGTCATTTAAAAGTCAAGGTCAATGTTAGTTTGATTTTCATACAGACAGTTGTAATATGGCATTGCTTTGATGTGCACAGTTTCAAGTTTCTCTACCAGTTCCCAAGATGGGACAGTTATCACGATAAATGTAAACAATAATTTACAAATGATTTTACGTAATAAAAGAGGTTACCTCTGCGATATCCCGCCAGTTCTCTTCTCTTAATTCTGTTGATATTAGTGGCGTCAATAACCAGTACATACCATCATTGATATCTTCAACCAGTTCACAGGACCTAGCTGCAAAAACAAGCAAAATATATGTAATTCATGCCAAATAAACACAAGGTCTATTCATCTCCTTACATACACGTAAGAACTACTTTTGAACCATATCTTTTCTAATTAACAGAAGGGTCTGTAACATGATACTATGTAGGACAATTTATCATATAAATTACCATTGGAGAGATCTCATGTTTAAAAAGAAAAGAGAAAACAACATCACACGCAGTATTAATGCTCATCTATTAAAAATTCTCAGTTATAAAGGTGTATTACTCCAAATATATTCAGAATTATGCCCCTTGTAAAAAACTGCACCTTGCCATGATAAGCAAGTAATCCAAGTTTAATGTTGATAACTTAAAAATATTTGAAAACTGGACTACATTAATGTTTTTGCACAGCGACAATTTCAACAACAACAATGCTGCAGCAATCATAATTGCTGGATTTTTTACTTTGAAACAGAAAACTTATTACATCGTTATTTTGGAATAATCAGAAAGTAATTAGTAAGTAAATTTTACTTTATTATTGCAAGATTAAACTTAATGGCTTTTTATCAAATACCCATGCCGCTTTTGTTACTCCGTAAAAATGGTATTCCTTGGATGTGCAAAATTTTTGTTATACAAACACAGCATAAAGGCATGCTTAATGAATAGCATTACACTACAGATATGTCAATGAAAACTTATTCTTTTTTTTCTTTTTTTGCATTAAACAGTCTTTATTTTGGGTATGTGAAGCATAGAATATTACATTCGTATACATTCATTACCAAATTAACTGAACTCGGTCAATAAAATAATATTAAGCTTGCCAGAGGCTCTGATAGTACATTTTTTTATTCAACTCATTCAATAAATGCAGTATTGAAATTGCACTCATTCATTATCCTCTATTTACTATAAGTATAATAATTTACCTAAACTATCTTATCAGGACATGATACAACGCAAAACAGGTATTTCTAAATCTATTTAAAATCTGCTTATCAAATAAAGAGATGTCATTTAAAGTTGAATGCGTTGAATAGTTAGCTCTAGAGACAATTTTTGAATGGCGTACAAATTTAATAGATTACAGACATCATATAAGAAAAACAGTTTGAAACTACCAAAAACATAACTGAAATTCTAAATCAAAAATCAGGCAAAACTTGAGTCAATGTATTTCTGGGTGTGTAAAAATCTATATTAAACATCATTGACCCTTAATTTGAGTTCAAGTTACTCAAAGTACAACTTAAAATACAGGATACCAATACAAGGTATGTGGCTCCAAAATATGAAATGTTTCAGCAAATAAATGAAGGCTATATGAGCAGAAAATGTAAATATATAAGTTAAGAATCCGTAACCTTGACCCTACTGACCTCTAACTCTACCCAAAAATAATAAAACTACCTTTGACATATATAAAGAACATCATTCATTAAAGGTTGTATGAGCTAAAGTGTAAAAATCAGTTGTTGGCACTTGAAATAAGAATATAAAAGTTACCATATTCAGCCGATTCTTTCCAGTTGATACCCCTTTTCTTCATATAAATCATTAGTGCATTTACTTGTCCTTCATTAAAATTTGAAGATTTCTGTAAAGAAAAGGAAAACATACTAAACTTTAAATACCCAAGGAAATACTATCCAGGCTTTTTTCTTTTATTCTTATTGATAAAGTAACACATCCTTGGAAAAGACTTTTAAGAGACTTCCTAGATATATCACTTGGATACTTCCATCACCTAATGGAATAAATTCCAAAGTTCTGTTTTAATGTCTGTCAATTTCTAAAAAGTATTTTGTATTTATCTTAGTCAGTTTTATTGGTGTTTTTACTTAATATTTGCACTAAAACTGCTTTCTTCACTAGTATTATACATCAAAATGATCCTGTCTGAACTCTGTGATGTTTTGAAGTTGCTTCTATTGATGTCATGCCACGCTGACATCATTTCCTGTTTATCATTTATATTTCTAAGACAACCTGCATTTTTCCCTATTGAACATAGAAGGACTGAAAGTGTGTGTTATTATGCAATAAAATCATTGTTGACATTCTATATCTTGACATGTGACATAACCATTAAATACGTGATGTAACCACTAACAAGAGCTGTCACAGGAGACAGCGAAGCTCGACTAATTAAATACTTAACACGGTTAAAAAGACAAAACTTTGAAAGAAAAATCAATTATTATGTAAATATATTTCTTCTTATGACAAGAAGTTATAGTTGTTAAAAAAAAAATTCCAAGTTCAAGGTGGAAAAATTCTGGAAATAGTTACACTAGAGTTATGGACCTTGTCACACAACATGTGTGTAATGATAAGAAATATACATTTGAAAAAGATACCTTAAAATAAAGAAGTTATAATATTTCTTCAAGAAAATTCCAAGTTCAAAAGGAGATAAATATGACAAGGAATATCGCAATGCGATGCAACCAGGTTTTCAGCAAAATATTTCACAGAAGCTTTGTCATGAAGGGGCATTTGTTTTTAATTGAACTTTTAGGAGGAATTATGGCTTTTTTAATATTCCTCAAACAAAAATGATTGAGAAATTTTATGTTGTCTATTCGCCTTTTTTTCCCAAATGTTTTAGAAAGGTAAACAGTACTTTATTTTTGCTTAATTTTTGCATTTTTGCGTCTCTTGTCATTTTCTTTTGTCAACAATATTGGCGTGTGGTGTTTTGTGCGATATCAAGAAAAGTATGTTCACAATTTTAAAAAAATACTTGAATGATGTCTTGGAAGAAACATGGGAATTTAGTGAGCGCCAGGGCACTTGATGACAAAGCTTCTGTGAAAGTTTGGTCAAAATCCATTGAGAAATGTAGGAGAAGTTGCGCACTGTAGAAATTGTTCACTATATATTCTGTATAAGGAAAAAATATACAAAGGGCCATAATTCGGTCAAATATTATCCAATCACAAAACCCCGACAATATGTGCCAGGCACTTGATAACAAAGCTTCTAAGAAAGTTTGGTCAAAATCCGTTGAGAAATGTAGGAGGAGTTGAGCACAGAAGAAATTGTTCTCTATATATAATCTGTATAAGGAAAGTTTGGTCAAAATCCGTTGAGAAATGTAGGAGGAGTTGCGCACAGAAGAAATTGTTCACTATATATTCTATATAAGGAAAAAAAACAAAGGGCCATAATTAGGTCAAATATATACCAATTGCAAAACCCTGGCAATATGTGTCAGAGCACTTGATGACAAAGCGTCTGAGAAAGTTTGGTCAAAATCCGTTGAGAAATGTAGGAGGAGTTGCGCACAGAAGAAATTGTTCACTATATATTTTATATAAGGTAAAAAAACAAAGGGCCATAATTAGGTCAAATATTATCTAATCGCAAAACCCCGACAATATGCGCCAGGGCACTTGATGACAAAGCTTCTGTGAAAGTTTGGTCAAAATCCGTTGAGAAATGTAGGAGGAGTTGCGCACAGAAGAAATTGTTTAAGACTGGGACCTGCCCATCCGCCCGCCCGCCGACATACTTCAATCTAATAACCAGTTTTTTCCTTCGGAAAACCTGGTTAAAAATATTGTTTCAAGAAATATGAACCTTGTCACATAAGATCTGGTTGATGATAAGGAATATGTATTTGAAGTTTGAGGTAGATACCTAAAACTAAAGAAATTCTAGTGAGTGTCTACCAAGTTTGTTCAAATAAAAGTCCTGGTGTTAAAATTGGCCCCTCCTAGAGGGAGGGGGGGGGGTCATTGTTTTTCCCTATAATGTATATTGTAAAAACTTAATTAATCTTCTTATAAAAACCTCAAAGAGCTAGAACTTAGATATTTACCATGAAACATCTTCTAATGTGTGTCTACCAAGTTTGTTCAAAAAAAAGCCCCTGGTTTAAAATTGGCATTGGCCCAGGGGCCTATATACAGGTGAGCCATTTCAGGACCATGATGGCCCTTTTGTTGTTAGATCAAATAAGAAAAATCAATGCCCCCCCTGGGGCTGGGCCAATTTTAACCTCAGGGAATTTATTTGATCAAACTTTGTAGACACTTACTAGATGATGTTTCATGCCAAATATTTAAGCTCTAGCTCTTTCTGTTTTCTGAAAGAATATATTTTAAGTTTTTTCTTTTGATTGCCATAGCAACCAGAGTTCTGCTTGGAATTAAATTCTTTGAACAATTTTTAAAGTTGACTACCAAAGGAACATTCCTGTGAAGTTTGGATGCAATTGACTAAGCCGTTTATGAGGAGATGTCGTTTACAGTAAAAAATTACAGAAGAACAGATGGACGCAGGACGGACGCCAGAAGAAAAGCGATCACAAAAGCTCACCATGTCACTTTGTGACAGGTGAGCTAAAAATGATAAGAGCAACAAAAGCTGTTGGTAGGACAGCAATGCTCAACTATTCTTAGTGCTTGATAGTAAAAACTAGAACTGTGTCCAAAGTACACAGATGCCCCCACTGTGCAGATGTGCTCGTAAACAAGAGCATGCATATCTGTATGTAAGATTTTTATGTGGAACTTTTTATTAAAATCTGCCATCCTGTTTAAGAGTTGCGTTCACAAAATTTCTATATGGTATATAGTGAAAAAATCAACAAAGGGCCATAATTCTGGTAAATTTGGTTGCAGCAAAAATTCCTTCCTTTACTACCATCTACACATTAAGGTTGTTCATCCCTGTAGGTTTAAGCAAAATCTGCCATCCGATTTAAGAGGAGTTGCGTTCACAAAATTTCTACATAGTATATAATGAAAAAATCAACAAAGGGCCATAATTCTGTTAAATTTGATCGCAGCAAAAATTATTTCCTTTACTGCCATCTACACATTAAGGTTGTTCATCCCTGGAAGTTTAAGCAAAATCTGCCATCCAATTTAAGAGGAGTTGCGTTCACAAAATTTCTACATAGTATATAGTGAAAAAATCAACAAAGGGCCATAATTCTGTTAACATTTGGTCGCAGCAAAAATTCCTTTCTTTACTGCCATCTACACATTAAGGCTGTTCATCCCTGAAAGTTTAAGCAAAATCTGCCATCCGCTTTAAGAGGAGTTGCGTTCACAAGATTTTGGGACGTAAGGACGGACGGACGGACAAGTGCAACGCTATATGCTCCCACTTTGTGGGGGCATAAAAATGCTTGATACAGTTACCTCCTCCTGTTTTCAGGTTGGGGTGATAATGGTGAACAAGTGTGCAAAGTTTCAAAGCCATATGTCAATGGACTTTGAAAATATTTGAGGTATTACAGAAACTTTAACGTAAATTCTAAGTCGAAAAAGGGGCATAATTCTGTCAAAATGCTTGATAGAGTAACCTCCTCCTGTCTACAGGTTGGGGTCATGATGGTTAACAAGTGTGCAAAGTTTCAAAGCCATATGTCAATGGACTTTGAAAATATTTGAGGTATAACAAAAACTTTAACGTAAATTCTAAGTCAAACTAGAAATGTGTCCATAGGACACGGATGCCCCCACACGCCACTGTTCTGTCAATCTTATGACTCTAGGTCAAATATTTTTTGAACTACATGTACCAAAAGTTGAAAACTAAAAATCAACAAAGGGCCATAATTCTATTAAATTTAGTCGCAGCAAAAATTCCTTCCTTTACTACCATCTACACATTAAGGTTGTTAATCCCTGGAAGTTTAAGCAAAAACTGCCATCCGGTTAAAGAGGAGTTGCGTTCACAAAATTTCTACATAGTATATAATGAAACAAGAGGGCCATGATGGCCCTGAGGTCGCTCACCTGTATATAGCCCCCGTCCCCCGCCCCCCGGCCCAATTTTTACCCAAGGGCTTTTATTTGAACAGACTTGGTAGACACCCATAAGAAGATGTTTCATGCAAAACATCTAAGTTCTAGCTCATTGGGTTTTTTAAAAGAAGATTTTTTAAGTTTTTACTATACACATATAGTTAAAAACAATGACATCCCTCGGGCAGGGCCAGTTTTGACCCCTGGGCTTTTATTTGAACAAACTTTGTAGATATTTACTTAAAGATGTTTCATGCTTAATATCTAAACTCTAGCTCTTACGGTTCTTTAAAAGAAGATTTTTTAAGTTTTTACTATATGCATATAGGGAAAATCAATGACCGCCCGGGGTGGGGCCAGTTTTGACCCCAGGGCTTTTATTTGAACAAACTTGGTAGACATTCACTAGAAGATGTTTCATGCCAAATATCTAAGCTCTAGCTCTTACAGTTCTTTAAAAGAAGATTTTTTAAGTTTTTACTATATGCATATAGGAAAAATCAATGACCCCCTGGGGCGGGGCCAATTTTGACCCCAGGGCTTTTATTTGATCAAACTTGGTAGACATTCACTAGAAGATGTTTTATGCCAAATATCTAAGCTCTAGCTCTTCTGGTTCTTTAAAAGAAGATTTTTTAAAGTTTTTACTATATGCATATAGGGAAAATCAATTACCCCCCAGGGCGGGGCCAATTTTGACCCCAGGGCTTTTATTTGAACAAACTTGGTAGACATTCACTAGAAGATGTTTCATGCCAAATATCTTAGCTCTAGCTTTTTGGGTTCTTTAAAAGAAGATTTTTAAGTTTTTACTATATGCATATTGGGAAAATCAATGACCCCCTGGGCGGGGCCAATTTTGACCCCAGAGCTTTTATTTGAACAAACTTGGTAGACATTCACTAGAAGATGTTTCATGCCAAATATCTAAGCTCTAGCTCTTACAGTTCTTTAAAAGAAGATTTTTTAAGTTTTTACTATATGCATATAGGGAAAATCAATGACCCCCGGGGCGGGGCCAATTTTGACCCCAGGGCTTTTATTTGAACAAACTTGGTAGACACTCACTAGAAGATGTTCCATGCCAAATATCTTAGCTCTAGCTCTTACAGTTCTTTAAAAAAAGATTTTTTAAGTTTTTACTATATGCATATAGGGAAAATCAATGACCCCCTGGGGCGGGGCCAATTTTGACCCCAGGGCTTTTATTTGAACAAACTTGGTAGACACTCATTAGAAGATGTTTCATGCCAAATATCTAAGCTCTAGCTTGTAGGGTTGTTTAAAAGAAGATATTTAAAGATTTTTCTTTCGGTTGCCATGGCAACCAGAGTTCTGCATGGAATTAAATTCTTTGAACAATTTTTAAAGGTGACCACCAAAGGAACATTCCTGTGAAGTTTGGATGAAATTGGCTCAGTGGTTTATGAGGAGATGTCATTTAAAGCAAAAGTTTACAGACGGACGGACGACGGACGGACGGACGGACAGACGCCGGACGAAAAGCGATCACAAAAGCTCACCCTGTCACTTTGTGACAGGTGAGCTAAAAATCAACAAAGGGCCATAATTCTGTTACATTTGGTTGCAGCAAAAATTCTTTCCTTTACTGCCATCTTCACATTAAGGTTGTTCATCCCTGGAAGTTTAAGCAAAATCTGCCATCCGGTTTAAGAGGAGTTGCATTCACAAAATTTCTACATAGTATATAGTGAAAAAATCAACAAAGGGCCATAATTCTGTAAAATTTGGTCGCAGCGAAAATTCCTTCCTTTACTACCATCTACACCTTACGGTTGTTCATCCCTGTAAGTTTAAGCAAAATCTGCCATCAGGTTTAAGAGGAGTTGCGTTCATAAAATTTCTACATAGTATATAGTGAAAAAATCAACAAAGGGCCATAATTCTGTTAAATTTGGTCGCAGCAAAAATTCCTTCCTTTACTTCCATCTACACATTAAGGTTGTTCATCCCTGTAAGTTTAAGCAAAATCTGCCATCCGGTTTAAGAGGAGTTGCGTTCACAAGATTTCGGGACGTATGGACGAACGGACGGAGAAATGCAACGCTATATGCTCTCACATTGTGGGGGCATAAAAAGGGGCATTATTCTGTCAAAATGCTTGAAACAGTTACCTCCTCTTGTCTACAGGTTGGGGTCATGATGGTGAACAAGTGTGCAAAGTTTCATAGCCATTTGTCAATGGACTTTGAAAATATTTGAACTATTACAAAAACTTTAACGTAAATTCTAAGTCGAAACAAGAGCACCGCTAGGCGGAGCATTATATGCCCGAAAGTGTTTTTTTTTTAGTAAGGATGAAGCATTCATTAGACATGGGAATTAGCTGTTCATCCTATAAAATTTTACAGATGTAGGTTGATTAATACTTAAGTCATTAATAATGATCTTAACCTTTGACCTTGTGACCCTAAAATCAATAGGGGTCTTCCACCTTATATGGACAATCATCCTATGAAGTTTGAATATGTGGGTCAAATGGAACTTAAGTTATGCTCCGGAAACTGTTTTCAGTATCAAGGTAATAGTGACCTTGACCTTTGACCTTTTGACCCCAAAATCAATAGGGGTCTTCAACTTAATATGGACAATCAACTTATGAAGTTTGACCATTGTGGGTCAAATGGAACTTAAGTTATGCTCCGGAAATTGTTTTCTGTATCAAGGTAATAGTGACCTTGACCTTTGACCTTGTGACCCAAAATCAATAGGGGTCTTCTACCTAATATGAACAATCATCCTATGAAGTTTGAACATTGTGGGTCAAATGGACTTAAGTTATGCTCCGGAAACTGTTTTCAGTATCAAGGTAATAGTGACCCTGACCTTTGACCTTGTGACCCCAAAATCAATAGGGGTCTTCTACCCAACATGGACAATGATCCTATGAAGTTTGAACATTGTGGGTCAAATGGAACTTAAGTTATGCTCCAGAAACTGTTTTCAGTTTTAAGGTAATAGTGACCTTGACCTTTGACCTTGTGACCCCAAAATCAATAGGGGTCTTCTACCCAATATGGACAATCATCCTATGAAGTTTGAACATTGTGGGCCAAATGGAACATAAGTTATGCTCCGGAAACCAAATTGCTAACGGACAAATTGCTAACGGACGGAAACTGTTTTCAGTATCAAGGTAATAGTGACCTTGACCTTTGACCTTTTGTCCCCAAAATCAATAGGGGTCTTCTACCCAATATGGACAATCATCCTATGAAGTTTGATAATTGTGGGTCAAATGGAACTTAAGTTATGCTCCGGAAATTGTTTTCAGTTTTTAGGTAATAGTGACCTTGACCTTTGACCTTTTGACCCCAAAACCAATAGGGGTCTTCTACCCAATATGGACAATCATCCTGTGAAGTTTGAACATTGTAGGCCAGATGGAACTTAAGTTATGCTCCGGAAACCAAATTGCTAACAGACGGAAACTGTTTTCAGTATCAAGGTAATATGGACCTTGACCTTTGACCTTTTGACCCCAAAATCAATAGGGGTCATCTACCCAATATGGACAATCATCCTATGAAGTTTGAACATTGAGGGCCAAATGGAACTTAAGTTATGCTCCGGAAACCAAATTGCTAACGGACAAATTGCTAACGGACGGACGGACGCCAGGGGGTATAACATAATATGCCCTTTCGGGCATATAAAAAGGGGCATAATTCTGTCAAAATGCTTGATAGAGATACCTCCTCCTATCTACAGGTTGGGGTCATGATGGTTAACAAGTGTGCAAAGTTTCAAAGCCATATGCCAATGGACTTTGAAAATATTTGAACTATTACAAAAACTTTAACATAAGTGGTTACGCCTACGCTCGGGTGATTACAATAGCTCTACTTATTCTTATCGAATAGTCGAGCTAAAAAGCAAATACTTCAAAGCATAATTGTGAAATATCACATGATTCATGCAAAACATTAATTTACTGTAGACCACATGGTGAAAATGGTTTCTGAGCGTTGTTTTTTCTATTAAAAGCTTGGCATTTTATGCACCTTTAAAAAAAAGCACAATAATAATAATACCTTTAGAAGCCTTCCAATGTCATCTATGTTTCTTCCAAACTGTCTTAAATTTGGTTCTAGCCAATTTATAACAGATATATAATCATTGTTCTGCACAAAAGGCACTAATTCCTCCATTCCTAGAAATACAACAAGAAACATAGCAATACCATCAAACCAGATTTTCCAAAAAAGATATAGCAAATGGGGGCCTTGCTTGGGTTTTAATGCTATACTTGCTGAAAGTCATTCAAAAATCAAGGTTATATTTTACTGTTAAAATATGACAATTTAGTCCCAAATATTGTTTTGTCTCAGGGCAAACCAGATCCATCAATAAACAACACGATTACTTCAAATGTGATTATTTTTCTTTAGAATATGACATTGATAGTCAATGTTATTAAGGATTCAAGATCACTGTTTTATGATGATATTCTTCAATATGTTGTGTTAACAAGAACAAGATATGCCAACGGGCAAATTGTCTAGCTCACTCGTCTTAATTCAAACCTGAACATGTAAGTTTCAGATCAAGGAGAAAGATGTATACAAAACACATCCTCTTTATAACCTATAGGGTACCCACTATGCCCTTCAATTTTGCCATTCTTGTAATAAGGTTTTTCAAAATTGAAAACATTTGGTAGCATGTAAAAACATATTATACAAGAATATCATCATACAAGGGGATTATTGCTAACTGGGCCTGCACATTTGTAAAATGTTTTTCAATGTGCATCGGTCAATAAATCAAGGTAGGAAGAACAAGTGTTAAAATCTATTGAAGCACGAAGCAAAAAAAGAAAATGAGCCGCCTCACGACAAAACCAACGTAATGCATTTGCGACCAGCATGGATTAAGACCAGCCTGCGCAGCCGCACAGTCTGATCAGGATCCATGCTGTTCGCTTACCAACTCTATTACAAGTAGAGAAACTGACAGCGAACAGCATGGATCCTGATCAGACTGCGCGGATGCGCAGGCTGGTCTGGATCTATGCTGGATGGCAAAGCCATTATGTTGGTTTTGTCATGACGCAGCTCAAATAACACTTACCTTCTGGGTTCTTCATTATACAGTGATATCTGACCAGTGGCCAAATGAATTCTGAGCGCATAGATCTCTGTAATATATTAGCATTATACATGTAGACACAGTATACAAGAACTGTTCCGAATTGGTAACCTAGGCAATGTCCTGGTAAAATTTAATGACAATGATAACTTAATTCAATTTCTTATGTTAATCATAACTATGAAGTATCAAAGAAGTTAAGTTCCCAATAGAAATTACTCTTTTTGCATCACAAGCAACCCAGGATGCCTTACTTTGTAAGTATTAAACAAATTTTATACCTTTTGAATTATCCATAACTAGATAGTATCCATAAGTAAGGAGAGATTATTCTTGATTTATAGGTGCAAAAAATCAGAAAATCAGCAGATGAAAGTTATTTCAACAATTATAAAAGAATACTTACCTCAGCTACTACATGAGGAAGAATTGCAATTGCTGATTCTGAAAATGAATACAAGTAAACATGAGCCTACAAACTAGTTATTGTATAAAACAATACATATCCGTGGAAATATATAATATATATACTGAAACAAAAAAAGAAACTTTCTCCAAGTTTGAATGTAGATTATGTTAGTACAGTTTTTCAATTTTGAAACTCGACTTTTACATTGAATAAACATATCAGGCTTTTATACGGGGATTAGCTGACCGATTTTGCAAACAAAACTAGTTTTACAAGCTACTACATGTATATAAGTGTGTACATCTAAGTGGTACCCTTGAACAACTGGCACATACTTTATGAAAGTTTCTTTTTTGGTTCAGTATATAATACCGAATTTCATTTAAAAATATGATGATTTGTTACTATCCTTATATTAATGTCCTCTCATGAACAGGTATATACAGGCAAAAATGATGAAAATTCTGCTTACATACAAACTTCAGATCATCATCAGCTGTGCTCAAGGTCAATCGTGTAATCTACAAATCATGACTAACCTTCACACCCAATCTTAGGACTCTAGATCTAAGTGCTCTTTACTTATTGATAGGACAAGCTTTTTTTTGTCATGGACACAGTGGTGTTAGAGCATCAGACCTCATGAGGATCATTCAAGATCATCTACTTGTCATTAACAACCACCTAACCAAATATTAGACCCATGTTTTCTAGGAGAAAATTTTTGTGGTCAAGGCCAGGATGACCTAGGCTTCTGATCGTCTGACCTCAAAATCTATAGGGGTCAAAAATTGGTCATTATAAACCTCCATTCAACAAATCATAGGACTGTAGGTCAAAGCAGTCTCTAGTAATTGCTCGGACAAGCTTTTGGCAGTCGATACCTAGTTACTCTACATGTTATCTACTTTTGTCAGCTATTTGATGTGACAAGCAATTGATAGTCCAGGCCACCATGACCTTAGCCTTTGACCAAGTGACCTCAAAAATCAATATAGGCCAATGGGTTTACTTACTGATTGAACAAGATGTCCAACACAGTGTGGTACACAGACAGACTGAGGGATGCTGTGCAAAGAAATATAACCTACTTCTTCAGACAGGCATAAAAATCACCTTTATGAAGAACTACCTGCTAGTGAGTTACCTATCTTCAATGAGATACCCATCTATTTAATCCCTTTCCCTCCTACTCAACAAATCCTTGGAGAGAAAATAACCATCTCATAGTTAGTTTAATATCACACTGACAACTATAACCTTGTTTACTATTATTTCCATCCATTACATTTACACAAAAATTGTGATTTACATTACCACAATCCCTATCAACATCTTAAATAAACCATCTTGTAGCTACAGTAATATTACCCTAACCCCTTTCATCAACTTTTGTTTTGAAATATTACAAAAAATACTAGTTACCATATTGAAATTTCTCGATAGCACTGGTGAAGTAATAAGAGAAAGATGCTTCCTTCAAACCAAGTCTTTTCATCATTTCTATATATTTGACTACATCTGCTGTTCCCTATTGGAGAAAAGAGCATTTGAGCCGTGTCATGACAAAACCAACATAGTGCGTTTGAGACCAGCATGGATCCAGATCAGCCTGTGCATCCACGCAGTCTGATCAGGATCCATGCTGTTCGCTATCAGTTTCTCTACTTGTTATAGGGTTTGTAAGGGAACAGCATGGATCCTGATCAGACTGCACGGATGCGCAGGCTGGTCTGGATCCATGCTGGTCGCAAACCCATTATGTTGGTTTTGTCATGACACGGCTCATTTTACACATATGAATTAAGAATAAAACACTACAGGTAACACAAAGACTGGGCAAATTTTGACAAACTATAATATCAATAAACAGAGTTTCATTTTTTTATTTTAAAGGTCCATTTTGCCCCAGAAACTCTTTTTATCATTTTTTTCTCAAAAGCTTTTTTTAAAGTGGCATTATGCCCATCAAAGACTAAGTGTTAAGAGTGGAGATTAAAGTCCAAATTAGCTTAAATTCAGTCACATTTGTTTCCAATTTCATATTCTACTTTTAGCAAATATTCAATAGTTCAAATAGTACACGGAAATTTCGATAAGTATCCTTTAGAATGTATCGGCTACACTCAGTTTATAAAAAGAGTGGGGCAATCTCTAGGTTTTGTGGCAGTTTTCATATTTAACCCTAAACATTTCTAATTCACTCTCCATTAAAATAGTCATCTTTTGAAATATATATCTTATTTCAACTCATATTAACAAAGAGAGAAGAGAAGATAAATTAAACATATCACTTAAATTTTGGTGTCCTTTTAAAGTTTCAAAAAGATACTGAATTTTAAAGATTTCTGTCCATTGTCATGGCAAGCAAGTTTTTGATAGAATGGAATTGATGAATTTTAATAACAATAAATATAAGGAACATCAAATTTCTACAAATTTTGCTGAACAATTTCATAGAGGATGTCATCTGATATATATGATGAAAATGAAAACTGAAGACAAGAATCCTAAAAAGTTTCAACTTTATAACACAATAACTTACCAATTGTACATTAATTGCTGCCTTGATCAGATCTCTACATGTACCGGGTACTTTGGAAAAATAGTTGAATGCCAAGTCATGATGACCTGCGAACAATAAAACATATGTTCAATATAACCTTTTTTCTAATTACAAAAATTCAAACCTTTTATCACTCAAGCTATTTATCTAGAATATAACTTTACAACATTATTTCAAAACTAAACTCTAATCTTAAGCTATGATTTTCTTACTTCAAGGATTTTATACATCTTTATAGACATAGCCTTATTGCCAACATGATTGGGAACTTAATAGGAATCATATGCTGTAATAACAATCATCCCATCCCCAATTTATTCATACAAACAAGAGAGTGAAGATGTACCTGCCACACTCACTGGAAAAATATGATCAACTGAATGACAAAGAGTTCTCTACTAGGAGCCAGGTAAAATTTCTTTGATCATTTAGAAGTAAGGTTTATGCAAAATTAGAAAAGCTATGATATGACCATTTGTCAAAAGACAACTTGGCAAACCAAGAGGTATGGGAACATCTGACTACAAAATTACGGTTTTTGAGTTTGAATCCTTGCTATTCTAGACTGAAATTACCAATAATTTTCAACTGGAACCACAAGTGATCAGCCTTTGCCATCAGTAATGAGCCAGGCAAGCCTTACAATTCCATGCAGTCTAACAAGGCTCTGTGCTGTTAGCAACTTCATATGTGTATTTTGAAATTGAAATCCTTTAAACATAGAATGGACCGCTCCAAATGCAAAGCACAAAAAGTTCATTACACAATTTCAGCAGGTTAAGCTTTACGAGAGGTCCAGTATGGGTACTGAAAAAACTTGCTTAAAGACCAGTAATTATATAGACTCAATAACATCAGGCTTGACAATAACCATATGAGCCGCGTCATGATAAAACCAACATAATGGGTTTGCGACCAGCATGGATCCAGACCAACCTGCACATCCGTGCAGTCTGATCAGGATCCATGCTATTCGCTATCAGATTCTCTACTTGTAATAGAGTTGGAAAGCAAACAGAATGGATCCTGATAAGACTGCGCGGATGCACAGGCCAGTCTGGATCCATGCTGGTCGCAAACCCATTATGTTGGTTTTGTCATGACGCGGCCCAAATGATCAAGATGAGAAAATGACCCTTAATCATAATGTCACTTACTTTAATTTTAATCAACATATTGAATTCTTAAAGAAATTCAATTCTAAAACACTCAAAGTAAATAAAAAACTTTTGAAATAATTAAGGGTAATTTTTTACTTTTTTCTCCTCTATTTTTTAACATTAATGACAATGTTAACATACTATAGCGTTATTTGTAAAAGGACTTTAACAGTCGTTTTATCATGCCGGCATTCCAGGGCTTTTTTACACAGGTTGGGGAAGCAGCCCTGCCCTTAATTTGGGGGAAAATTACACGATATATTTGCAAAGGGGAAGGAAAAACTTGATGTAAATTCAATTTTTTGGGAAAACTGCATGATTTTAAAGAATTTTTCTTTGGGGAAGAAGCCCTATACTGGCCCCTGCTATAGAAGGAATATAAGCCCTGCATTCAAATGTTATAATAGTAACTGTAATTACCACTCTCCATAAGTGACTTTATTGTTTTTACTATGGTATGTTCCCACTTTCCAGACTCTGGTATTTCTGATGTAAACTGAAATAGAGAGCATATTTATTGAATTGATAACTTTTACGAGAACAATTGAGTTTTATCAAATTCTGTCCAGAATTTAAGATATGTCAGTAAAAAAAAATTCTATATTGAGTTCTAGGGGCCATCTTGTTCAGCAGAAAAGAACAATTTTAATTACTTTTGTAAAAGACCCAAAAAGGATTATTGCCCTATTGTTTTTCATATGGACAAGTGATTAAGATGTCATATAGAAGTATTTGCATTTTGAAGTTTGTACCATCTCAATCCATTTAAACAGTGTATAAAAACACTAGAACTATTTTTTCACAGTACCATCAAGGACTATTCTTATAAAGGATCATTCCTATAAAGGATCATATCATTCCTATAAAGCCTTAAAGGATCATATTCTTATATAGGATCATTCCTATCAAGATTCATATCATTCCTATAAAGGATCATTCCTATAATGGATCATTCCAATAAAGGATCATTTTCTTATATAGGATAATTCCTATAATTGATCATTCCTATAAAGGATCATATCATTCCTATAAAGGATCATATTATTCCCATAAAGGACCATATTCTTATATAGGATCATTCCTATAAGGAAGCATTCCTATAAAGAATCATTCCAATTAAAATCTGTGGTGCAGATCAGAAGGAAATGTGTTTATTCTTGGCTTTGGAGACTTTCTTGTCCAAATAGTAAAAGCAATTTCAAGTTACAAGGTCTTCCCAAATTTCCTTAAAATTTATCCAGCCAGTAAAGGGTTATAAACTAAATAAAATTAATTTCATTAAAATCTACCCAAGTGATTAACATGTGATTTGAAGATTTTTTTACTTTAAGCACTTGCAATCTTGTTAAGTCTTTACCCATTTCCCATTTGGTATAATATTGAGGCTAAAAATTTGAAATACCCAATCTTGTGAAGGTTTAAATAGCTAAAAATTCTTACATAATCAATGATTTCTTGGTGCCTTGGTTTGCCTATATCTTGTACCAAAGCTTGTAGAACTGTACCTGTTAAATTGGGCAGAAGGACCAGGTCGGTTTTTGCTCTATCCAGCATCTGAATAATGTACAAATACAAACTTTTTACTTACTCCATCAAACTTTTTAAGTTTGTAACTAAACATAATTACAAAGGTTAGTATTCTTAAATATATATTTACAAAGAGAACAAACAAACAAAAATACTGAAACATAAATACAAAGTTCAGTATTACTGAATATATATACAGATACAAAAACAAAGTATAAGAAGGTCTGAGGGCCCAAGATCACTAACATGAACCTAAGCCAAAATATCATGGTTACTGACATTCGATGTCAAGTTTATTTCTTTTTTACACTCGTTCACTGAATAAATATCCTTTTTAGCTTGTTAGTATATCACCACCAAATGATCATCAAACTTCCTGAAAACTGTCAAACTGACAATTCATAAAGTCTGACAATATTAAGAGACAATAAAATCAATGAGAAGTTTTGTTTGTTTGTTTGATTGGGTTTGATGTCACACAGACACAGTATAGGTAATATTGCGATGTTCTAGCTTTACTGGTGGATGAAGAACTCAGGTGCCCTTCCGTGCATTATTTCAGGCACAAACGGGCCCTGAGTAGAACCACTGACATTCCGTAAGCTAGCTGGACAGCTTCCTCACCTGAAAGAATCAAAATTCCATGTCGGGAAATCGAACCCACAGCGGTGAGGGGCAAGTGGTTTGAAGTCAACATCCTTAAGCACTCAGCCGCGCACACCCCTCAATGAGAAGTGTAACTTTGATAAACAAATACTGTTTACCAGAGATTGAGTTGATTAGTACAATGTTTTATGTTAAAGGAAATGTTGCTTTATTAACCTTGAATTGTTATGTCTGTCTGACAGAATTTTTGTCGGTCTAACCAAAATCCTGGGCCCATTGGACCATCTGTCTCACATTCTTTCCAAAATTTCAGGAAGTCTGTGATCATTCATAAAAAGCTATGAAAGTGATACAGTCACATTACAATAAAATCCGACATCCACAAAAAAACTTGAAAAGCCATAATTAAAATTTATATTAAATGACACCTATGGTGAATGCTTACTACTGTAATATTCTTAATATTAAAAGCTGTTTATGTACTGCAGCTAAAATGTGATTCTTTTTAAAGATACTACAAACCTGAATAACTTGAACTTTAAGAATATTTAATTGTTTATATTATGTTTACATTTTCTCTATAACATTTGCCATTAGCAATGGATAGAAAGCCAAATTTCAATTCCAACCCCTCAATTGCAAAAAAACCACTAAAAACCCCAGTAGCATGATTAGCTGCAAAAAAAAAAACACACAAAAATAACCTGAACGGTTTCATTTCCTGTGAAAGAAAAGGGCTATCTTTTGGTGTTTCTTAAAGATGTGACAAGTTTTATGAATATAGTTAACAGTCACATATTCAATGTCACTTTTCCAAGTTTTTCAAATATCTCAAATTTCCACAAATGTTTGTTTGTTTGTCTCATTTTAAGCCTTTTCCCAACAGTATTTCAGTCATATAGGCGGGTAGTTTCCTAACCATCGTTCCTGGAGAGTTACACCAGTACAAGACTACCTTCCTCCGCGCTAAACTACCAAAGCATCTTCCGGGGATCGAACCCACGCAAGAGAGGTAACTGGATTAGAAGTCATCGACTCTAACCCCTAGACCATGGAGGCGGTTAAATTTCCACAAATGCTGCACAATTTATCATACTGTAATCATGGGCCTTTTTAAAAGGCCCTGGTTTAACCTTGACTGTGGAACAAGCAACATTATCAAAAACATCACCTTGGATAAACAGATCTAGTGTCTAATGAAACATGATTGTGACCCCAAGAACACAAATGCCAGAAAACCATTACACTTTTCATGTAGATAGAAAATTTCAGCTTCCTTGTCCCTTCAAAGTACCTTGAAAGCAAAAAAAAATGAGCTTCAATTTGTTTTTAAACCAAAACAAAATTGTAAATATAAATATTTACGGTACCTCCTTCACTCCATCTAAATCTCCAAGCATGGCATATCCTGTGATCACAGCTTCATACATTTTTGAGTCTTGTGCAAATCCCAAATCACTGCAAAGTAAATATTATCATCAACGGCCATTCTATCTATACAAGTGCAGTGGTAAAGGGATTCCACTGTGATTTTTTGACATCATGGGAGTGAATTTTTTTTTTTTAATTTGTTCCATTTGATGTTGGTCTATACCAATTACTTAGTGCAAAAATTCATATCATTTGCTCACTCAAGAATAGTTTATATTGTTTAAAATTACCTAAAAATAAATAGCATTTAAATGCTTTTAATTCAAAGCAGGCTAAGAATCACATTAAATTCTAATTTTTAATTCAATTCCAATTTAGTTTCAACATATTCCCTTTTCAAGTTTTAAAGATATCAATCTACATGTAGAAACTTAACCAAAGTGCAAAGTGCAACGGCAACTAGTCAAGCTAACAAGGGCACCACATACGGGCTTAAGACGTGTCTGTTAAGGAAACACCTATCAATAACTAATTTTTCTGAACAATTTAAGTAAACAAGAGTTATCAGTGATCATGTGTTGCCTGATGATGGCAAATTAAGCAGTGGTACCCCAAACTCAAAAGGGGTGATCTATTTGCCAGGACCAATGCACCTGTGAAGTTTGAGGGCAAAGGGTCCATGGTTTATCAAGTAATTGGTCCGAAACCATTTTGATATAAAAGGTCAATTTGATCTTGTCCTTTGACCTAGTGACCCAAAAAAACAGTAGGGTTCATCTACTTGTCATGACCAATCTCCATATGAAGTTGAAAATTCTTAGGCCAGGCATTCTTAAGCTATATGATAGGAAATAGTTTGGTCTAAGGACCAACCCACCAACCTTACTTTGTGTTTGTGAAGTTACTTTATTACAACATAATAACACAAATTGAACCTACTTGCTGCTGTCAAAAAGTTTCATAGCAGTCTCTGCATCCCTATAAAAAAGAAAGTAGTTTATTTGTTGTCAAAAAGTAGTCTTTTCAATTCATACAAAAAGTATTTCCTTATTGAAATGACAGTGCAGTCAACAAGACGCAAAATAAGAAAAATATACATGAAGAATGAATATGACTTGGCTCAAGGCCAAATTATTCTTGTTGATCATCTTTATTAAAATAAAAGATCTGAGGTAATTTCTTAGTCTCAAAATAGTATATTTATTTATCAAGTGTTCATTTACATTAAGTACTTATTTTCTTTTTTTATTATTATTTTCAAGTAATTTTAGTGATTCTTTAATTTTGTGATGTTCTTTAACCCTTTTACTGCCATAGGGACGGCATATGCCGTCCCTATTATTTGCGGCGTATTTGCCATATAAATGGCTTTTGCCGTTTCTTTAATAATAATCATAATTATAATAATAATAATTATAATAATAATAATAAATATATATAGATAATTATACCATCGACAATAATTATTATATACTAGCAGATTTGGAAACATATATAATTATTATAATACTAATAACAAATAATAATAATTATATTTATTAATTATATATTAATTTCTTAGAAAACCTTCTGGCAAATAGGTGATCAATAAATAAATAAATAACCCTCTGGCAGCGAAAAGGGTTAAGTATAGGTTAAAGTTTATTAGTACATATTAACAAATTGAAATTGGTCAGACGCAGTACAACCAATTTAATTTTGGAAATACGTACTAATAACTTTTTACCAGCTTAGTGTTTGAAATTTTTTTTATAAATAGCCAACTTAATACTGATTTACAGTTTGCCGATTTACAGAAGTAAATCTGTCAAGATTCTATCATTCATTTCAAATACTGCAATCCTATTGGACAAAAAAATAATGTCCAACACTAAGATATATACACCAACACAGTTAATGTTATCTTAGTTTATACAAATTTATTTTAGTTTGATTGTGTTTGAAGCTAAAGACTTATTGAAACACTCTCTAATCCGTTCCTGGAACCAACAAGTGCTAAGCAATGAATGTAAAGTTTCTTGCTCAAGGAAACAACGGCTTTCCCCCGACAGGATTTGAACAAACACGATCAGCAATCCTTAGATTACTAGTCTGACGTGTTAACCACTCAACCACACCGCCAATTCTAATATTATCTTGTGGAGGGAGACCTCATTTCCCTCCAAACCTACGTAGAAACATGTAAAAGACATAAAATCCATCAAAGTCTCAATAATAGAGGGAACTTCTCCTTATAGACAACTAATGAGTTTATCATACATCATCTAAAAACATTAAATTAAATTATAAACAAATTAATATATTTACTTACCCTGCCAAAAAATTTCCTTTTATCAAATGTCTGTATGTGTATTCATTTACTACAAATTTTGCTTTGCGCATGTGCTCCAAAATTTGCCTGAATAAGAAAGAAAACTTGTAACACATCATAAATCAGAACAGCATGTAAATTAATTCAAAGTCTCTGAACACATATATCTGACAAATTTTACAAACTGTATAAAATGGAATCAAAATGGCTTGATAAATGTACATATAAATTTTATATGCACATTTTATAATAAATGTACAATATATTTATTAACTATATATTTGATCACATGATTATGCTCCTTTTCAATAAATATTATCATTATGAATTTCTTTAATGCTTAAGGAGGCATGCCAGGTGAAATTTTTTTCAAGGAAATCAAACTGGAGAAAAATGTATTCAGAATTTAAGGAAAGTAAAAAGGTCTAAGATAAACATTATAATTTACATGTTATGTGATTAATGAATGATTTTGCAGTAATTTTGCACCATATTTCTACTGCGTTACTAACGCAATAAGGGTTTTGTATGCATATTTTGACCGCTTTATTGTAATTTCAGTGGATTGTAAGTACTGTTTGCAATGCGGTAATTATTTTCTTCGTTCACATAACAATATTTTACTTTTAAAAACATTTTTAGAATTTTCATGAAAAATACCATGAATATGGAGGCATGCTGCTTTAAAATAAAATATTACGCTATTATCATAATGTCATGTAAAGTCAATAAATGGCATCAACTGCATCATATCAACAACAGCTGTCCATAAGACAGTGTGCTTACTATTTTCAGTGTTTGACAGAAAGAAAAGGGTCATAACTCTGTAAAAAAATAACTCAGTTATGGGACTTGTGCCCAACATGTTAGATAATCACAGAGAACAAGTATGTGAAGTTTCAACTTATTCCCTTCAGTAATTTTAAAGATATTAATTTGCATGCATGATATTAACCTAAGTGTGGTGAAGCCGCAGATAATGAGCCTCTGGTAAGTACAATAACTCGGCATGCGGGCATAAGGCTTGTCTTTTACTAAGTTTTATAAACAATTTAAGTAAACAAGAGCGATCAGTAATCACATGTGTCGCCTCATGATGGCCAATTTCATGTTGGGACAAAGTTTGTGACAGACGGACGGACAGACAGACGGACAGTGCATAACTAGACTTGGTACAGATCATTCCTGTAAAGTTTGGATGAAATTGCACCAGTAGTTTATGAGGAGTAGTCCCGACAAGCTTTTGCGTATCTGGCAACACACAGAAAAAACCATCTTTTTATCAAAGGGCCATAACTCGGCCAAAAATTATTCAACCGGAAAACCCGTGCAATATGCGCAAGGACTTGAGCTACAGATCAATCCTGTAAAGTTTCATTGAAATTGCTTTAGTGGTATAAGAGAAGTAGTCCGGACAAACTTTAAAAATAACAAGAGCTGTCCGTAGCGCGTTCGACTTTTTTATTGCTTGCCAATAAAAAAAGTTTTTGCAGTAAAAGGCAATACAAGAATCTCTGTATTTTTAAAGTGAACTAGTTGTTTGATACCCTTGAATATTACAGCAATGTTTATATGACATAATTTATGGTAAAGTGAACAAGTGGATAGGAATGAATTTTTTTAGATTTTTTAAGTTTTTTAGTGCTTGCCTATAATACAAAACATTGACAGTTAAGGGCCATAATTCAAATAAAATCTTTGACAGAATTACCTTCTCCTGGACATGTTTGGGAATCATGATTGTAAACAAGTATTCCAACTTTCAAATTAATATCTCAAACAGTTCAGTCAAAAAGTGGACTGGTACTAAAAACTTAACCAAGATTCTAAGTCGATAAAAGGCCTTAATTTTTAAAACAAATCCTTGACAGAGTTACCTTCTCTTGCGTACAGATGGGGGTAATGATGTGAAATAGCATTAAAAGTTTCAAAGCAATATCTCAAAGGGTTAAGGCAATAAGTGGATTTTACCCATATTCAATGTATTTTCTAAGTCAAAAAGGGGCATAATTCTGTCAAAAACCTTGACAGAGTTATGACCTCTTGTCTGTTGATGAAGGTCGTGATGGTAAACAAGTATGGTCAGTTTCAAAGCAATACCTCCAATGGTTTTGAAATAAAGTGAGGTGGTACAAAAAACTTAACCAAGCTCAATACACTTTCTAAGTCAAAAAAGGGCCATAATTCTGTCAAAAACCTTGACAGAGTTATGTACTCTTGTCTGTAGATGGAGGTTATGATGGTGAACAAGTATGGTAAGTTTCAAAGCCATACTTGTAATACTTCTGAAATAAAGTGGGGTGGTACGAAAAACTTAACCAAGGTGTGACGCCGACGCCGACGCCGGGGCGAGTAGGATAGCTCCCCTTTTCATAGAAAAGTCGAGCTAAAAATTATTAAAGGGCCATAACTCTGACAAAAATCATTGAACTGGAAAATGCTGATAATATGCACAACTAGACCTGGTACTGATCATTCCTGTAAAGTTTGGATGAAATTGCACCAGTAGTTTATGAGGAGTAGTCCGGACAAGCTTTTGTGTATCTGGCAACACACAGAAAAAAACACCTTTTTATCAAGGGCCATAACTCGGCCAAAAATCATTAAAAAACCCATGCAATATGCGCATGGACTTGAGCTACAGATCAATCCTGTAAAGTTTCATTGAAATTGCTTTAGTGGTATAAGAGAAGTAGTCCGGACAAACTTTAAAATTAAAAATTATTAAAGGGCCATAACTCTGCCAAAAATCATTGAACCGGAAAATGCTGACAATATGCACAACTAGACTTGGTACTGATCATTCCTGTAAAGTTTGGATGAAATTGCACCAGTAGTTTATGAGGAGTAGTCCGGACAAGTTTTGTGACGGACAGACAGACAGACGGACAGACAGACGACGGAGAAGTGATCCCTATATGTCGCCACTACTCCGTAGTAGCGACACAAAAAGGGAATATCTTCTAAAAATATTGCTTTCAAGATAATGTTTCTTGTCTAACAACTGTGCCTAATGTCATGATCAACAAGTATTCAAAGTGTCATTTTGATACCTTTCATAGTTTTAAAATAATAAGCAATTTTGACAAGATTTTAGTTTAACAGAGGCATAATGCCCAAAAATTAGCTTTCAGAAATAATGAATGCCCCTTACAGTTTTAAATGAGTTGCGTCATGACAAACCCAACATAATGGGTTTGCGACCAGCATGGATCCAGATCAGCCTGTGCATCCAGTCTGATCAGGATCCATGCTGTTCGTTATCAGTTTCTCGTCTTGTTATATGGTTCGTAAGCGAACAGCATGAATCTTGATCAGACTGCGCGGATGCGCAGGCTGGTCTGGATCCATGCTGGTCGCAAACCCATTATGTTGGTTTTGTCGTGACACGGCTCAAATTCATTCTACCAAAAGGCTTGTGTTCAGATAACTTACCCAGCTGACTTTACATCTCCCATTCTACAATATGCAGATACAACTCTTGATAAGGTAAACTGTAAAAAAAATACATGTATATGTAATGTATTATGTAAACTGGCTTAAATTTATCATCAATATGCCATGTTTTTTTTGTTTTGTTTTTTTAATTGGTTTCTTTTTCCTATTTATTTAGAGTATTTATAAAACTTTTGTAGAAGACTAGAAGGTGATGCTACATGTCAATCATTATACAGTAGAAATTCAGTAAGTCTAAGTTAAAGGGACTTGCGTAATATCTTTGAAAAAAATCAAAAATTCGACACATAACATTTCGACTCATATAATATAGGTCTTTGTAATGAATATATAGGTGGGAAAATTGGGACCTTCATTTTACTTTTACAAATCGAGAAAATCAACTAAGTTCAACCGTAGTTTCTGAAGAGATTTTTTTGAAGAACAGTATCCTATACAAGTAAATGTGAACATGTAAACAAAATGTATCACCAGGGCCATGCCTTGTTTGACTCTATGCTTTCAGAGAAGCTATGCTATCCAAGGGGATGATTAGTATAAATTTTGAAGAGGTTTACTAGGAAAGACTACAATGTTACATATCTATACTTTGGGCAGTGTCACTTAATTAAGTTAAGTTAATTTTTAGTTATTTTTAGCTCCTGTGATCTATTTCTAGTTAATAGTTAAGGAGGAGATGTTAAAGGATTTTCTATCTTTCTAGCTCTGGCAGCCATTTTGTTTGGCAGACTGGAACCATTTGACAATTTTTAAACTATTTAAGTCGCATTCCTGTAGAATTTCATTGAAATTTACCAAACAATTAAGGAGTAGATCTTGTTTAAAGGCTTTTCTATTTTGAGCTCTGGCATCCATAGTCATCCAGTTCAGCAAATTTGAACAATTTTAGCAATTTTTGATAAGGACTGTCCTATGATGATTTCTGTAGGGTTTCATCAAAATCTATTGGGCGTTTGAGGACAAGATGTCATTTCATTTTTATTTTCTAATTTCAGCTCTTGCAGCCATGTTGTTCAGCAGACCCGAACAATTTTACAAACTTTAGTAAAGGATTGCCCAATGCTTATTTCTGTATAGTTTCTTCAAAAACTATTTGGCAGTTAAGGACAAGATGTCATTTAACACTTACTTTAGTTTTTAGCACTCATGGTCGTCTTATTCAACAGACTGGAACCATTTGAGCAATTTTTAATAAAAAAATTTTCCAAGGATCATTCCTTAAGAGTTTAATCAAAATTTACTAAATAATCAAGTAGATCTAGTTGTAAGTTTTTTTATTGTTTTTTTTTTTTTTTTCTGGCCAGATTCATCAATATCTATTGGGCAGTGGAGGACAAGATATTTTCTTGCGTATCAGACAGGGTTATCTACCGTTTACACCGGTGCTAGAAAATCTTAAATCTTAAACCCCCCATGTAAGACAAGTCGCATACTTTAAATGACGTCATTGCCATGTGACTTTTATGAATGAATTGCATTATTAGGATGATGTCATTTTACAGTTGTGAATGAAGTTGTAAGTTCATACCCTGCTATCAGAAAAAAATGTACGTAATGAGAATATCAGTTTTTGTAATTTCTGTTTTAAACGTAATTGATATGTAATATGCAAGAAAAAGAATCAAACACTGACTGTCGGTATAAACGGGAATATCTAGCTCTCGGGTAACTGTTTAGCGGAAACTCTGCAGAGCCTCATTACCGCTGTAAACAGTTACTCTCGAGCTAGATATTCCTGTCTGTACCAGCAGCCGGTGTATGATTCTTATAATCTAAAACCTTTTTCTTTTCTTTTTAGCACCGGTAGCCATCTTGTTCAACAGACAGGGACAATTTTAGTAATTTTATAAAGGTCCATCTAAGAATCATTCCTTTATAGTTTCATCAAAATCTACCTAATAGTAATGGAAGAAAGGTTTTTTTATTTTCAGTTCTGGTGGCCATATTGTTAAACCATAGCCATGTGAGCAATTTTTGGAGGGGACCATACAAGGACTTGTGCTGTAAGTGTCATCACTATTGGTGCAGGGGTTAAGAAGAATATAACTGTTTAAGTTGATGGGCACAGGGGTATCACAATAGCTCACCTTGAGCATACAAGTGAGATAAAAAAATTGTACTCATTTATAAATAGAAAACTTACAACATTTGGAGTGACTCCATGTTTTTCCATTTCGGACAAAAATTTCACCGGTGAAAATCTATGATTGCCAATAAGATAATTCCTCAATGCCTCATTGTAATGAGATACATCTAATGGTATATCTGTAAATAAAATTCACAATAAAAATTAACACACCATTAGCACCAATAATAAGATACATGTATAGTCCGACACAAAAACATTGCTAAAATCATGAAAGTCTCTTGCTAACAAGACAATTTTTTCAGCCTAAAAATTCTTTTATATACATGTATTAAATAATGCATAGAAGAAGTATGTCCTTTATATTCTTATGAAGAATTACATTTATGTAATAAGGTTCTATACCGTGAAAGACTTCCTTAATGTATGAAAGTTTCTAATTACGTTTACATAAAACAAGTTCTATCCTCATATAATAATATTGTATCTTTATGCATAAAACTGTATCAGTCATATTATGGCATTTCACCTTAAAAGACCTATTTTGCCTCAGAAATGCTTTTTATTTTCATTTCTCAAAAGCTTTTTATTTTTTGTTATCCTCTTAAAGTTTCCAAAAAAATTATCATCAGCCATTCAGGCCAAAAAAAAAATTGTTTTTTTCCCTTCTTGACAGACCTGATGACAAAATCACCTACTTCCTTCGGAAGTAATGAAAGCATGTGAAAAGTTAATAAGCAATTAAATGGAATTTTCACTTCTATTGTGAGCAACAATAGTATTTTTTAAGAAATTAATAATAAAAATTTACCTACCTACCTACCTACACAACCTAAACAATTTTATTTTTAGCCTTACAGAACACAATCTTTCAAAACTGTTGCTTTTTGGCAATTAAAAAAAAAGTATTTCCTATGGCAGTCAAAATTCTTCTTTGTTTATATTTCACTACATTTTAGACAAATAATTTCACCTTAAGCACCTAATATTTTCTATTGAAAATTGAAAAAATTTGGCTTAGACTTTATCGAAAATAAATTTCTAATTACCTCCCTTTATTTACATGAAATCAGTTTTTTCTTTACAAATGTTTTTTGGAACTAACATTATTGCAAATAAAAGTACATATTATGTTTTCTTCTTATCGGAGGCATAATGTACCTTTAATGCAATCAAAACTATATATTCTGATTTCTTCTTATCTGAGGCATAATGTGCCTTTAATGCAATCAAAAATACATATGTTTTACTCTTATCTGAGGCATAATGTGCCTTTAATGCAATCAAAAGTACATATTATGTTTTCTTCTTATCTGAGGCATAATGTGCCTTTAATGCAATCAAAAGTACATATTATGTTTTCTTCTTATCTGAAGCATAATGTGCCTTTAATGCAATCAAAAGTACATACAGTGTAACTTCCGAATTCCGGAACTTCTGAAATCCGGAAACTTCCAAAAACCGAACAATTTTTTCGGTCCCGATTTTTTCCCTTCTATTTTCTATTAATATAATACTTCTGAATTCCGGAACTTCTAAATTCTGAATTCCGGACGATATTTTCGTAAAATTAGAGTCAAATCAATGCAATTTTACCTCCGAAAACCGGAAATATGCAAAGGTGTGAAATACATTGTAAATCGAGAATGTTTACCCTGCAGGAAGATTTAATCTCCCTATCGATTGTTTACTAATTAGCGGTGATCGTGTAATTTGACATGCACGCGTTAAAATCACAAACTGTGAAATGGTATGTTTGAAGTGATGCGGTTAATCAAAGTAATTTACCGCGGTCAGTTAATTTGAAGTGTTTATTAGCGGATTAAATCACAATTAGTTGGGACAATGTATGCATCAAAAGTCTTTAGGGATTTTATTGCATTTGATGTAATAACTAATTAACTAGCATCGGATGATATGTAAGTTTATGCAATTAACAACATTTCTACAAACTGATAGAAATTCAAAAGCATTTGCAGGTGTAAGATAAAAATGTATTCTTTTCATTCACATCTTTATCTTGATTAAAAGACTATTATATATGATATTACAGTAATGGCCACATCTTCCTTGACATTTAGTGATATTAAGTGGCTTAGTCTTGTCCACATTATCATAAACCTCTGAATTCTGGAAACCTCTGAAATCCGAACTTTTTGACAAGTCCCATGGGTGTTCTGTTTTCGGAAGTTACACTGTATTATGTTTTCTTCTTATCTGAGGCATAATGTGCCTTTAATGCAATCAAAAGTACATATTATGTTTTCTTCTTATCTAGGCATAATGTGCCTTTAATGCAATCAAAAGTACATAATTATTATGTTTTCCTCTTATCTTGTGAATATTCTTAATTTCCTTATAATGAGAGACAGTGAGGGCATTCCATACGAAATGCCTGAAACAAGCAATTTAACTGAATTCCTTACTTAATGTGTGAAACCGTTCAATGAGGTATTCTGTCCACTTATTTCTCATTGCTTCTGTTATATCTTTATTTTCCCTTCCTAGAGAACTAAATAATAGCAACAACTCATCCTCTGTAAATGTATCTGAAATTAAAATATTTTCTTTACATCATAAAACATGCTTAAAACATTTAAGAGAGACCTTTATCATATACTTATAAACAAGAGTCCCATGGGTGGCCTGAAAGGTCACCTGAGTATTCTACAGCAGATTATATATGATAATGTTTTCTTTTTTTTGCATAAATAACTAAAATACATTGATTAAATACATCAAACCTCACATAAATATCTTAATATCTTTATAAATATCTTAATATTATGTATAATATTATATTGTGCAACTTCGATATCCTCTTCCTGAGGCCTAAACCCTAAGTAAAAACAAAGGAGTGATGCATTCCACAGTGTTAAGGACAGATTTGCACGGGCTATACAAGTTCGAGTGAACAAAGTTTGACTGTAGTTCTTAAAGTCGAGCTAAAAATGACAGATGCTCCATAAGATGACAAAACAAGAGCTGTCAGTAGCTAGCTTTCAGTTAGTAGGGCCATCCTTAAAAAAATGTTTGTTTGCAGTAACCCGACCCAAAATTTTCAAGGTGGGTAGGTAGGTCGATTTTTTTTTTTTTATTGAACTGTAATAAACATGGAATTTCAAAATGCTGGATAATATATGCTTTGATAATCTGGTAACAATTAATGAATTGATAACTGAATTCTAATTTAATAAAACCTACATTTTATTTCTTCTATTAACCTTTAACAGAATGAAAACAAAGCACAAGGCATAATTTTCTGATTCAAAAAATTTTTTTTTTTATCCAGACCATGAAAAAAAAATTTGAGTAGGGGCAAATTTTGTGAGTCGGTCGCGTTACTGCAAACAAACATTTTTTTAAGGATGGCCTAGGACAGCATGCTCTGCTATTCTCAGGACTTGATAGTACAAGGGCCTGGATAATGCAAAAATAAGCAAAGTTCAAAAGTTTAAACAGTGCTTTTTCCACTTTTAGGAGAATAGTGGCTGGGTCAATGGTGAGGTGAAAATTGTGCTGCAGGTTTGAGAACGGAAAAATTCAGAAACAGATTAAATAGCCCATTTTATGCCAAATTTTGATACATTGCCTTTATTAAAACTACAATACCTTTCTCTGTCTCACTAGAAAAAAACTTACTTTTTTTCTTTTGCAAAGCAATTTTCTTTTTATAAATCAGCCCTAATTTTGCCAATAAAAAATGCACTGCAAAAAGGGTAATAATTCTGTCCAATCTTGCACGAGTTACGGACCTTGTATTGTGATCTCCTATTTAGCATTATGCTTTCAAATAAGTCTGTGAAGTGTCGACACATTCCCTATAGTAGTTTTGTATATATCAATTAACAGGCACCTAAGCCTAGGTGAGTACAATAGCTCACCCTATTCTTTGAATAGTCAAACACATTTGAGTATTTTGTGTTGAGGTGAGCTGAAACTGAAATTAAACAAACCTTGCTGCTCAGCGATTGCCATTAATTCATGGAATCTTTCGATTGTCACAAATTTTTTAGTAAAGATGTCATGATATATCTTCCTGCAAGAACTTGTAAAATTCAGATCTCTTTCTTTGACGCTGAAATCATAATTCTTCCAGAAATTGCTTGCTGGGTAATTTTCAGAGTACTTCAAAACTCTCCTTCTGCTGGCATTTTCATTTTGTGAGTCTAGGTTTGTTTCCTCTTTGGTATTCACTTCATCATAATTGACAGCATTATTTTCTCCACTTAATACGGTATATAACCTCTTGGTCACTCCAAGCCTGAAATTTAAAACAAAATTTAATCAACCAAGATTGAAAATTCAAAACTGAGTCTGGTAAGAAGTGTGCACAAACAACTCATATATATCTAAACAACATGCCTCAGTCAAGATTCAATTTTTATCAATAGTTATATTTCTGAGGAAAACAAGACAAACTTGTCATTTGTCACATATTTCAGGGCCTTTTTACCCTTCTTTGCTGTAGCCTGTATTCGGCTACTTCCCCAAGCCAATATACTGCCCTTTTTCCAAAAAAACAGTCTAAAATTCCACTTCTTGCAAAGAGTTTCCCTTTAAGAGAAATGTTAAATCAAAGAAAAACAAACTTGTAAACAAACTTTCTTGTTTAAAAATAGATCATTGTTTTTGTCCAATGAAAGCTAATTATTCAATTACCCACTAGAGGGATACCTTGATTCAATAAAATTGATGTTAACTCACAGCAATGGTCTGAGTGAGCAACATGGGAAACCCTGCTGCCTTATTTTTCACTGCACATGTGATTTTTTACGACAATACGGCGACGATTTACGATGTTGCAAATGTAAACAATGTCACAGAACAAGAAGAAAATACGACTGAGTGACATTTGTAAGTGCAAGAGAATCCAATACAGGTATCAACTCGCAAGTTTGTGTGTCCAAGTAGCACAACATGCCCAAGTGTGGGAAATAGCGAGTCTAGCACAACAGTGCCAGTAACAGTGATACAGTGGGAACTGATAATAATGTTCCCCTCTGAATCAAATCAAGAAACCTCACATGTCCTACGTAAATTTTCTATTATTAGGAAATATGAGTCAATGTATTCTTGGGCAAATATAAAGTGGCAATAAATTGATCTGTAAAAAAATCCCTTGACAGAAAGCTCCTAAAATAAGTGTGTTTGGGGGACAATATGCAAATATATTATGATATTTCCCCCAAATGTGTGATTTTAAATAAGTCTTTATCTATAGAAATAATTGTTAACCTGCCAGTGGAAAATATGATTTTTTTTCCCAAAAGTAAGAAAACCGGGCATTTTTCCCCACAAAAAGGGCTAGGGCGCCTTCCCCAAAACTAGTGAAAAGGCCCTGTATTTTCACGATACCAATTTTTTATATATAAATCAAAAGGCAGATTTAATCTGTTTTAAGCTCTGTAGCCAATAAAGCTCTGAAGCCAACAGAAATATTTATAATTTTCATATAACTAATAAATGAATCAAAAGCACTTCTGACAATGTTTATATAATAATGACATTTTTTAGTGTTTGAATGGTCTAATTCACTCTCATATTTTATATTTCCCTACCGACCGATTATGGGTAGCTAAAGAGACTTCAGCGAACAGGTTTTATAGTACTGCTAGACCTTTTCGCTGAAGCCAATCCCGTATCGAAAGTCAACCAGAACTATGACATATTTATATCATGCTGTAATTCAATAAATTTGCGTGATCTGGACGAAAGCTATTTTACCACAGGTAGTAAGATATATTTGGGACACTTCAGTTTATATTTTAGAACACAGAACATTAGATTGATGAAATAATGCCTCAAAGTTTATCAGAGGGTTCATATTTCATAAAATTGGCTACCATTGCTGCCCTAATTATCACGTGACTAGCGAGAATTTAGGATTTGGATATCTTTGCATGACATTTGGTGACACGTGACCAAAATGATATTTTTAATTGAAAACATGGCTTTTGCAATTATGAATAACAGTGTATTTATTCATTAACAGACATTGCACCACAGGGCATTTTTTGTCAAAATTGTGCAGGGGCCTGGACCTGTTCATTTTGTGAAAAAAAAGCGCAATTTGTTAAAATTGTGAAAAAAAATTTACATAGTATTTGGTATTTAGTGACATTGTGAAACCAGAAAATCTGCTTCAAGTCGATACTTTAACCCGCTTAACATGTGCTAAAACCATTTAACTTGATTAAAACTATAACCATGTTCTTGAGATTGGCATAAATCATGTTTTACTGGAAGGTAATCAATGTATTTCGAAGACAAAGTCCCAATATTTTGTGAAATTTCTTTTGAAATTGTGATTTTTTTTCCGCCACTTTGTGAAAAAAAAGTGCAATTTTGAATTGTGAAGTGGCCTTATATCAGCCCCTGTTGTAGAAGGAAAAAAGCCCTGCACCAAAACAATAAAAATTAACATGTTGGATTTATATTGTTTAGAGTGATGATTCGTGAATTATTTGTTTGTTTTTATTTAAAATCGTACACTTACTAAAAATAGTGTATGGTCCGTTACTAAAAATAGATGCTAAAATTCCAAAAACTTGAAGTCCCGCAAGATTTCATTAGAAAGCAGACTCCATATTGGTAAACATTCTCTAAATATTTCCCTAATAAATAGTTGGGTACACAATGTCATATAAGTTTCATTTAAAAACAAAACATGAATTGATTCAAAATTGATTTGTTTATTTAAAGCTCATTTTTATTTGACCCAAATTTGATTAATAAGGGTAATTTTAATGGGTTGTATATAGGCACACAAACTGAAAAAATTCTGGTAGACTCTGCAAATAGGGTTGACCCGCACAACGTCAAAATAAAAGCTACATATAAAGTTATGGAAGCCAGAACTAGGAAATGGGTATTTGCTTATAAAAAAAAGTTAAACATCCAAAACTTTAATGCTGCATTAGATGAAAAACAAAAAATGTTTTCAAGCCACTTGTTATGTAAGATTTTAGAAGCCAGAACTAGAATGTGCGTTACATCTGTGATCACGAATGGGAAAAATTGAAATTATATAAAGAAAACACTCATTTTGTTTTCTAAATGAAGTCTACTATCAGACATAATTAGCGAAATCTTAGCTGACAGTTTGCTTCACGGGTCGCGAAAATACATGCCACCAAAGTGACCTTGGGTAGAAAGAAGTATTTCTAGATTTGTCGACAATATACCTTCGTGAATATGGAGCTTGCAACTTGCCAAACAAATTTTCCTGTCGATTAAGGTAGCTCGTTGCTGTGTTTCTACAGTAACTTTGAAATGAACGGCTAAAATGCTTGGAGTACCGGGCACAACGTGCGAGAGCCGACATTTTGAGGTAAAGACTAACTCATTTGTTACATCGCTATCGTCACCTATTCCTATAATGCACCACTAACGTGTACTTGATCTATATTGCCTACACTCTTAATTTCATCTTTTAATGAGGGAGAGGAGCATTCCTTTCATTTTTGCAGTTGTCATTAATAATATATGATGTAACATCATAATAATAAATATATATTATATAAATGATTATAAATATTAAAGTTGAGACTTAATTATACTATAACTTCAAAACGTTATATACTGGGAAAGTATTGACCAGCTAAATTGGGGATTCTGATTTTTTTAGTGACTATTGAAATTTTCCTGCATTTTATATTAATTCAATTTCCCTGATGACATATCATGGTTGGCTTAATATACATGTGTATGTAGGCCTATATATGTGTAGAATTAACGTACGAGTTATATTTTCTGCAAGACGAGGAAAGTGTCCAGTCCAGGACCTTGCTCGCAATATGGACTCTGCTGGTCAGACTGATGTCATTTTATTAGATTTCTCCAAAGCTTTCGACAAGGTCCCACACCACCGATTACTTACAAAACTTCAATTCTATGGTATACGAAACAACCTACTGAACAGCTTCCTAGGGGATCGGAGCCAGAGAGTGTTACTAGACGGCAGCAAATCAGGTGAAGCACCTGTCCAGTCAGGTGTCCCACAAGGCAGTGTTCTAGGACCTCTCTTATTTCTCATCTTCATTAATGATCTACCCAACTATGTATCACCTGAATCCACCACTAGAATGTTTGCTGACGACTGTGCCCTTTACCGCTCTATCCACTCAGACCAAGATGCTATAGCCCTACAGAAAGACCTAGATGGACTACAAAGATGGGAAAGGGATTGGTTGATGGAATTCCACACTCAAAAATGCCAGATACTCCATATAACAAACAAGAGAAAACCAATCATACAACCAACATCCATGGACACATCTTAGAAGAAGTAGATACAGCAAAATATTTAGGCCTCAACTTCCAAAAGTCACTAAACTGGAACCACCACATTGATCTAACTACAAAGAAAGCCAACAATGCCACATCCTTTCTACAGAGAAAAATCCGTCAATGCCCAAGAAGGACCAAAGAGCTCTGCTATATGACCCTCGTGAGACCTCTGGTGGAGAACTCCTCTATCATCTGGGACCCTTTCACTGAGGCAAATATCTGGAAACTGGAGATGGTGCAGCGCCGAGCAGCAAGAATGGTCTTCTCAGACTACAGAAGAACCAGCAGTGTGACATCGATGCTGCAACACTTACAGTGGCCTACCCTCCGAGAACGCAGAGCCCATGCCAAGCGTGACCTGATGTACCGCATAGTAAATGGGCCTAGTAGAAGTCCCTACATCCAAACCCTCACCCCAGTCATCTCTGTTCGAGGACATGGACTTCACTACCCTGGTACCATTTTGCAAGGACCCAGTGCTACCAGGGATCCTTCTCCCAGACACCATCCGCCTCTGGAACAGTCTTCCCCAGACAGTTGTAAAGCTGTACAACCATAGACAGCTTCAAGAGCTAGGGAAGTACTAACCACTCACTCTCCGATAGACAGTCCGGTGTTTTTACCTTTTTACCAGCACTATACATAGTACTTTTTTAAATCACTCTTGTACATACATAGACACTTCTCACACCGCGCTGCGCTAGTACAAGTATACGCCGGAAGGTGTCTGTACTATATTGGAAGAAGAAGAAGAAGAAGAAGAAGTGATGCAAGTGAAATTTATATCGATTTTGACATTCAATTAAATTTGACTTAAGCTGGGTCTTTCTAGTCGAATAAAAGACGTGATTTTGATTATATTAAAAAATGATTTACGTTACAGAAGCAGTACATTGATCTGGAAAAAAAACTGAAAAATGATTGACATTCATTTTCTATTTTCACTGTAACTGCCACAATTTGGCATTTTTTCATTTTATTTCTCCTCACTTTTTTATAATGTTACTTTCCATTAGCCAATGTGAGTCATTCAAACTGTTAATGAAAGTACGTGCGCGTACCACATAGAACGCCTCGGGTAACAATATTTGCCGGCCATTCTCAGTTAAAATCTACACCCCTTTCAAAATTTAATAAAAAAAACAGATTCGAAAAAACGCAAACTGTTAGTCTTTTAACAAACCTAATACATCTGTGAAGTTCTACTGGAATTATTTTCAACATCATATAAGCAGGTTTTTTTTTAATCGGCGGTTTGAAAAGTGTACCCGTATTACCTTTTTTAAAATGCCAGAAATGTTGTGACAACGTACCTTTTGCTTAAAAAAGGCTGCTTATAATAACATTGATAATATCTTATTGGAATTTACTTTTAAATATCACACGATACACAGATTTCTAATTTAACAATTGATATCATGAATTACTTGCTTAATAAAGGCTATATACTTTTTTAAAAACTCGTATGCAAAAAGTGCAAATCAAGATATATACTGATTAACTGTGACTACGATTTGTCTCAATATTATGAGAGCTACGACCCAGTGTAATTAATACAAGTTCTTGTCATAAATAAAAACCGTAGAATCACAGCTAGCAATTGTATGCGCTGTATATGCTTTATATTATGAGGTAAAATGATCACCTTGCTAAAATTTAATACTATTTAAAACTAACGAACCTTTATTACATCATAAACGCAAACAAAAAAGAAGTCAACTTAATACCCAAAAAACATACATATAAACATCCGACAATAATATTTAGTATCATCTTGACTTGATAGTATACTGGTTTAAATTTGGAGTAAAATAAAGCATCGAATAGTTTTTAATGTAAAATAATAGTAAGTTAAGACATAGCAATACAGCATAAGAGGCTAAAACAAGTGAAACATTAACACCTTAATTAAAAGATAAACATGTAACAAGAAGTAGTACAGTTTACCAGATCAAATACATTGCTGGTGCTAAGATTTTAATCATATACTCACTTTCTTTTTCAATTCAAATATACAATAACGAATCTTTCATTGTCGAATCAGCAGATTATCTTTCTTTCTTTCTTTCTAAATAGCGTTTGACATTAAAAGAAAACAAATAAAAACGACAGAAATATTAGTTTTATTCTGAAAAAAATATTTCATAAAAATTATGTGCTGAGCACGTATACATGTAAACAGCCATCGACAGTCTTGACGTCACAAAAACGCCGAATGACAGCCTTAACCCTGTCGCAGAGCTGCGACGGCACAGGCTACGACAAACGTTGATAAAACGGTCGTTGCCGGTCTGCGACAAAAACTTATCTACGACATGTCGTAGAGCGTTGATGAAACGGCCTCCTTACAGAGCGTTTATTCCAGTATGTTAGTGTCAAAGATTGAGTATCGCATAACTCGGTGCTAGGGGGTGTGATGCCGCACTTTTCCATTATCCCTCATGAACAGACATAATTAAATCAATTAAACAACGTCCATGTACCTTTGTTGTTTTCATTAATTTGTTTGATGTTGAAGACAAAGTCCCATCAGTTTCGGTCTGAGTGTTACATGGGTTCGACCATGATTGTGCCAGCAGGGGTTCTATCTAAAACTTGATGGACCTGTTCACAAATCTGTGTTACCTTTATGAACAGGTAACGTAATTCTTATTTAATTCTTAAAGTGCAGCCATTGACAACAATGCATGACCGAATCTGGTTCTGCCTATTATTCTTTTTTTTCTCTCCTTATCAACATTCATACATCATTGTCGTTAATAAATGCATGTATATTGTAATTAAGTTGTTAAATTTATGCAAACTAAAATAACTGTTCATTCAAACATAAAGTTTTTCCGAATAATAATTTTCAAAATATTTTTGTTTTTGTTATTTCTACACACCAGTTGCATTAAAGCATTAAAAATAACAACAGAATTCCATTACAACAATATTTTTCTCGTATATATTGATCAAACATGTATATATCATTTATGCAAACTTGTGTATTATATATGAAATGGAGAAAAAGCAAGATATAGCCTACATGTTTTGTCAAAAATATTAACCTGGCACTTCATTAACTTTCGTAAAGGTCATTTGAATAAACACTGACCAGTATCTATCGAATATACCTGTAGAATTTGCTAATTCACTCGTCAATGATGTGTGGTGTATTGGTATAAATGTCAAACTACCGATCTGAAGGTCTCTGGCTCGATTCCTATTGAACACCACGTTATGATTTTTGTTGTTTTACTTTCAAGAATTACTTAGAAATCGTTTTACTAAGAACACCTGGTTTTAGAATATCTTTTAAGTGGTGTTTTTATACACAATAATATATATAAGTTATTAAATACAAATATAACAACATATTTGTTTACTTGATTTTTACGAATCAAAATAAAACTAATTAACACAACATGACATTAACTGCTAATAATAACAGCTCCTCCCATCGGCCAAAATAAAAAGCATTCCATAATAAGAGACGACGCCGCTCACCGGCGTCGCCAATAATTTCAGCATAAAACATTTGTTTATAAAAGAGCAAATAAAAGATCAAAGTAGGAATCTATCATTACGCGCCTCTTCTATTGTTTATGAGAGGTCTATATTTTTCGGATAGACCTGTTTAAACAATAGAAAACCCTCTATGGGGTCTTCCCTTTGCACGAACCTAGGCCTGGTATTGTCAAATACTAGTAGACCAAAAAGGCAGGAATGTGTAAAACGCACGATTCATGCAAAAAAGTAATGCAAAATTGCGCATTAAATGTCAAATACCTGGCATGATTTCCAACGCGGCAATTAACTGGCCAACCAAACTGAAAAAAGGGAATAATCGCATACGGCTGCGAAGACATTATACTTTATCCCACATCAAAATTAATTCCACTGTATTGCTTAATTTTCAAGATCATTCGTGTAAACGATGGCTTCGCCACCGTTTTGAGTGCAATTTTGGCTATTTGTCGACTCTTTAAAGTACAACAATGCATATAATAATTTATACTTTCGATTTTGTTGGTAAATGACATTTACTAAACTTCTGGTGACATAGGAAATTGAAAATAAGCTGATTAAAAGTGATCCAAGCCGCTTTTATGAGGTAACATAGTGTTTCGCGGTTACGCCGGAAAAAGTGATTTTTTCATAACATATAATAGCTCATTCAGCGCTACTTTTCTCATGCTTTAAGCATGTAACATGCACTTAAACAATTGCATAGAGGTTTTAAATTTAATGTTTGCCCTTTCTTAATAAGGGAAAAGTCATTCGTTTCTGAGAAACAAAGTTCCTTTAATAACAATTATTCCCGCCAACGTCCCTATGTAAAGATAATGGACAATCTATCAAAATAAAGACACATTTTAGATTTATTTAATCGCGCCATTTTTTCAAAGCAGTAATCAAAGCGGTTCTTCCGGCGTAAGTTTACATTTGACAAAAGGGTACTTGTATAAAACTATAACAGATATCATATCATACTTATAACGACATTTAAATCACATAATCCATAAAAAGTAAAAGTTCTAGCAAAATACAGTATGTTAAAATTTTGCCAAAAATTCATATCGAAAAGATATAACAAAATTTAATTCCTTTTCTAAACTGAACCAAAATTCAACCAGCGAAGGGTCACAAGTGATTCAAAAGATTGGGCTTGGATAGGGCTTGATTATAATGTATATTACGTACATTTCATATTTATAAAGTCCAAAAATTGCCTATAGTGACATTTCATATACTTAATTGATATTGACAAATTTCAGATTTAACATCTTTAATATAACTTTTAAAGCAATATGGCTCCAGAGTCCTGCTCATTTTCATGAAAATTTTGAAAATGTATTTAAGTAAAATAAAAGATATCAATTCTGAGTGCATTGTTGTAGAATAATGCACGGTTTGAGTTCAAATGCGTAGTAATATAATCACGAAGGCCGATAGGCCTGAGTGATTAATTACAACGCATTTGAACGAAAAACGTGCATTATTATACAATAATGCACGAAGAATTAATATCTATTTCCATTCTAACACTTCAAGAAAAAATATAATTATTATTTGACTTTATGTTTGGTGGTTAAATTTGTTTTTGCCTCAGAGTTTCCAATAGAAACGTTCTTTAAAAGCTGTTCCAGTGGGTTGAAAAAATCTGTCGTTAAATCTACCGTGTGTAGAAACATTTTGAGAATAACGAATTTTGAAAACGTTGATATAACTTTGTTTGTTCATTTTATTTCACTCTATTATTTTTCAAGCGAAATACAAAATTATCAAAAGTGAAATAAATGTAAAACTTAAACTCGTTTGCGACATTAAAATAGCGTACTTGATTTGATTGTTTTGCACGTGCTGTTTGGCGCTACATTGTGACGTCACGTAAACAACACTTTAAACGTCTGTACAGCGTTAACGACTGAATTAAAGATATTGGTGTTCGGATTCATTTTCTTAGTTAAAACCATTTTCTTTCATTTTAGATAGTTTTCAGAACAAAATTCAACAATTTATGTTTTATTTATCAGATTTTTTAAACAAAATGGCGCCCTCAATGTGAAAAATACACAGGGAGATAATAAGAAACGGCGAAGTTGTAGAATAATGAACGCTTCGGGCCCTTCTTTGTTTATATAGAAACCCGATAGTGTGATTAAAGGTAGTTTGCCTGGGATGAATAATAGATTGGTGCCGTGGAAGTTTATCTGGCGAGGCGGAGGAATTTATTGGGTGAGCCGAAGGCGAAGGCTCACCCAATAAATTCCTCCGCCTTGCCAGATAAACTTTTCGGCTCACCCAATAAATTCCTCCGCCTCGCCAGATAAACTTTCTCCATCAACGGCACCAACCTATTATTCTCTATATAGAAACATTTCCGATAGTGTTAGAATGTGCAGTTAACAAAGAAAATACGTAATTTACGCACTGCAAACGGCACGTACCATTTAGTAAAAATATGGTGATACATTTGTAAATAGCGTAAAATCAGTCACTTATCGCATACAACTTGAATATTGAATCTGAACATAAGTCAAATAGCGTCACTTTCCTTGTTTTCTCTGAATATACTCTGTATAAGTATGTATAATAAACGCCGCTGAAGAAGATCAAAAGGCCGATAACAAATTCGTCTCTCACCTCCAGCCAATCTTACCGACGCTGCTCAAGATTGACAATAGATTGTATGAGCTTGTATTTCACTTTCATAAACCTCTGACGACCTTCGTCATAGTGATTTCATTTTCTTTCACATCTTGAATTTTATTAGGTATACCAGTAATTTCATAATAGTTATATAGATTTTAAAAAACAACATTGTTACAGCAGGTCTCGACACTAACTTTTTCAGCAGGTGGTATGCCGGACCACTGGATCCAAAATTCAGGTGGTCCTTTCTGAACACAGGTGGTCCATCTTTTTTTTATTCATTTGTTTTTAAGGAAACTTCAGATTTAGAAGAACTACACTTAAAATTGGTGACAGAGACATATTTATTATTTGATTTATAACAACTGAAGAAAACATGTATTTTTCCTATTTCAATCTAATCAGATAGTAAGTCATTGTAATCCTATTTAGTATTTATTATCTCATTGAAAAATACATGACATAACTCATACTTCGGTTAAGTGACTTCTTCCGCAACTCAAGTTAGGGAATAGTGAAACAATTTGTGAATGACTTATTTCCTTACTGTTATATAAACACTCATTGCTGTTTCCTGGTACATCTTATAAGAATAATAATTGCTTTTTATAGATTAACATTTTTAATTAAACTATTAAGTTATTATATTCTTGCCTTTGAAAAAAATAAAATATTAATGATAAACAGAAAAATTCCTACATTATAATTGAGCTTATCTTCCTCACAGATTTATCATACATCCTTGTTTGTTGAAATGAATTTATTTTTGACAAAGTATTTATAACCTTTTAAAGTACTTAAAATAAGAAAAATATGGATCTCTGATCGTTAAAAAAAAGGAGCCAAAGATAACTAGATATTAATTTTTCCTTTGCCTTTGTTTCCACCATTATTCATGTGTTTATCCGATATCACATACTAGTGATACAATGTTATAAATTCAATGCAGTACTAGAGACATTTGCATGAATTTTATACTTTAATAATTAAAATGATTTTCTCCTTTTTTAACTTCACTGTTAGCGAGTTAATAAAAGGTTATCTTTTTGAACTAATGAGATGAATGAACATATACCTGTACATCGGAGAAATGGTTTTAATCAACAATTATAGAACACGTTTTTCTACCAAATAACCATTCTCTTGGATGAGCCCTGCACCATTTGGAAAATTCAAGTGGTCTAACGGACCAGTTGCCAGTAAAATTAGGTGGTCCTTGCCAAAATCAGGTGGTCTCGGACCAATGGACCACCGCTAATGTCGAGGCCTGTACAGTTTTCATATCTACCGGGAAAAAAAAGGTTGAAATTGTTTTGTTGTTCTTCACTAAACAGACATGAGCTATGAATAAAAAGATAAATGTAATAATAATCAAAACACATGTGATGTAATTGTTAACTTCAATACATAAGAGTGTACATATCAACATTTTTTCTTGCATATTATTTCATGCATCATTTATATTCTTAAGTTCATACGTATTCCTATTGTTTTGACTTCATAAAGCACATGCAGCTATTCAGAATATATCCGATTTTTGCAACAGCATTCGGACTTATCCATGGCTTTCTTTAAATTATTTGGACATGTTATATTGTACACAAACACTCCTATGTCATATACTATCATGAATCCGCTTATAAATACAATACAGCTCCGTACAAAATTCCAAAAGGATGAAGCATTCAAGATGTCATCTCCTTGTTCCTTGCCATATGATATGGAGAATATGAACACTATTATTTCAACTGCCATAATAAAAAGTTCCATTACGTGAAACATACCTAGTCTGATCCATACATGACAACACCCATAGTTAAACCAGCAGCAACAAAATACCCCCACAATAATTCCAAAGCCATATGTAAAAACACAAGCTTCCATTAGTTTCTCATTAGTATTTGTCATATTGTTTACTTCGGCGTCAGGTCCGTCATCTGTTCCAACTATCACGCTTATTTCTACAATTGATAAAATGATAGACATCCAGTATCTAAATTTCCATGCATAAATGGGAGTAAGTTTTACATCACATTTCCATTCAATGAATTTGAGCAATGTCTTTTGTAATACTAATGTTACAATATCAAAAACATCAGAAGAATCGAGTGTGTCTGCCATATTAGTTTTCACCTTTTCAAGCTGTGATATATTTGCTGACTTTACAAACACTAACTTGCTTAGTGATTGAATTATATTTTAGAATCTTTACTCAAGCATGATTTAAAGGAATATTATTTCGTTACAAGTTAAATAATAAATGCATGATCCAAACTTTTAAAGAACAATAAATTAAACGTCATGTCATGTGATTTTAAGGACTTTAAACTTTAAGGTAATTGTAATTTAAAACACTCAAAGACATAATTTTTTACGCATCAAGTTACTTTTTGTTTTGTTTTTGTTTCGTTCTGCCAAATTTAACATGGAAAATAAAAAGAGCAGCAAATGAATGACCATAAACGCCCGAATGCAAATTTGTTTGTGTAATTGAAAATAAAGTTCAACCTATTCATCGTTTATTTCCCCCTTAGATTTGATTAATGTAAACAACATGGACAGTACTTAATGATTATTACAGTTAATACAGCCAGAAACATGACTTATCTTAATTATCCCTTTGCTTACAAGTGAAAGATGTCAAGGAACCTTTTTCACAAAACAAAATCTTTATTCAAGTTGTCAAGCTATCTATTTGTTGTTGTTGTTGTTGTTGTTGTTGTTGTTGTTTTCTTATAATGATTTAAAATTTCCCAAAAATATTATAACTGAAGAAAACTTAATGTTTCCAAAGAATGAAAAACAAATTGCACTTGTTATAACTGTAAGAAGAAAACAACAAAGCTGTATTTGTGTAAAATGCCTACGTATTACATAATCAGACAAGCCACACAAACACGAACATTTAGTAATTTAATTTAATTGCAAACGTTTCGGCTATATGCCTTCATCAGTGCAAAACATAATAAAATTACCGGAAGCGACGTCATAACGGAACACGCGTTAAACGCGCGAAAAACGTTATGGCGTTTAGCGGCAAAACTATGATAACATGTAGAAACAAATATTTATGCTATAAATAAAGCTGGTACATGAATTAAAATGGATCAACAGTGATACAGATGTCTATTAGACAGTGTTAATAAAAATAAGATAATAGACAAACATATTAATATTCATGTAACATATGATAAATCAAACAATACAAATTATTTAATCCATTTGGAATCATAGTATTTAATTTATGGATCCAAAAAGAATCTTTATACATAACCGGTCCATGCTGTTATCTATAATTTCTATTGGCAAAAATGAAAAATCTGACAAAGAACACTTATTTTCGGGTGATCCGAAATGTATAGCAACATGTGAAACTGGATTAACGTCACAATTTCTTATATCAAATCTATGTTTATTCATTCTGCATGATACATTTTGATTAGTCTGACCTACGTATTGCTTTTTACAGCCTTTACATGTAATGAGGTAAATTACATTACAGGAACAGGTTTCGTTGTTATCTTTCACCTTTTTTTTTTTTTTTTTTTTTTTTTTACGTATTGCATAGCACTTAGTCTTTTATTCTTTAAGTAAAAATATGTAGTTATTTTTCAGTTGCAAAGTTAATATTTCATCATGTGAAATCAAAGACATCCCCTGTCGGAACATAAAGGTAATTTAATTTACCTGTCTTTAAAGACTTTCAAATTGACTTTAAGAACAGCATTAAATGCATACATGTTTATTAAAATAATTCATTCCTTTTAATTAATTTAAAATGGCAAATTTTCACAACCTACACATATTTTTTTTCATTGAAATAAATAGAACAAAAATCATTTTAAACATGTAAAAAGGGGCATATAAACAGCATCTTGTGTTTTTTTTTGAAAGAATTAAAATCCGGCATTGAATGTATGTCAAACAAGTATAAAATGAAACAAATAACATAATAAACAATTGTAGATGTTTCTTGTTAACAGTGGGTTTATATATGACGTTCTAATTAAACATAGACTCTTGTCTATTTAAGTTTATATGTGTATACAATTGCACTGCTGTTCAGTCACAGGTCTTCAAAACAGTATATTGTTGAATAAAGGTGACAAATGTCAATTTATCAGACAGACCTTATGAAAATGAGGTCTTCGGAATAGGGTAGCTTCAAAGAGGAAATTAACAGAACAGGATAGCTAATTTATTCAGATTTGCACATGTACATGATCTTATATATATGTATAAATAAATATATTTGTCAGCGTCAGATACAATATGAAAGGATATGATTAAGGTAATACTAATGTTTTACAGTAATGTTAGACATTTGATGCATAAAAGTTAAGTTAATTTATCATGCATAAAGAGATGGAACAGGTTTCGTTGTTATCTTTCTACAGTTGATAATGAATTTCTTAAGGCAAGAGCGTTTTTAATGAACAGTGATAATTATATCAGCTCAATTTCATCATAAGAATTCAAAAGTTTGATATATTTAATTATTTATAAGCAGATGGTCTTTTGATGTAAATATCCTATGTACGTTTTTTCTTAATTCTGAATAAAAGCTACATATACATACAAAATGAGAATTAGAAGAACGTATATTAGATGGTATTCTATTCCAAATCATCGCAGCATTGTAACAAAAAGACCTTTATAATGTATATATGAAGACACAATGCTTGAGAATTGATTTCAAAGCGCATTATAAGAGCTAAAATACACTCAAAACCAACATTATATATTCTCAGTGGTGTGCAAAGAATGAATGTACTACATTTCATAATGGTTTATGTAGGCACTCATTTAACATAATTAGAGAATGACCATAACGGCATATTTGCTCCAAATATACGGTATTTTATATATTTTTATAGGGTATAAAATTTGCAGATTCCCTTTCTTTCTTACTTTCAAGAATGGCGAGAGTCACTAAATAGCGTTTGACATTAAAAGAAAACAAATAAAAACAACAGAAATATATGTTTTATTCTGAAAAAAAAATATTTCATAAAAATTATGTGCTGAGCATGTATACATGTAAACAGCCATCGGCAGTCTTGACGTCACAGAAACGTTTTGACGTCACAGAAACGCCGAACGACAGCCCTAACCCTGTCACAGAGCTGCGACGTTGCTAACGTTGATAAAAGTCTGCGTTTAAATCTAACCCGCGACTTGTCGTAGAGCGTTGATAAAACGGCCTCCTCGTTTATTCCAGTATGTTAGTGTTGAAGACTGAGTATCGCATAAGTCGGTGCTAGGGAGCGTGAATGATGCCGCACTTATCCATTTTCCCTCATGAACAGACTTTATTAAATCAATTCTGCAACTTTCATGTAAGTTTGTTGTTTTCATTGCTTCCGAGGAATCGGTTTTTTTTCCAGATAATTACATTGTGTTGATGTTGTTACATGGGGTCGACCATGACTGTGCCAGCATAGGTTCTATCTAAAACTTGATGCACCTGTTCACAAATATCTGTCTCACCTTTATGAACAGGTAACGTAATTCTTATCTAATTCTTATTGTGCATCCATTGACAACAAAGCATGACCGAATGTGGTTCTGCCTATTATTCTTTTTTCTCCTTATCAAAATTCATATATGATTGTCGTTCATAAATACATATATATTGTAATTAAGTTGTTAAATTTTTGCAGATTAAAATAACTGCTCATTCAAATATAAAGTTTTTTTCCGAATGATAATTTTCAAAATATTTTTTTGTTATTTCTACACTCCAGCTGCATTAAAGTATTTAAAATAACAACAGAATTCCACAACAACACTATTTTTCTCGTATATATTGATCAAACATGTATATATAATTTATGCAAACTTGTGTACTACAATTGAAATGAAAAAAAAAGCAAAATATAACTTACATGTATTGTCCAACAATATTGACCTGGCACTTCATGAACTTTCGTAAAGGTCATTTGAATAAACACTGACCAGTATCTATCGAATATATCGGTAGATTTGCTAATTCACTCGTCAGTCCCGTCTATGCTCATAATCACATCTCAGGCATTTGACTGTGTGTATTGGTATAGATGTCAAACTACCGATCTGAAGGTCTCTGGCTCGATTCTTAATGAACACCACGTTATGATTTTTTTCGTTTTACTTTCAAGAATTACTTTGAAATCGTTTTACTAAGAACACCTGGTTTAAGAATATCTTTTCAGTGGTGTTTTTATACACAATTATATAAAATAATAAAAATAATAATAATAATATATATATATATATATATATATATATATATATATATATATATATATATATATATATATATATATATATATATATATATATATATATATATATATAGCTTATTAATCTATTGTTTCATCAATGTTACAAATCTACATATCAGTAAAAAATTGCCAATCTGCAATCACAATGCACATGCTTTTTACATAAAGTTATTCAATACAAATATAACAACATACTTGATTTTTACGAATCAAAATAAAACTAATAAGCACAACATGACATTAACTGCTAATAATAACAGCTCCTTCAATAGGCCAAAATAAAAAGCATTCCATAATAAGAGACGACGCCGCTCACCGGCGTCGCCAATAATTTCAGCATAAAACATTTGTTTATAAAAGAGCAAATAAAAGATCAAAGTAGGAATCTATCATTACGCGCCTCTTCTATTGTTTATGAGAGGTCTATATTTTTCGGATAGACCTGTTTAAACAATAGAAACCCCTCTATGAGGTCTTTCGTTTGCACGAACCTAGGCCTGGTATTGTGAGATACTAGTAGACCCAAAAGGCTGGAATGTGAAAAACGCACGATTCATGCAAAAAGTAACACATATTTGTGCATTAAATAAAAGATACCTGCGAGATTTCCAACGCGGCAAGTAAAATGGCCAACCAAACTGAAAAAAAAGAGAATACTCGCATACGGCTTCGAAGACGTTATTCTTTAACCCTCATCAAGATTATTTCCACTGTAATTTTCGAGATCATTCGTGTTTACAATGATGGCTTCGCCACCGTTTTGAGTGCAATTTTGGCTATTTGTCGACTCTTAAAAGTACAACAATGCATATAATACCGTATAATTTCGATTTTGTTGGCAAATGACATTTACTAAACTTCTGGTGACATA